GACTTATTTTCTGTATGAACACTCATATTTGTATAAAACTCTGTAGTAGACTTTCTTGGAAAGTTTGAAGCACTAAAAACTTTGTGAATTACAAAGAGATATTGTAATTTGTTTCATGAATGAAATTTCATGTTTTATATTACTGATAAAAGATTTTTTTTATAGTTTTGATAATGTATCTGTTCTTTGCAAACCCAGACACTCTCAGAGAAGACTCTTATACTCAAACATTGGAATGATTTATCTTCTAGATGAACTCTCAAATTTGATCAAATCTATTGAAGAAGTCTTTTAAACATTGACCACTGATAAGTGTTTCTTCTGCCTGAATTCTTCTTACTAAACCTATTTTATGTTTAATTTAAAAATGCAAAGCATTGAAATTTTCTCTATCCAATGTAAAATAAATATCCTGTACAGAAATTCACTCAAATGTTTTAAACATTATCTTAAAACACTATACACAGGTAATTTCTTGAATATAAATTCTAGTTTCTTGAGTTTCTCACTATTAATTCTTAACAAAAACATGTATTACTAAAATAATTACTATGAATTTACATTCTAGACACATTTACAACATGCATAAATATTTGTCTCATGTTAATATATATTTAAGTGAAATAAAGTTTCTAGCAAATTGTTCCTATTAATATTAAAAGAGGACTGATAGCCAATCGCTTTATCAATTAATTGATAAAAGTTAGTACTTTCAAAATTGTAAATAAGAGACTGCTGAACCTGGAAAATAAAGTCAAGAACATTATCATTGTATAATAATGACTTTCAACTGCTATGTGTGGAGACTGTGTGCAACAAAGCACACATTAAATTAATCTATTATTATTATTTTCATAGAAATTAAATAATAACTGGCTTTCCAGACAGCAGAACAGACTAATATTTAATGGCAAAAACACTGCATAAACTATCAAGAGTCAAAGTCTTCAACCAAATTACAAACACTAAATAACCACATTACCCTCTAATGCTTTTATCAAACTTGGAATTTACTATTTTTTCTCTTGTACAGTATTCTGACACAGACTTGAGCTTGATGATAATACAGTACTAGTATCTTAGCTCTGGCTGTGTATTGCCAGTGTGAGGATAACCTGAAAAGGAAAGAGTTAGCCAATCAGAACCTTGTGTGAATATTTCACTGCAATGACAACATTCAGATTATCAGCCATTCTGGGGATGCTTCTCTTACAATATACTGTACATACTAAACAATACTTAAGCCAGGTAGAAGCAGTTATTCACCTCTGGTTACATGCCATAACAATGCAGTTATTTAATCATGCTAAGCTTAAAAGACTCAGAATAACTACTGCAGCCTTCATTCAACTCTATCCTTGTAGTGTAAAACGTCTCTGCTGTGTAAGCAGAATGAAGGAATGAAACTGCTTCAACACCATCTAGAGTGCTATTTTTGTGGTTGACAATCAGTGAAAATTATCAAAAAGGTGAAAGCCACACTGAGCCAAGGTGAATTTTCCTTTTTCACTTATTGCTTCTTTAATGGGGAAGCAACATTAGCAAATCAGTGTAGCATGTAATTAACAGATAATTATTCTCAATGAAAGGTTTGACCAAGGCGAGCCTCCAATCAACTTTTGTGTGTGAAACACCCTGATTACCTCAGGGCATCCCAATATGCTCTGAAGAAGGATGGTGGAATCTGACCTATTAGTGTGGGTAACACACTTCACCACCTCACTGCCAGGGCTACTATCAGAAGCATCCATACAGAAGCTGCCATGATGCTTCGAGAACATCAACTAGGTTTTGGTGTTCCTTATGGGAGTGAAGCATCAGCTCATGCAGCATGAGCTTATATAATGACCTCTCCTGATAATAAAGCAGCACTTAAACTAGATTTTAAAAATGCTTTCAATTTGGTTAAAAAGAGATGTGACATTAGAAGCAGAACAAACTCCCCTTGTCACATAACTATTAGGGAGGTCACAAGCAGGTTAACCAGTGATCTCAACATCTGATTCCTCGATGATGGCACTCTGGCAAGTACACAGGAATTCCTGATAAGAGGATCTACAGCTGGTGAAATCTAAGGAAGAAGAGTTAAGACTAGCACTCAGACTTTTAATGTGCAAAATCATTTTATCTAACCAACCATAGATGCAATAAATTGGCTTTACAAGGAACTTCAATGACAGTGCACTACTTGGGACACTTTTGTATTCAAATGCCAATACTGCAATCCTCGAAGAAAAACAATAACCTGATAAAAAAAATGAAGAAAGAATAAATGTTTAGAATGCCCATGATACTTGCACCAACTTCAACAGCCCAAAATTACGAGCACATAACATACTCCTGAGAGCAATACTGTGTCCATGAAAGTGTTAAACTTCTTCACTGGAGATGACTAATGGGATCAAGTAATGCAAATGAGATGGGACCTTCGACAAGCCTCCGGCATTCTGTCCTCGTCGAGGCCACTAGGGTTAGTAGCCCTCGGGTAAATCGGGTAAGAGAAACTACAGACAACCTAATGAATTCTATGTAACCTACCTTACTTCCTAAATGTCAACCAATGTTCTGCTGTTATTGAACATTAATTATAAACTTGAAGCTGGTCTGCTACTGTTATCTGCCATGTAAACATTTTAAAATGTAATAAAAAATTTATGCCTCCTCTTTATAATTCTGTAAAATTACAATCTTTTGTTCTGTTACAATTCTTGCTGTTTTGTCCATCATGGAATAATTGCAATTTTATTTTTTCTTTCTCTACTTCAATTCATTATTTTTTATCTCATTGATTTTAAGTCTTTTAAATTCTTTCTTAAATGATGCCCGAAAAGCTCAGCGTATAAGTGGCTTCAGGCGACGTACCTGCCTATGAGTCCAACAAACTACCTGATTCCTATTAGTCTTGCCTAAATTAATATGTTTATGTTTACAATATTATTGAGTGTGACATTGTTCGACACATTCCTTGGAAGAAAAAAATTTCATTGGTGTTGTAAGGATACCGTCTTAAAGAGTTGTGATTAGAGGAGTATAGTGGTGTGGATTTACTTTCAGAACCTTCCGTATGATACGTACAGTTTGGGTGAATGTTTCTCCTCCCGATAAGTTGTCACTCGTATGCAATACGTGTAGCTTGCATAAGGGTTTCTCGTCTCGCTGCGTGTGCCGGGTTCTACGCCTTCTCAAGACACCACACTCCTGCTGGGTTGCTTTGACTCTTGATGCTAGTGTTCAAGAGTTATCTTCTATATGACACGTATAATTTGCGTGGAAAGTGCATTCTATGGGCACGATAGTAGCAATAATGGATATTATTGTGATTATGTTAATCTCGCTTTTGGTACAAAAATGGCGTTTACATTTTCTTTGATGGACGATAAATGGGGAGACTCAAGTATTGTTTTCTTTGTCAAGAGATTTTCTGAATATTGTGTATTTAATAAGGCCACTAATACGCAAAGAGTTTCGGGCATAACTTAAAATAATTCAGTTTAAAGATAAAAAGGATTGTTCTCTAAAGATTTGATTACTTTGATAAGGAAGATACTTAATACTAAACTAGAAATAAGGTAACAATTAAACATTGTTCAAGAGAAAATGAACATATGTTATATAATAATTCATTGTATCGGGGGGCAGGAAGACAGCGTGTATTCATACACGTTAGGCTTATTTCGAGGTCCCCTCCCCCAAGGACGAATTACTTACCCCCCCCCCCCCAAGATGTAACCCATACTGGTCAAACAGGCATGGTATAAAACCTTATCATCAGCTACGGGATTTGTAAACCTTTAGTTTGACCTTTAATAGCATTGTATTCTGGTTTTAATATTGAGCAATGGTATGTATACGAAACGTATTAATGTTTTATCCAAAATGGTAAAAATATGTGTGCGATGCAGTCGATGAGTCACAACGAGGCTGAAATATGTTGAGAATGGTCAACTATCAACTTGAGAATGGTCCAGGACGGACCGAAACGTTGTCGTCCCTTCACTTTCTAGTGTGTGGTTTGGTTAACATATGTGTACGATCCATAGACACCAGGAATGTTGTAACATCCATTATATACAACATTATTAATGCAAAAAGCAAGAGTTTCAGAGTCTCATTTGTATGGATACCATCTCACATAGGTCTCGTCCAGCATGATGACACAGACAAGACAGCTAAAACTGCATGTGATAAGCCTGAAATTGAGTTGGATATGGGCACTCCAATCTCTGCTGTAAAAGCTGCAATATTTCAGGAAATTAGGGAATACAGAAGAGCAGTCACTGACACACAAAGGCCAGAAACCACGAGTATAAAGAGCTATGACATGTTTAAAACCGAGAATTATATGTGCGGGCAACATAAAATTTCAACTAGACAGTGTGACATTGTAATTGTCAGGATTAGGTTGGGATATCGATATCTATTGCAGGTGGCTGCAGGTAATGATTTCCCCGATGGTAAACATTCCAATTGTAAACTATGTGAACAAGAGCTAGAACATATACTCTCCAACACTATATCTGTGATTGCCCTGTTATAAGTGTCTTTAGATCAAATGGTATGAGGTACTATGAGGTCTGTAATTACTTCATACACCCAGATTTTGCTAGTAGAGGCTAATAAATCAGTCTTTCATTTCATGTTCTCTCCTGATTTTTAGTGAGAGTTGATTTGCTTTTGTATTGAGGCTGATATTTTCTCCCCTGATTCTATGTATGACTAACCATCCTGTGGGATGGGAATATTAGATAAACTTATGGCTAATTTTTTATCTACACTGTTTGATCTTCCATATAGAATAGGGCAGCAGCACATTGCTGTGTACACCTAAGCTTAATACTAATACAAAAGAAAGTGACTGATATCCTTCCAGTTAGCCCTCGTCTTCCCGGAGGACGCCAATGTGTCTCCGAGCACCTGCCCTGCAAATGCATTTGTTTGCTGTAGTGCATAAAGTTCAATTTTGTCCGGTGATTAGGGACGTATATCCTCCGGGCTGGAGAGTGTCTCCCCGGCTCGCGGGGGAGCGACGGCCGGACTGTAGCCGCCCCTAACCCCGCAACGACAACAACAATACCTCGGGGGAACACCCCCTGTCATTGTCGCCTCCATATGGACTATATCTCCCATTGGAGGGTACGTATTTACATCACTGTACTACCAAAATGCATCACAATTCTTACTCTTTAATGTGGTTAGAGGAAATATATCAAAACAGTAAGATTTAGCAGTGTATGAAGATGCTTAAAGGAGACTGACGCACTCTTCTGTGCACTAACCAAAAGCATAAAACATTTAAATTTCCGTCGTCGGGGAAGAGGAAACCTGTACTTAGGATTATCAGGATCTCTTGATTAACTTCTGACCTTTCCTATGATGCAACCCACAATTTTTCTCGAAATCCTAGGTACCCATTTTATTGCTTGGTGAACAAAAGCATCAGGTGAAAGGAAATGTACCAAATATTTTCTGTCCTGCCCAGGGATTGAACCTGGGTACCTTGGTTGTGAGCTTTCAGGACATACACCCCTGTGCTATAGAGAACATTGTAGATGTAACTTCTGGGTCAGCCTCACAGATTGATTTGATTTAATTTGAAGCTACCCAAGAGGTTGCACGGGCATGAATAGCCCATAAAGCCTCACAGCTTGTTGGATGATGGATGTATTGGAGGGTGCATGTGTGTATCACTTGGGTGAAACACCATTAGGTTTGGACAGTAACTGTTGGGTAGGATACATGTAACTTCATACCTAAGATAGTCCACCAATGGTTTGAAACCTACTAAACCCAACCAAATCCAACCAAATTCAACCAAATTCAACCTAGCCTAACCTAATTAACAATATGCATAGTTTTATCAAATAGAAAATGAACTTTGCCAAAACACCTGATATTGTTTTGCGTATGGTCAAATCATATACATCCATTGACTGAATCTCATTTTCTAATTTTGGAACCTTTATACTATACTGTATATCATTTTATTAGGCTATGCAAAGTTGGATAAGGTTAGGTTATAAAATTTGTTGGTGTACAGTGTTTGGTATGATGTGACTTGTATCCGAACAGTTTGAGGGTACCCTAATTAGGTGACTGTATGGACAGGCTTGCCCTTGGGTAGGTAAACTTTCATAAGCCTGATAGTGGAGAACAAAAATCCTTTCTGCACCTGACAGTGGAGAACAAAAAGTTAAATGACTATTGACTGTTTGACCAATGAGCTCTGATATTTGCCAAAAAGAATCTGTAATAGATTGTTTTTGAATCTATTACATTTATATATGCTGTATATATATATATATATATATATATATATATATATATATATATATATATATATATATATATATATATATATATATAATATAATATATACATAAGGTTACAGGGAAGTTCATATTTTCAGGTTTGATATTTGGGAAGAGAGGCTTTATATAGTCTTGGACAGATCTTTGCTGCAGGGCATAGATTATTGATTGCTAAGCTGGTCTTCAGATGCTTAGTTTTGAATTTTAAAATATTTTTATTAATGTAAAATTCATGGTATGATTGTAAGGAGATATTCTATAACATGACAAGAATAGATGCTGTTATGTACAAACTTCAGAGATATTAAGAAAAAAGTGTTTTCTGGAGATTCATCACAGAACTATCTCTGTGCACACTAGTGCTGGTCTCCAAATATGAACCTTCTCTGGGAACGGATCAAATTTGAAAACGGAGGTACCACTGTATACTGCATATAAATAAATAAATATTCTCCAAAAATCACTAACATTTTCCTTCACTGACTGGAAAATGACCTTCCTCTAAACAATACCTACTATATTCTCAATGATTTTTGTCCCCTCTTCTGTTGCTGTGTCCACCCTAACTGGTATCTCCTTTTCTAAACATTAAAAAATTATTATAGACTTATTTCTTTGTGGTGTATTCTGTACTAATTTACTACTAATAACCAGTTCTTTTGTAATAGCCTGACTAATGTCTGATCCTGACTTCATTTCTGTTCTTGGCTTTCAAACATACTTCTTTGATTGTATCTTTCTCTTTTATAACTTACACACATGTTTTTTTCATTTCCTCTTCGCATTTTTATAATCCTCTAGTAACTTCTTCCATTTGAGTTACTCATGGATTTTCTTTTAGAAATTACTTGCCTGTACAGTTTATCTTAATTCTTGTCCATATATATCAATCTTTTTGTTTATTCCTTCAAATTCTTTTATCTTGATTTTTCATATCTCATATTCTTTCTCTAGTTTCTTGATGTGTCATTCCTGTTTTCTTACTTTGTCAGTCAAGCTGGCCATTTCCTTTTTCTGCTGCAACAAATTGTCTGATAAAGTATTAACCTGGCTCTTGAGATCTTAGTTTTCTTGTTCTAAATTATAAAATGTTCATTTATAAGCCTTCAGCAAATCTTCAATCATCACTAACTTGCCTAGAAAACCATATTCCTGTATTTGTTTGTGAGTAAAACCTTTGAAGTTTATTTGTCTCCTTTGCTGTGTCCATTGACGATCCTGTCCCATCCGCCTTCTTTGTTTTGATTCCATCTGCTCTGGTTCAGAATATGACCATGTTCAGAGGATGACCATTTCTCCATAGTTGGTGTTCAAGGGTTAAAAGGGAGAAAGTAGCATTGTTGAATTACCTTCATCAAGTCTTTGTGCCAGAGCTACATCAACCAATGCTACACATAGATAAGTTTTAAGTATTTTATCATAGTTTATAGCTGGTACCAATTGTCGTTGTGTTATTCAACAAACTCGTAGTCTGATTAAGCTGCAAAAACGAGAAATCTTATGGCTTGTGAAGTTCGGTTAGGTTAACTTTATGGGAACACCTTGGTTAATACTTGGTACAGCATTTTAATACAGTACTTGGTGCAGCATTTCATAAATTTCTTTAATATACAGTGAACTTATCTTGCTGCAACTTGTAGTTAACTAATTAAGGAATTGTTGGATCTCATTACAGGTGATGTCAAGTCATCATAGATACGAACACAGTAAGTGGCCTTCATTCTGTCAAAGTATCATTCAAGCTTAATATATCATTCACTGTTGGTGCTTTAAAAGCTGGATGCAATAAATATACCAGAGCCCTGAATGAATGTCATTCCTCTCTTCTCTCTAGCATTTTTTTGTTGCTTTGAGTGGATGATCTTACAATCCCATGGCATGGTAACACTGTCTCTGTGCACAAGGTTAGTGCTAAATTCTTAGGAGTTGGCCTTTTTACACCCACTTGTCTTGATTATCCCATATCACTTTCATTTCTTATTTTACTCCAAGTCTTGTTTCATACTTCTGGGGGGGGGGCTAATAGGCAAATACTCCTTTATTGCACTTGTACTGTCTAAGCTAGACTATAACAGTCCCACTTACTAACAGTTTGATGCTTTGCATCATATTAGTTTGTGCCTCAGCTCTGTTGCTTTATGTTTTGTCTATTCAGAGCGTGTATGTCAAAACCAGTGCCCCTTATATGATTTGCTATTATCTGTATTATCTTTGTTACTTTACATGGGCCATACAATACCCCTATTCCCACCTTGACTACTACCTTTTTTGTCAGTCCTGTTCCTTCTTCAAGTTCAAGTACATTTATTGAGACAATATGATACATCTCAAAAGGACAGATTAGCTTAGGCTCTCTCTACCCTCCATCCTTCTTTACTTTCTTTTACTGGAAGGATGGCGTGTTTGTAAGTTTTTCTCTAGGTACACTGCTGCATGTGTCTCCTTTGTATTGTACTACCTTTTCCCATGGAGAGTCCAACTTGCAAAGTTTTGTGAAGCCTTGTCCTGTACATTGAAGGATTAAACCCTTCCCCCTACACTTATGATAATCAATTCTGCTAGGAGAGAATATATAAGGAGACCCTAATTTATTTCCTTACAGGAATATTTTTAGATATGTTTTTGTTATCCTAATGACTTTCATAAAATTAAAATATTGTGGGTAACAACAAGGAAGGCATTATCTCCAGTGTTTTTAGTACTGTATAGATAAATTTATGTAGCGTATGCATTGTACAATGTATATTGCAAAAGAAACTAACTTAGAGTATAGTATTTGATAATCTGAATATTTTAGCAGTAAACGTTATATAAGATTCAGATTGTTAAATGTCTTCTTTTTACAGATCACCGCAGAGACAGTAACACACTCCCAGTCCTAATACTCAAGTGTCATCAAGCTGAAGTTCATGGCTAAATATCAAGTCTAAATTGTGTCAATGTCATGTTAAATTATATTACACTTGAAATAAATATAATGTCAACATTAACATCCACAAGCTCATCTTAACATAACTAGTTCTTTTTTGCATATGGTTTCGGTGTGTTTAAGTTTACTTCATTTCACCAGTCATGCACAATTATTACTCATTGTAGTAAAATTTGACTTTTTTTTTTTTTTTTTTTTTGAGATATATACAAGAGTTGTTACATTCTTGTACAGCCACTAGTACGCGTAGCGTTTCGGGCAAGTCCTTAATCCTACGGTCCCTGGAATACGATCCCCTGCCGCGAAGAATCGTTTTTTCATCCAAGTACACATTTTACTGTTGCGTTAAACAGAGGCTACAGTTAAGGAATTGCGCCCAGTAAATCCTCCCCGGCCCGGATACGAACCCATGACATAGCGCTCGCGGAACGCCAGGCGAGTGTCTTACCACTACACCACGGAGACTGCTAAACTTATTAACAGTACTGAACTGCACTAACAGTAGCAGTATCTAATGCAGTGAGAATAATTCTCATTTAAGAGGAAGTGACAAAGCATTGTACAGTATTAAAATTTTTAATGTACAGTCTATTTACTCATGTTCCAGGGAAGCAATCAATTTAACTTCTCCATAGAATTAATAGAATCATTTAATCTGAATACAGTATTGTTCATCAAGTCTCCCACACAGTGGCTGTTCAAAGGAATTTTATTTCATGACTGCACAGGTATCCTTTCATATATATATATATGTACATTTAAAGGAATTCTTTCCTAGTCATCATATAATTACCAATTTATGTTTTCATTTTCCTCATTTAAATAAACCTAAAAGTACCATCATAACATTGTAATCTTTTTAACGACATCCATTTTTAGTTTGATTAGAAATATTACATGTTTAGAAATGCATGTGATCAATTACTGAAATTCTAACCAAATACAGTTAGCATTGATTTTTTTTAATAAAAGTTGAAGTTACAGGACCTACATGGCACTGGTTAGAACTAGCTTCATCATTGCTATAAAATGTACATACAGTATACATATATACTCTAAATTAATGTAAATACATGTCTTTGGTTTATAAAGGAAAATTTACAGATTAAAAGATGCATGCAGTGTGGTTTGGAAATTTGTTTACAAAAGTTTTTTGATAGAAATCAAGCTATTAAGCAGGACCAATAAAATACATTTATGATTTATCTGAAATATTTGTATTTGTTACATGAAATTTCAATGAAAGCAAGCAAGCACTAATAATACAAGCACATGGTAGTTCATATAATTTTTCCTTCAATAGTTAGCAAAACTTTAAGAAAGTCTGCTTTTAAAGCAAATAGGGTAGCTATGGAAAAGAGACAGTATCAATGTGAAGTGTGTCAGAAATGCTTTTCATTTAGAGCTAATTTATCAAAGCACAAGAGAGTTCACACAGGTGAAAAGCCATTTCAATGTACAAAGTGTCCAAGATGTTTTTCAACAAGTGGTAACCTAACACATCACATGATAAGTCATACAGTGGAAAGACCACATAAATGTTTAGTGTGTTTTAAAGACTTTAAATATAAATCTTATCTGAAAAAACATACAAGAGCTCATATAGTAGAGAAGCAGTATCAGTGTTCAGTTTGTCTAAAGTACTGCTTATGTAGTACTTCCCTAACAAAACACATGAGAATTCATACAGGGGAAAAACCATATCAATGTTCAGTGTGTTTGAGAGACTTTAGAGATAAATCTGCTGTCAAAAAGCATCAGAGAATTCACACAGGAGAAAAGCCATACCAGTGTTCAGTGTGCCAAAAAAGCTTCAAGCAAACAGGCCATCTGACATCTCATATGAGAACTCATACTGGAGAGAAACCATATCATTGTACAATGTGTCAAAAAAGTTTTACTGTAAAATCTGCACTTGTAAAGCACATGCCAATTCATACGGGAGAGAAACCTTTTGAGTGTTCAGAGTGCTGGAAAGCCTTTAAACAACGGGGCTCTCTAGTTAAGCACATGGCAGTTCATACAGGAGAAAAGCCATTTAGGTGTTCAATATGTTTGAAATGCTATCCAATAAAAGCAAGTCTAATTGAACATATAAAAGGTCATACAGGAGATAAACCATTCAACTGTTTAGTGTGTTCTAAAGGCTTTTTAAGAAATGCTGCTTTATCTAATCACATAAAACTTCATAGCAAAAAACATCCATATCGATGTTCCAAATGCCTGAAAGGATTTTTAAACAAAACTGATCTAGTGGACCATATGCAATCCCATATGCAAAAAAATAACTATAATACTGTTCAGTGTTTAAAGGACTTCAGGAAAATGTCAAATGCAGCAACTGAAGACTTCATATCTGAAGGAAAAATTGAATGTAAATGATGGCTTTTGTTTTTTAAGGATGTAATATTTGAATCATACCCAAGTTAAGAGAAATGATACATAAAGGAATAAAAATATTAAAATTTCACTTGATCCTTAATGTGCAACTACAGTATCATTAAAATTGTAATTGAATGTGCACAAAAATAAACAATGTTATAGAACGATACGTTTGCATGTACGAAAACTATTTTTTGTTTGCATTCCGGTTTCGTGCACAGTAGGAGAAAGCCTGGTGGTGAGGTCCATGTGGACAAGTCATTTGTAGTTGCTGAAAGTGATGCAGGGTTAGAGGACAGGGTTTGAGTAATGTTCAAAATGGATTGTTTTTACGTTTGTGGCAGACTGTTCTGCGACATAGATGGTGCTAAACAGTCTTCCTGGTTTGGCGCCTTTTGATAATTATATAAACTAACTTTATTTATATACACATCCCTCATCAAGGCTCCTGTGGATTTGTTCTATATACACAAGACAAAAATGGCGAGTGCTGTATCTAGGTCTACAAATAATGTGTACACCTGTATTGAACATAAATCTGTTCCTGGCATAACTTTAAGGAAGTGTCTTGCAACCCACTCCTTGGCTGCTGTTGTCTGATGTCATCCAGGAATAGATTCAAACACTAGACAGAAAGACCAAATTGTAATTTGTTCTCATCTCATAGTAAGTGATTACAAAGCATCAAAAACATTTTCATGGGTCTTGGTAAACTTTGTTACTTTCATGTAAATGTATTAAAACCATATTTAAATCATTTATATAAAGCAAAGTAATAATAATAAAAATCACCAAATGATAACCACAGTGGCCGAGGAGATGAATAAATGATTATAACAGCATTTTGGGGGTTAAGCTGTATGGTACACTTGTATCGTGGGATACACCACAGAGCATTTAGGCTATGAAGTGTTACTGCTGCCATCAGTATATGACAAAGCTAAATAAACTACTGAAAATTATTCAGATTTCTTTGATACGAATACAAAGATAATGGGCAACACAAAAATATAAAATTACTGTACTTGTACTGTGATATTTTTGACAGCGACCCCCTCCAGATGGTGGTTTGATGACCTGAACAGATACCCTACATGGTACATTCCTTGCATGTACAACACTAGATGGGGCCGACACAATTCTCACTGCTCCCAGGCTATCATGTGAGCTCCCTTCATAACAGCACGTCAAAACCCTTGAGGTTTTGACGTGCATACAGTATATATACAGTACTCTTATCTTTGCTTTTGGCAATTAAATGTACATAAAATGAGTTACAGTATTAGTTTATTCAATACAAAAAATTATATAAGTGAATCCATGAACAAAAAACCCATGATACATGAACTCTAGTCTCCTCACCCCCCATATGATGAGTGGTCAAATTGCACATCTCGTGTTGACAGACCCAATGACTTCCAGCTGCTTTCTAACAGGCAAAAAACCAGGCGTGTACTTTTTGCATTTTCCTTACTTTTCACACACACACGTATTTTTATTATTTTTTTTTTTCCGTGCACACAGGCGACATGACAGTTTTGATGTCTTCAAGGATTTAAAGGGTCAAGGTATGGCAACATAACATCGGGTTTTTTGGGAATTATGTCTACTACTACACAACCACTGTTCTGGTAACATTCTCTCATTTCTGCCTGAAAAATAAAAAATAACTTGTTTGAAAAACCATGTCAGTACAAATGAAGAACCTACCAATTAAGATTTCTACTACAGAGGAGTGCACTAGAAGCTTAAAACACAATTGAAAACATTTAGAAGAAACATGTGCAGTTATTTACTGCTATGCAATTGTTAGTAAATGTTTTACATAAATACAGTAGTAAGAAATAGAGGCCAATATAGACTTATATAATCTTACTTTATGAAAAACTTTGCGAGTCTGCTCAGAAAGTTTATCTTAGAGTTTTGGCTATTTTTTTATTACTCACCATTTTTGCCCTGTCCTGAAGGAGTCCAACAACTGCTCCTCCACTTCCAGGAAACTTAACCGCTGCACCAAAACGCCTGGCAATGTTGATCATAAGAAGGTTTTCTTCACCAAGAGCAGCATCACCATACAACTGCCTTCGTAAGTTGAAGTTTTCATTCATCAAATGTGCCAGTGTACTCCAGTCTGCACTCTTCAGTGCTGTAGTAGCTAGACAAGTTAGTTCTGCAAATTTCTGCATGCCCTCTATAACCTCTGAATCCCCTGCAAATAAGAATATTGATTACCAGTTAGTTTTATAATCATTCATTAAAATTCAGCATTGAAATTCATAAAATGCCTCTTCCTAGTGGGCCTTTAGTAGCTCCCCGATGCTACAACTTGTAAATGTCTTTAGCCTTGGGAAATGCACCTGACCTCTAAATGACCCAGGAGAGCCCACTGGGAGCCAGAACCAGAATTTGCCCCCCCCCCTCAAAGAAATTTAGAGATCAGGAATCAGAGATCACAGAACTAAAGAAAATTCACAAGATAGCAAACCAGTGCTACAAAACAAGCCACTACTTACAAACATTTGTAACCCTGATGATGATAATTATTACAATGGGAATATCACTCTTTGGTAACACTCACTTGCCACCAGATGGCAGTTCAGGCAACCCAAAACCTTGGCGAGCAACCAGTTCATTCATGAACCACACTGGCTAAAATTCACCCAAATTCTTTTAAGGTGGGACAATGGGCAGGGATGGGGAGCTACTGACCCTTAAACTGCACAAATTGTATATACTGTATATGTTTAATTTGAGTAAATGTTGCTGAACTGCGCATATCGTACATACAACTGAGGGTGCTACACACGATTTAAATGTCCCGCAGTTACACAGGGTTTACACAAGCTTCCTCAGGGCGCTAGTAAATAGATGCCATTTAAAAAAAATCGTGGGTAACATTCCCGGGTGTGAGAGCTTCAGTACTGAGTGAGCCTGGCGCACGTAGCATGAGCCAACAGCACTGCTGTTTAGCTTGTGACCACAGCATCGCCTAAAAATGTCAAAATATACATGTACCTGCTATTATTTAGCGATGATAGTATTAGAGAAGACCCCTGACTGTGATAAAAATGACCAGGATTCTGATAAGAGCAGGATTGTGGTGATAATTAGTGCTGTGAGTAATGGTGGGAGGAGTAATCTTGGCGAGGAGGCAGGTAGCGTCGTCTGCTGACTCTGTGTGGCAACCTGTTATTGTCTGGACTCACCATACCAACTTAGTGGTTCGCTATGGTGAACACAAATGTATATACAGGCACTTAAATATAATGTATATATACAGTGTAATAACAGCAAAAGCAGTATGTTGGGCGGAGCCATTTTGGTTCTGGACATGCCAGCTGTCCTGGCATCACCATCACCTGGCAGCTATTTTGGAGGGAGCATCAGCTGACTGTGGTGACCTCTATTATTGTCTGAACTCACCATACCAGCTTAGTTGTACAGTTATGGTGAACAAAACATGTAGATACTTATATATAACATCTGTATATAATGAATAATAGCAAAAACATTATGGTGGGAGTAGAAATCTTGGTGAGTGAGGTGTTTTTGAGGGAGGGGAGGTGGCGGCATTTGCTGGCTGGAGTGTGGAGGTCACTCGTTGTTGTTGTTTTGACTCACCATACCAACTTAGTGGTTAGTTATGGTGAACAAAACATGCCAGGGAACACAAATGAACACTTTTATAAGACGAAAAAAAATTTGAATTTTTTATTTCTTGCGCACAGCAGTGTTGACAGCTATTAAGGCTGTAGCAGCTTAAGAGTTAAAAGCTAAGCAGCATGGGGGTTATGGGTACACTATTAAAAAAAATGTTGAATGTAATGAAATGCTTCTTTCTAGACGAGCTGCTGTGGCTCCTTGAAGCTACCGAGATTGCTCCCAACTACTAGGTCAAAGCCATCACAGTCACCAGGCCCCCTGGTGGCAGTAGGTTGGTACTAATGAGTTCAAGCCAGTTCAAAGTTCTGCACTTGAAGATTCTACTGAAGGCAAAATGGGCTCCCCAGACAAAGTGGTAGAGTGCCCACAGCCAAACTGAGCCCAGCAGGTACACCACCTTGGCAATATTCAGGCTGCCATCCAACAGTCCGAGATGCCAATGAATAATCAGAGTGCTACACTACAAAATGAATGAAAGATGCCAGACATGCCAGGTTTGGCAGCAGAAAAGAAAGGGAAGCTGTCCTGGCATCACCAACCAAGAATAACCATGTCCAAACTTGCAACGGAACCAACTGAAAACATGATCTGCCTTGACCTTCGGAACTGAAAACAGCAGCAGACTCGCATGGAATCGCTAAGTATCCACATTCTGGGGCAGAGTCAGGGCAAAAAGGGAGACATCAATTTGGTCAAAAGGCAAGCTTCTTAAAGACACCTCAAACATCAAAGCCATCACAACAGAAAAGGAATTGTATACAAGCTAGGAAAGCTGGAACCCCAAAAATCCTAGGCTATGAAGGTGAAATGGATCCAAACTCAATGAAGGCTGGATCCGTCTCAGAGCATTGTCTTGATCCCACAGCAGTAATTGAAGCAAGTCTGCCAGCACCACAGCTGGGAAGAGAGACTAGAGAAACTTGCAGAGCACAGGTGATCTATAGAACCAAAAAGAATTCGGAAATGCACCCACACGAGAGCCATGGAGGCATACAGCTCAAACTATGATGGAAGGTACTAAAAATCCTCCATATGGAGCAGAAGACCCTCAGAGACAGGAAGCAAAAGATTCCCAAACAAGCTGAACTGCCAAAAATACTTGTAGCCAAGTTGTATTTGAGCTGTGACAATATCTGCCAGTCTACTGATTTTCTTACTTGCCCAATACAAATGTTTTAATAAATTTCATTGTGATAAATAAGGGTGGGTCTCAAGAGGCCTGAAATATCTGCCTAAGGGATAGCTATATCAGCATTTAACTAAATTACTGAGAGGGCCCTCCTCCAGAGAAACAATGTTGCAGGCAAAGGGTTAACCAAGATAAGCAATCTCTTTCAGGTTCATTATTTTTAAAATGACGATGATTGTAACTTTGCCAATACTGTACTGTATGTGCTCGCTTATCTGAATTTCGCTAAACTGAATATTTATTTGGGTTATCCTGCCAAAATTTTGCCTGGATAAGTTTCTACCAAATTTTGCCATATCTGGACAGAAATCTTGATAACCGGAGATTGGGTTACAAAAATTTTCACATTTCAAGATTTACAGTATCAAAAAAGAAGACAAACTACAACAAGGCATGCTTCAGTTTCTCTTTTAAATTATATTTTTGATTAGTAAGATTGCCTTTAGACAATCTTACAATTGCCAATTAGTAAGACAGGCCTTTTTATTGCCTGTCTCTCTACCTCTTCACAATCGACTTGAGAATGGTCCAGGACGGACCGAAACGTCGTAGTCCCTTCAACTTCTAGTGTGTGGTCTGGTCAACATTAGTAAGATTATTTTTGTAAGGGGGTCCTTCCCATATAGTCCAGATAAGTGAGGTTAGACAGTACAAAGTTAATCAGCAAAATGTTCACCATTTTATGAAAAACTCAAGCTCTGAATATTCAAGAAATGTTTGTGTTACGATAGAAAAAATTTTCTACTATGGTACAGTGTGTAATTTTCCAAACCTTTTTGCCATCGTGCCAATATATTAGAGTGAATTCTGCCCGAGTCACTTGGGTTAGGACGGTAGGCAAGGAAGAGTGGAGGTAATTCAACATCAAGATGGATGTAGTTGCCATAACCTTGTTTCTCCATCACTGACTTTGAAAAATCCATGTACACCAAACCCTCAAATATCTGGAAAAAATAAATAAATAATAAGGCATTGAATGTAATGAAATGTATTTTTTTCTGGTGGGCCTCCTGTAGTTCTCTGAATTCTGGTACAACCAAGCTTTAGCCCAATATACCAAACCTCTAAGACATATCCATTGCCAACAGAAACCAAGGAATAGATAAGGTAAATTTGGGGAAAAGAAACCCCAGGGGAAAATGGATAAAACAATTGTTGCTGCAGGATATGTATCTTAACCTTAATGCACATGACACTTAACAGGTAGCAGCTCTGGAGTCTCCTCAGGAGTCTCAGCCAGCCTACCTCTCACTTTGGAACATTAGTTCAAAACTTCACAACCCCAATGAAGAAAAGAGAACAGGACAGGGAAAGGTGTTCCTTTACATTCAACACTTTGATTTCTTGGAGGCCACCACCCCTCCCATCATTATCTGGCTTTTCAGGAAAACAAAAGAAACTGGGATGACCCATGGAAGAAGACCAGCAGGAGAGGAGAGCCTCGGGCAACAAACAGAAGCTGTGTGCAAAATGCCCAAGCACAATCCCAAGGGTGATCAAAGGACAGTCAACAAATGAATGAGAAGCCAAAATTAGAAAGATCACAAGAAAACAGGAGTCTGAATATCAGCCATGAAGAAAACAAAAAATGAAGCCGTCAAAGAAAAATATGTCAACATATCTACTGCTTATCGGACATGAGAAATGGTAGAAACAGCATTTGGACACCAAAATGACAGCTACAGAACAAAGCATATAACAGACCCCAGCCAAAGATCAAATAATATTTGAAACACCCAGAGAAAGTGAAAACCATTACCCCACCAGCACCAAGGCCGAATGAAATGTCTAGCAGCAGAAAAAGAAGCCCACAGAAGTTAGAGTACCGAACCCTCAATTACACCCCAAAAGAAGGAGGGGGAAAGAGTAGAGAAGGCTTCGTCACCTCTGTTAGAGCCCTAAATTGTGAAGACAAAAGTCCACCTGCAAATATTCAGAAGATAATTGGTGAGGCAAGGGAGATGAAAGTCAACCATCAGTGAAGAGAATCCTCACCTTCAGCAAGAGCAATATGTAAACAAAGGCCACAAAGCACAATCAAGAAGCAGTAAATGGAACAAATAAAGCAGTAGCCACTCCCCCCATGCAGAATGAATAACCAATACTCCACTGTAAAAGCGTGAAACAAAAGGTGCGGCCAGCAGAGACACTCGTCCCTTGTACATCAATCAAGTGAATGAAGTGGCTGGCAAGTGATGAATCAGGTTGACTGTGGTTGCAACAGGCTGCTTTATAGCTGGATTATTTTCCCCATGGCAATGATTGTTTGCCTTGTTACTGATCTCCTTCAAGTAGCTGCTTGTTTTCATGTACTTTTGAGTTTAGTATTTTATTTTCTCAGATTTGGGTTGGTATGTGATCTTCAAGCTCCCTTTGGCTTGTATGGAGTCAGATTACAGTCCTGGCTTTTGACAGGCTCAAGTGGATCTAGGAAGCCTGGTGTGATTCCTCAAGGCTTGACAGCTTCAGTGCTTTAGTTAAGGAATCATACTAACGAGTCCATTCACACTTTCCCAAGCTTAACAATAGAGCCAGTGTGGAAAAACACCAAAATAGAACATTATATTTCAAACTTGTTTGGTTGATAAGCAAATTACCTAGCTATTCAAGCAATCATTAAGGAAGTAAGTAATTATCAAAAGAAGGCACCAAACCGGGAAGGCTATGCAGCACCATCAAGTAAGTAAGTAATTATCAAAAGAAGGCACCAAACTGGGAAGGCTATGTAGCACCATCAAATGCGCAGAATAATCAGAGGGCGCTAAATATCACCAAGGATGCCAATACGAGAACAAAAACGCATAAGGCGAACGATATCAAAAGTATCTGAGTCACCAAGAATTCTATTGAGGGACAGGCGACCGCGCAATCATTAAGGAAGGCCAAGTAGCAATTAGTATAAAAAAAATAAAATGGCCACAGGAAAACCAATAGTAAACACAGGTTGTCCAAACAAATTAAGTCTTGAAATTCCAAAAGCAGTTATACTTTAATTTACTGAGCAGCCACCGGCTTTCCTTTCAAAGGTTTCCCCATTATTCTAAAGGATTTTTTCCAGCTGAAAAATAATAATTTTTTCATGAAAAAGAGCTCCATTCTCAAATAAGCTGCCCATTCTTTATGAGGTTCTTATTTCCAATTAAATTAAATTTTCTGCAATTGGTTCAATTCTCCAATCAAGCATACTGTATTTTCTGTACAATTCAAAGGAATAGAGATAAAATATCTTATCTGAAGTTCAGTACTCCTAATTACAAGCTGACCATAAACATTAATGAGCTTGAGGATAACACTGTACTTGTTCACCTGTACCACTCTGTCCTGCAGGCCAGCATTGATGTGCAGTTCCTCTCTCTCAACATCAAGAATAAATTGAGGCTGAATGTTTTGCGACATATCTTGATCAGCGAGATTAAAGAAGGCTAAAAGGCATTTAAGTGTTGCCGTCACAATGGCTGAACTGCCGGCTAATCCAACTTGCCGAGGAATGTTGGTGTCATAAGAAAGTGTGAAGTTACGGCGAGTCAGAGCAATTCTGTAAAAATCAAAATACATACTGTACAGTGCTACATATAAATATACTGTATAAAATTCAAATAATAAAATGACAAACCACTAGTCCACTACTGAAAATAATTATCTGAAATTTTATGCATAATAATTACAAGGCTTACCATTTTCAGTATGATATGATGCAATATAATTTTGAGTTCTTGGAATATAGTCATTAAATTTTATCTAAATCAGTCAGGAGTGAACCCAACCAAAAATTGCAAAAGTTTGTAAAATGGACTCAACACCTGACCATTGCCCGTGCAAAATGATTTGGAATAACTAACTCTGACCTTTGTCTTCCACAAAATATTTTGGTCATTAAGTTTGCAGAGCCTTTACACATTTGTCTACTTTTTATAATTTTCACTACAAGCAAAGAAAAGCTCAAGACCATATTTGAAAATATAAAACAATATTGTCTTGCATAATATAAACTCTGTATTTGCCTAAGTGTGCTTACAAAGATGAGAGCTACGCTCGTGGTGTAATTACCTAAGTGTAATTACCTAAGTGTAGTTACAGGATGAGAGCTACGCTCGTGGTGTCCCGTCTTCCCTGTGCTCTTTGTCATATAACGCTTTGAAACAACTGACTGTTTTGGCCTCCACCACCACCTCGCCTAACTTCTTCCAACTGTTTACCACTCTGTTTTCAAAAGTGAATTTTCTTTAACAAATCCACAAGGGCCGTGATCAGGGTTTGAACCTACGTTCGAGAGGATCCCAGATGCGCCTTAATCGACTGTGACATGACATGGTTAAAAGAATTGAAACCAAGTATTTAACTGACCCTTACATGGATCCTGCAGTCTCCCCAAGACACAAACCAGAGTTTTGCACAATTTTCCCATGCACCCAGGGGATAATAAGTTTTGTCAATAAGCTATTCTACCTCTTCGCCCTTACTTCATTACACACAGACATCACAATAGCGTGATGTATCAAATGAACAAATCCACAAGGGCTGTGATGAGGGTTTGAATCTACATCTGAGAGGATCCCAGACGCGCCTTAATTGTCTGTGCCATGACATGATTAAAAGAATTGCAATCAGGAGTTCAACTGACCTCACATGGATCCTGCAGTCTCTCCAAGACACAAACCAGGTTAATTTTCCATTAGAAAATTTTTCATCAAAGTTATAAGCCTCTCTGCCACTCCTCCAATATGTTCCAGTCATACACCTGGCAGTGTCTAAGGGGAACTGCAGCTCAGCAGCTCCTACGGGCAAGCTGGCACTGTAATTGAACACTTTAAAGTGTGAAATTACAGTATAGAGGGGAAGAAACACTAGGAGTGTAGCTCACAATCTGTACCTACACCTTAGTAATTACACTTAGATAATTACATGCCTGGGATGCATCAGTGTCGTAGCACGAAGAAATATAAGAAAATTCACTTTTACAAACAGAGTGGTAGACGGTTGGAACAAGTTAGGTGAGAAGGTGGTGGAGGCCAAAACTGTCAGTAGTTTCAAAGCGTTATATTACAAAGAGTGCTGGGAAGACGGGACACCACGAGCGTAGCTCTCATCCTTTAACTACACTTAGGTAATTACTTGACCACTTACAGAAAAAGACTTTAAGACTATACTAGCTATATTATACCATTCATGGTACCATTTAAATAGTAAACAGTAAATAATTTATAAAAATAATTTTTTATAATAATACAGTACTGCATTTACCCCAAAAGGAAAAAGAATACTGTAGTAATTTTTACAGCATTTCACCATTTTGCAGTAATGTTTCAGAGACAGTTCAGATTTGCCAAACACCTCTGAAAGGTGTGGTCCCTGTTGCATTCTTTAAACTGTTACACTATATAACCTTTTCTTTGGTTTTCTTATGGGCTAATTTGACATGCACTTTTATCTAAGATAGGCCAAAGCATGTTGATCTATCATGAACTAGCTTCAAGGAAGGAATGGAACATGGTAATTTCTCTTTCCTAATGAACAAGTTAAGTGTCCATTTGCTCCAGGTTGAGTAACTTTTTCTGTACAAAAATAACTTACCCTCTTTCGGCACAATAATAATAGAATTTTTTGCAGGTTGCCTGGAGTAAGCGTAGCCCTCCTAAGTAGCCTTCTTTATCACTAATCCCGTACAAGTCAGACAAGGATCCAAATTCTGTAGGATCATTGACAGGATGAGGAATGAGCCGGAGTTTTGAGCTCTCAGCAATGGTGGCTTCAGCCCAAAAATTGGCTATAGACAGAGATATTGTCTTGCCATGGAATCCATCGGATGGATTTCCCATCAGTCCAACCCTGTCAAAATTCAATTAGACATTTGTGAATATCAGCACATGTAATATACAATACTGTACTCATATCATTCCATATTGTTTAATATACTTTATGCAGTATCAGCATCTGATGAGGATACTTATATATATACATACAGTATGTTATGAATCACAATATCAAAGTTCAAGATTCTCTCCATCCTTATACCTCTCTCACAACTATTGTTCAAATGTAATAATATTTAGTATACTGTAATATTATGATGACTCTTTTTCCCCATAAAAGGTATACTGTACTAAAGTTCAAAACCCATATTAATAATACAGTACAGTACTGTACAGTGACACCTCAGTATACGAATGCCGCAGAGTACAAATTTTTTGTTGTAAAGTTTGACCCGATGTACGGTGTTTGCTCCAGAGTATGACTCATTTGTTAATACTTGTATGCGTCAGGCACGTGGGTTCTGCTGGCCGTGGGGTGAGGCATGCTCAGTTTACCAGTGTATTCTGTCCTGTGATGACCGCGCTTGAATGCTTTGTAAAGAATTTAATTGTTTTTTCCGTTTCTTTTTTGGTTCCCGAAGAGAAAAGTTGTTATTATATGGCAAGCTATGGGTCCTCATGGTCTGATATGTAATGGGAAGAACTGCAAAGTTTTGATGAAAAGACTTGCCCAAATAAAACTGTAGCAAGGCCGTTGCATTAACTACTTATCTGCACAGAGTTAACCCTCAAAGGCCATATTAGGCCATATTTTAATGTATTTTAATATTTTTATCACTCTTTGCGATTTGAAATTAAACTGGTAGAGTTTGGAAACATTTTGACATTAACATTAGCTGAACATTCATAAAACCAACAAAATATGTCTTTAACAATTACACCATGAAATGTTTTGCCAAAAACAGGTGCACAGTGTAGGGATAAACCTTTTTACGACAATGTGATTTATCACTACAGACAAGTGTTAAAACATAGGGAAAAACAAGTGTCTAGACAGATTCTTAATGAAACAAACAACCAGCGAGCCACAACCAGGTTCTAGTGGTATGCCTGCAAAACGTAGGAGAAAGTACCCCAGAAATGTTATCACTGCCTGATGTTATAATGGAAGGGGACTTCCCTTTTAAACACTAACACCTCATCTTCTCTCCTCCTCACCATTTTCCATATGCCAACAAGAGTCCTTAATAAAGGCTTAATAATAAAGGAAGTCCAGGCAACTCGAACAGAAAACGGGAGAGTACATCACTTTCGTGAGCCAATTTCATTTCAAATTACGTCCATTTTTAGCCATAGCGCGCATACGAGTGGAAAGCGATATTTTTAAGAGGACGGGTTGACTACTGTGCATCTGATCCTTTGGCTATTTCTGCAACTCTCTGCTGGCCGTTGATACCATTGTTCTGTTATGTTCTCCACATTTGCTATTTGCTTACCAATTGATCTACAGTATTTATTTTTAAAAATGTTTACATATGACTGTCAGACTAAATACACAGTAAACGGTCATGCTACAATACAGAAAACTCAAATTAACATATTTAGCCTAAATATAAACTTTCATACAATAACAAAGTTGAATAATTTGAATCACACTTACCTAGCATAAGCCCTCATGGTAATAGGGTCTTTGCATTCATTCTCTGCTAGGTTAGCAAAGTAGGAGACCCAAGATTCATAATCCTTCAGTCCTACTTTTCCAATAAATTGGAAGCCTGTAGGCAGCTTCATCCCATACACTGATACCTAAACACAGAAATTATTACTGTAGTTCCATGTCAGATTCTTGAGATGAAATAAATTTTCGAACAGCTATGTTTTAAGATTAACCTAAGGATGTTATCAAGTGTAAATTTAAGTAATCATGCCTATTGCAAGACCGATTGGTTTATATACGAGAAATGTACAAAAGCTTTTTTATTAGAAGTACAGTAATTGAATGCATTAAAAAAAAAAAAAAAAAAAAAAAAAAAACAGTAAAAACTAAAATATTTAAACTTTAGAAAACAATTCTGGCTTTATAAACCATAACTTCTGCACTATATGAGCCACTATAATTTATGATGTTAATAGTAGAATATATTGTCAACTTTTCTAGGAAAAAAATCCAGCAATAAATGTAATAAAACATCATAACCTGGTAGCCACTAAGCCTTGGGAAACACAACAGCATTCTATAACCCTTGAGTGTCTCCGCAGGGCCAGGATCAGAATCTGGCCCCCCCTGGTAGCAACTAAGCCTTGGGAAACACAACAGCATTCTATAACCCTTGAGTGTCTCCGCAGGGCCAGGATCAGAATCTGGCCCCCCCTGGTAGCCACTAAGCCTTGGGAAACACAACAGCATTCTATAACCCTTGAGTGTCTCCGCAGGGCCAGGATCAGAATCTGGCCCCCCCATCAAAGAGGCAAAGGGGAACCTTAGGGAATGGTTATATCTTGAGATTCTTGAGGTTATCTTGAGATGATTTCGGGGCTTTTTTTTAGTGTCCCCGCGGCCCGGTCCTCGACCAGGCCTCCACCCCCAGGAAGCAGCCCGTGACAGCTGACTAACACCCAGGTACCTATTTTACTGCTAGGTAACAGGGGCATAGGGTGAAAGAAACTCTGCCCATTGTTTCTCGCCGGCGCCTGGGATCGAACCCAGGACCACAGGATCACAAGTCCCGCGTGCTGTCCGCTCGGCCGACCGGCTCCCCTAGAGACCACCAGAGAACTTAGCAAAATATGCACTTGTGCATTACAGTCTTAGTGTGTTCCCCAAGGCTCCACTGCTTCCAGGTTGTAGCATCAGGGACTCAAAGAGTGGTAGGTCCACTCGGTGGAAAGAAGAGTTTCATTACGTACAATACAGGGGTTTAACACTAACTACAACAGCAAACACAATTTGGTTATTTAGAATGAAACCATTATGCGAGATGGTTTCCCAAAGTCAGGGACAGAAGGCTTGTTAGGCTTACCGAGGTTCTTTTCCCCCCCTAGGCCAACTACTAATCTTTCCCAGGAGGCAATCCACAACAGTTACCCAACTTCTAGGTAAGCAGAGGCATCAGGTGAAATGAAACATTGCCCAAACCAAACACTTGGCCTGCCATGGGAGTTGTACCTGGGACTTTATGTCTGCGACACGACTGCTCTGACTACTACACCACTTGGTGTAGGAGATATATAAAAGATTATGTCATGTTTATTTGGTACTTACCGGGTATTTGTTTCTCTTTTACATTGGTTAAAGGTACTACAGAACTGAATTGAATTTGGGAAGTTATTCCAAAATTTAGGATTATTTGCATGGCATTTTTGCTTTGAGTTGAGTTGAAATCGTCAAATATCAAATAGATATTTACAGTATTTCTCATGTGGTATCAATGGTTTCTGTTGCAGCACTAAAGAAATGTTTGTCATAATGATTGGTATTGCACTTTAGTTCAGATAATACAGTTTAGAGACCACTTGAGAATGTACACTATTTTTATAATTATCATAATCAAGGAATTAAAAAATGTGCTATATGTTGTCTTATAAACCCTAAGGGTTTTGGGTATTTTTCTCTACTTCAGGCAAAAGGCCCCCTGGAGGCTTCATGTCCTTTGCCTTCCATACAGGATGTCTCAAGTTTTTAGGTAGCGTTTCAATAATTGGGGCGATGTTCCATTCATCTTGGTTGGGAAAGCCACAGGCCCCTGGTTTCAGAGCTTTCTCTGGGCCTCTGGCGCCCAGTTTCCGGAGCTATAGGCTTCTAGATTTCCTGTGCCTGTGTCCACTTCTTTTGGGAAGGAATTCCTGGAATCCCCCTTGTTGCTGGCCCCTCATTTTACCGATCTCTGTTGGCCAGGAGTTCTAATCACCAGGGATGGTGTACTAATTTCTGAACACCTCTTCCTCCAGTTTTTGGGACAATGGCTGGGCTCCAGTCTTGGTCCTATTTTATTTCCTCCCTGCCAGTCTCCTGTTCATGGGACATTCTTGGTTCTTTCTTCTGGGTTTGGTTTCGGATTATTCCCTTTCCTGTTTTTTTACTCTTGTGCCATTTTACATTCTGTCCTGCAGCCAAGAGGTGGTATTATAAGACGTTTGAAAAATATAGACTAGTGTACATGCATTTTCTGAGAGTCAAGGCTAGATTCAGAATTTTCGTGTATCCCTTCTCTCATACAAGATCTCGTGAGGATGATTTGGAAACATCCTCGCTGAGTCAAGAGTGAGAAGGCCATAATGGCCCTGGCTGGATCAGTGTCCTTGGGATGTGGAATATTGCCAAGGAAAGTAACCAAGTGATCTAAGCTCAGACAGACTACTAAAGGAAACTTTCCTTATCACTCTCCATTAGAGCTTCAGGTACGAAATGCCAATTTATAATAATTTATGAGAACCCCAGAAACAAATTCATACCTTTTGGTCATTGATAAGCCACTCCATGAAGTTACCAAATGAGTGCTGTGTAGTCTTTGAGTGTTCATTTATGAATATGGGTACTAATGCCATTGTCTCACACCGGAATGTATAAAAGACAACACTGGCATTTCGAGAGAGAGTTTCTTCTGGTAAAGGTTTTTCTATGAACTTGAGAATTCTGGAAAGACCAATAATGTACATCTATAATGAATTTATAAGTTTTTAAATACTGCACAGTAATAGAAGAATTTGTCTTTGCATGATCAGCATTCTACTGCAATGCATAGACTCATTGATGATTAAATTAAAATATAAACAATATAATTACATTATTACAGGATTACTATATCTCACAGCCTTAGGCTATACTCTAATTTTGTTTACACAGCCAGGGAAGGGCCAAGCACTATGGCCCAACTTTGGTGCCTAGGCCTTCGGCTCAGTAACCTGAACCCGCACATCTTTCCAAGGCTGTGACATACATAGAAATGAACAAAGAGATCAGTTTAGGGATGTTCCTCTTGCTGGTTCGAGGTTCTCCACTGATTTTCATGTACAGTAATAATACAGTAAGAAGAATATGAATACAGTAAGAAGAGTATGAATACTGTAATAAGAATAATTTATTTAAAAATATACAAGATATTACACTGAGGTTTAATAATTGTTAGAGAGTACTGTACTAGTATATTCATTCAATAAGGCCACTAATACACAAAGTGTTTTGGATGTGTGTGGTTTTTCCGAGTCAAGTAATTACCCAAGTGTAGTTACAGTAGTTACAGGAGGAGTTCTACGCTCATGATATCCTGTCTTCTCAGCACTACTGTATCATATAACAATTTGAAACTACTGATGGTTTTGGCCTCCACCACTTAACTTGTACCACTACCACTCTGTTTACAAAAGAAAACTTTCTAACGTTTTTTTTGGCACCCATGTTTCCTTAGTTTCCTTGTGGCCCATAACAGTGCCACAAATATCCAATTTATTTTCAAATATGTCCTGGGTATTAATACAAATATGTCCTCGCATTGCATTAGGTCAGTTCATCATGCACCGAGTCCCTTTGGGATTACTGGCATCTCCTTTCCTACTACTTTGGTACTTCCCCAGAAATCCCCAGATTTCTCTCTGCCTCTATTTGTTGGGGGGATGGGGGGGGGGGGCAAAATTCTGGTCCTGGTCTCTAGTAGGTGCTTGTGACACATTTAAGTTTGGTGTGGTACTCAAGGTTTGGTAGGTTTATGGTGGATAGTTTGGGGACCTAACTGTCGGAGTACTTTCCAAAGGTACTCTAGCCAGTGAATTGATAAATACTGTACTGGTCACCTTCTGACACCAGTACGCATGAACTCAGATGTGGGTTTGGAATGCTCATGGATGCTCACCTCACCCTTATCCCACACTTAACAAATAAAACATACTCAAACACCTTTTTTCCACGAAGAATAAAGTACTGTACATGTGACAATGTTAATTGGTTGGTGTGTGTATTTCCATTGATTTCCTCATACTGTACCTCATATGATCCTGCAGGGTTGCAGTACTCCCTGTGGCACTGATGGCTGTATGCCACCATGCCTAACTGCAGTTCACTTGCATTTTATAGTACAGTACATGGGATAATACAAAAATAGCTTAAGTAGTACTGTAGCTTAGAAAATAAATTTGGTAAAGTCTTCATTAATATTTACCTATTTGTGGTTTGGCAAACTTCAACAATACCTCTTGATGTAGTACATTCAGAATCTTCCATTTCATAGTATATAGCCAAATCTCCGTCAGGTTTCCGATGGAAGTAGTCAATCACCTGGGCAATGTCAAACTTGGAATCCTGTGCAAATAAAACAATTAGTGCTTCATAATCAAATCATTAGTTTTGGATGTGGGTGAAAAATTACTTTCTGAGCAAAGCATTCAGTTTCTACTATAATCAAGGTCCTGACATTCCTCCTCCCATAAACAAAACTATGGCCAATTAGGTAATTCAACACTTGCACCAGCAGAAAAGGCATACTGTATTTTCAAACATCTCTGTCAAGTCACACTGTTGCAGAGAGATGCAAGAGAATACACACAATCTAGCCTTGAATAGCCCCAAGAAGGCTCATTCAGATGAATTTTAACTCCATCCAAGCGGACCATCTGGTCACCATTACCAAGTGCCATTAGGTGTTACCAGGTTACCCGACTTTGCCCACCCAACATTCCACCCGATGAGAACTAATACAAGCACAGAGTCAAAGGGCAAGGAAGCGAACTAAAGCAACCAATAATGGCATGCAAAAATGCACCTAGGGGAGAGTAGAGGAGTCAGGCTAAAACAGTGACTCAGGGTGCAAAAATTGTGAGGAGCAAAAGATCCTCAGTGATAGGAATGAAGAACCAAGAAAGGTTAAAGTGATTAGAGTTGAGGTAGAAAGACTGCTCAAAAGCTAGACAGAAACAAAGTCGTCAGACCAGATAGAGTCTTGTCCTGGATTTTGAAAGAATACTCACCGGAGCTTAGCATCCTACTACACATTTTTCAAAACAATCTTACAAGAAGGGAACTTGCCAACATACAGAAAAAAAGGCAAACATTGCTCCAATCAATAAAAACAGTAACAGAGGGGGATGGGGGGGGCCCCTCTAAATTAGACTTGTATCACTGACAAACATGGTAGTCAAATAAGAATTTTTTTTTCCAAATACAGTAGAACAAATAGGTAGAACACCTAGAAAGAAATTATATAATGACAATATGGATACAGTATTAAAACTATTAGTGAATACTATTTTGAAGAAGCGAAGGCATGAAAAGGAAAAAAAACATCCCTTAAGGATGACCTTAAATGGAGATAAACAGATGACTGAAGAACTCGGGGATACCAGTAAATTACGAACTAATAAGGATGAGAATTTGTGGGCATTAAGGAGAGACCTATCAAAGGAAGAAAGAAAAACAATCTCAATGAAACAAAACTTAAATGAGAGCAGAAATTACTTCTACAAGGTGATAGGCATCAGAAAGCTTGTGAAATAGAATATAATGGACAGCTATCAAAAGAACTAGATGGAGAGGAGTAAAAGGAAACATGTTCCCAATAACATTGTATACAAACACAGACTGCACGAGGTACAAAGAGATGCAACACTATACAGCTGAAAATACCCAACATTGCCACTGGCAGGCCTAGTAATATTTGGCCATGAAGTTCCTCACCACCTTCACTTCCAGTCCTAGTAATGTTTAGCTGACAATAACACTATGGTATACTGTACCTGGAAAAGCATATCGCCAGCAATGACGAGAATGTTGTGCTTCCAGAGGTTCTTGGCTCTAAGAACAAGTTCAAGATCAGCTATCGCACCAATGCTATTTGCTTCAGTGGTTGACCCATCATTTATTATGTTTTCTACAGGGAAATCCGAGGCAGTTGCCCACCGTTCAAAATGTTTGTATTTGTCTGCATTGGTCACCAGAAACACATTGCTAAAAAGCTGCCGCCTATAACAAGATACATAATTATTAAATACTGTATTACAATATTAACTACTGTAAAGTGAAGGTGAAGGATTGGGCCTTTTAAAAAAGGCCCAATTATAGCTTGGGCCTTTTTAAACAAGTTGCCTGGATTAATGTCAACCAGTTTGTTTAGTAATTTACAGATCTTTTACAAGATCAACTATCATGACCATTTTGAAAAATTGTTAGCCCTGAGGCTCTCAACATTTTATAGTATGAAAACTGACCGAAGTTCCGAGATGATTTTGTCACCGTGCAAATTTTTTTCCAATGTCCTTTTGACTGGTGGATCATTTTTCCAAGGCCTTTTTCTTTTTTAATCTGCTACAAGGTTATGTTGATATGGTAGTTATTATGTGTGCTGTATTATTATGCCCTACATGCAAGGTCTTACATTTATTGATAATTACTATTTATGAAATTTGTGAAGAGTGCTTTGCAAGGCCTCAATCATTTTTCCTTCCAACTTCTCCATAGATTTTTGTTTTATCTGCCTACATTCTAGCAAGAAATAATAAAAAAAGTGATTAATTCTTGATTAAAGTGATTAAAAAGTGATAAATTATAATTACTGTGATTCTATTTAGTTAAGTCTTATTAACAAATATTATAATATGCCTCATGAGTAGATACCAGAAAGAATAAATAAGGTATATTTACGTGTTCAGGGCATCCCACCAGTGGTCGAGGATCCTCTTGCCTCGGGGTGACGGAAACAATGCCTTCGGCACCCCCTTTAGGTGAGCATATTTGCCACTTTTATCATTCTGAGATACAGATAAGGTTTAAAGATGAAAAATTTCTTTATTATCAGAATCTTTTTGCTTCCTAAATTAGGATTCACTGTGGCTTAAGACAGTACCATGCAGTATGGCAAAACAACAATCTGGCACTGGAGTCTCAAGAAATGTTTTGAGCAGTCCTTCCTGGGTTATAATAGGTGCTATGGTGTCACTGAAGCATACTCAGTGTAACTCAGCATGAACAACAGATGTTCCATTATTAACAACTCAAAACCCTTCCAAACACTGTCCTAGGATCACAGGTAACTGCCAAAGGAGGGTTCTCGCTCAATTACCAGTTGGCCAGGCCACCTATGCTGACCACAACTACCAGACTGCAGCATTACACCCCACCTATGGATTCCCTGACTTGAGCCATCCCACAGATCTCTCTACACAAAAAATTAACACTACGCTTGGGAAAAGTGGGTCAGAAGAGATGAATCAGGGGCAGCTGAAAGATTCTTCTCAGAAAGGTGATTTTCATATTAACTCAATGCCTTGTCTTCATTGAACAGTGTGTTCTGTTGCCAATTGAAAGACCTGATTTACATCATCAGGCAAAGCCAGGAAACAAAGTCAACTCGCCTCCAGATAATGAAAGTGAGACCAGAGTGCCAATATCCATCCCTCCTCCCCAGAGAAGAAAAAGTGGGATTTCCATTACATGAGAAAGAGAGGCAACAAAATTCCCCTGCCCGGCTTCAGGGCCTTAAGCCCCTGAAGGATAAAAACTGCACAGAAACAAAACTGTCTCCACACAATCTCTCCCGTGCCCCTCATGAGTAAACAATGAGCAAAGAGAGATCATGTCCAGACATAATCAAGAGACCTAATTATGATCATGTCCAGACATAATTATTTATGTCTGGACATAATTAAGGGACACAAAGACACTTAAACACTCACAACAATAAGCACTCCACAAAGCTAATCATTGAGCATGGGATTCAAAGTCCAGACCAGTTAAATGAAATAAAAAATAATTGAAATCTAACCAGCTGGTTGGTGGCGGATAATGCGAGTGGTTGGGTAATAAACGCGAGTCTTTCTTTTGTGGTCACTTGTTATGCCATGGGCAGGCTTGGAAGGTCTTCAAGTTTTATGAGTGGAAACTCTGGTCACTGTGGGCCAAATTGAGTATTTTCTAGCGACTCCCCAAGGACCTGCAATAACCCTAAAATGACAAACTGAAAAGTTCCTTTGTGGCACCGGGTGCCAAAATGTTGTAATGTCTGACAATGCCAGATCTTGTCTTGTCCTAAGACAGCGGATAATACCTTAGAGAACAGACAAATGTGACTGCTGAAATATAATGTGCAAAATATGTCTCACAATAAGTAAGTATCCTTACTTGAATTCATATATAATAAGTGAACATTTTTACATTACTGTATGAACTTCTTATGGTAATACAGTAGCTACATTAATAAAGTGTAGTTTATAAATACAATTAATTTTAGGTATCTTTAAAATTAAAACAAGTAAAACAGTACTGTACATTGCAAATGTAAACAAAATCAGAATGAGATTATACTTTTATACAAAATAAATGAGAGTATAATTGTATGTATAGGCATTTATATTTGTATACAGTATTTGCACTAATCACATTCAACAATTTGGACAAACCACAAGATTATAATGCTTTTGTTGTAATTATACATTTGAGGGTAATACTAATACAGTTCTAAGAGAAGTTAACAAACACAAATAAAAATTAAGGAGTTAAACTAGACACACAGTATTCTAACTGTAGGAATCTGGGTTTATTGGTAATATTTTTGTTTCATAAATGAAAATTATTAAAATATGTAGTACACTGTACCTGTATTTACATTATTTTTAGAGTTAATAATAACAGCAAACAATTCACTTAAGAGGAGCCCTTCCTGGCTAATACTGCAGTAGCTCCACCTACCTAGGAATGACCATCTCCTAACACTGCAGTATTTACACCTTAGGTATCATATTCTAAATATGATACCTAAGTATCATATTCATTTATGAAACTTGGTATCATATTCTAAATATGATACCAAGTTTCATAAAAATTATCAAAATTGAATTATTAACCTCATACTGTTTCCTTTATTACCCTGTACAGTATAAACTAAATACATTCTTTACCATTAAAAACTTCATATGAATTAATTCTGACTTATTTAATTCCTGAGCAGGGCAAGACATTTGGGTGTGTTTCCTTACATTTGAAGCCTCAGTTCACCTAGCAGTAAATAAGATACCTAGAAGTTAGGCATCTGTTGTGGGTTGCATCTTAGAAAAAGTCAGTACTGTAGTTAGTTTATGGAAGCAATAAAGCTTCCTGTCTCCCCCAACAGTGGAAAAACCATAAATAAATATTTTTTAAAATTTGTTACTGCCCGAATATTTTGCCACTACTGCATACACAACTGTATATATAGCTACTTCTGAATAATAATAAAAAAATTAAAATATCACAAATGATTGTATTGATTTTCTACTGACAAGGAAGCCTGGTAAATACATCAAGGTGCCCATAAGTTACCTGATCTTCCCAAAGATACAACACACAACAGTTTCTTAACTCCTGGATACCCATTAACTGTTAGGTTAACAAAAGTATCAGGTGAAAAAAAAAATCACTTGCCTGAATTTCCTCACTCAGCTTATGTGCGTGACCTGCAGTAAATATAACGCATGCCATATCACGTTCCTGTAAAGCCCACATACTAAATATTAGACAACATTATTTAATAAATATTGAATCAGCATTACACTTTAACAGGTTCAAATACTAGTAAACAAATTGATAATTACAGTATATAAATTCACACTAAATCATGCACTGATCTGTTAAAAAGCTAATTTCTGAGAACTGCATGAAATTCTATTGTTCCTGTTTATGTAGTAATGTATTCTTACTGCAATATGCAGTACCAGTAGTTTACAATAATTATAACAATGCAATATGCCACCACTTTATAACAGCCAATCTTATAACATGTTATAGAACTAATTGGGCAACGGACACCAGGAGAGTAGTTCTCAACCTGTAACTACACTTAGGTAATTACCCGTCGAAGCCGTAAATGCCAAGACTCTGGTTGAACTTGAAAATCCAACTGGAAAAAAAAGATTATCAAAACAAATGGAAGGCCCTTCGACAAGCCGCCGGCTTCCTATCCTCATCGAGGCCACTATAGTGTCAGCGACCCTCAGACACTTTCACTTGTTGAACCCTTTTCTTACAATGACAGCATCATATACACTGTACATAATATTCTCCCAGCCCTCGTCATCCCCTGAGAACACAACACCACCCTGGGATGTACCCACCGCCATGATATCAGCCGATATAATGTTATCATCACAGTACCCGCCACAGTGTCGCTCTGGAGCTCAATACCCACAACGCTGCACAAGTAGGGTGCAGCGCTGCCAGATCCCAATTGCGGAAAGTAGCGAGCTGACGGTCTAAAAGTAGCGAATTTGTAATAAAAGTAGCCCAATTTTTTGTTTAGGGAATGATACGGGTTTCAAAGTAATATATTTTGATATATTGAGTACACTACACGATTATTAATATTATTTCTGCACACAAACACACACACACACACACACACACACACACACACACACACACACACACACACACACACACACACACACACACACACACACACACACACACAGAGAGAGAGAGAGAGAGAGAGAGAGAGAGAGAGAGAGAGAGAGAGAGAGAGAGAGAGAGAGAGAGAGAGAGAGAGAGAGAGAGAGAGAGAGAGAGAGAGAGAGAGAGAGAGAGAGAGAGAGAGTGAGTGAGTTCAATAGGTTCTTCTCTTCCATTGGGTCATCCCTTGCAAATGATATTCCATCATCCAGTACTGATGTTCAGGACTATCTTACAGGTAACTATCCACAGTCTCTGTACCTAACGCCTGCAAATTCCACCGATGTTAATGAGATAATCCTTTCCCTTAAAACCAAGTCTAGTGCCCTTGAGGAGATACCAACTTTAATTTACAAAAAAGCCTCCAGATCTTTAGCCCCTGCTATTGCATTGCTCTTCAACAAGTCACTTGAACTCCAAATCTTTCCAGATATTCTAAAAAAAGCGAGAGTAACCCCTGTCCACAAATGTGGTGATCTCACTGATGTTAACAACTACAGACATATCAATTCTGCCAAACTTGTCAAAAATATTTGAAAAACTAATCTACAAGCAGCTTTACTCTTACCTAGCCAAATACAATATACTTAGCTCTTGTCAATATGGCTTCAGACCCCAAAAAAGTAATTATGATGATGCACTTAATGATTAAATGATTAATGATGCACCTAATGATTAAATGATTAATGATTAAATAAATGTATGATTAACTTGATACATGCAGCTCTTGATAAAAATGAGTTCCTATTGGGTTATTTGTAAACCTGCGTAAGTCATTTGACACTGTCAACCACCAAAACCTTCTTCTTAAATTACATCATTATGGAGTCAGAGGTCACTCCCTACAATACCTCAAATCTTACCTTACTGACAGGCTCCAGTATGATTCTGTGAATAATTCAATTTCCCCCACCCTACCCATCAACATTGGTCTTCCTCAGGGCAGCATACTTGGCACTCTTCTCTTTCTCATCTACATTAATGACCTTCCAAATGCCTCCCAACACCTCAAACCAATTCTATTTGCTGACGACACAACCTTCATTTATTCCAGTCCTGATCCCCTTGCTCTAAATGTCACAGTGAAAACTGAGCTAAAAAAGGCCCATCTTTGGTTAACTGCCAACAAACTCACCCTCAACATTGACAAAACTTTCTATATTTTGTTTGGCAATAAATCCTCAAATCAAATAAATCTCAGAATAAATAATACCAAAATTTGTAACAAAGTAGATGGCAAATTCCTTGGCGTTCTCATTGACCACAAACTGAATTTCCAGGGACACATTCTAAATACAGTACTGTATATCAAAAAAAGATTAAAAAACTGTTGGCATTCTTTCTAAGATCAGATATTATGTACCTCGCCCTGCCCTGGTGACACTCTACTCTCTCATCTATCCTTATCTCAACTATGGTATCTGTGCTTGGGGCTCTACTACCCAAAATCATTTACGTCCTCTAATTACTCAACACAAAGCTGCTATTAGAACAATATCCACCTCTGGCCCCAGACATCACTCGGTACCCTTACTCAAATCTCTGAATATGTTAGATATTAAGTCACTGCACATTCTCTCATGTGTATTATACATATACACGGAGACACCAGTCTCCGTGGTATAGAGGTAAGATACTCGCCTGGCGTTCCGCGAGCGCTATGTCATGGGTTCGTATCCTGGCCGGGGAGGATTTACTGGGCGCAATTCCTTAACTGTAGCCTCTGTTTAACGCAACAGTAAAATGTGTACTTGGTTGTAACAAGGATTCTTCGCGGCGGGGATCGTATTCCAGGGACCTGCCCGAAACGCTACGCGTACTAGTGGCTCTACAAGAATGTAACAACTCTTGTATATATCTCAAAAAAAAAAAAAAAAAAAATATATATATATATATATATATATATATATATATATATATATATATATATATATATATATATAAACGCTGAACTGTAATGCCAATCCTGATCTCAAAAGCTTCATTGAAGGTTGTAACAGATCCCATGAGCACCACACCAGAAATAAATTCAGTTTTGACATTCCAAGAGTACGACTTAATCAAACTAGAAATGCTCTACAAATCAAGGGACCCAGAATGTGGAATGACCTTCCCAAACATGTTAAAGACTGTACCGCTCTCAACCAGTTTAAGATAAAAACGAAACACTACCTAATAAATTCCCTGTAACCTATACCTATTGGTAACCTATTGTCAACCCATGTCTGTTTTTCTTAAACAACGCTGTTTGTCGACCTAATTGTATTTGTGCTGCTTTTTCAGCCATGTTTCCCCCTTTTTATCTTTCTTTTTATTTGTTCTCAACACATTTTATATCTTTATACTCAATTAGTATTAAGTTTTAGTCATTAATGTTTTTCCTGACCGAAACGCTTTGCGTAATAGTGACTTTAGGCATTGTATGTACTAGCTCTATATATAAATCGATCAATTTATGTAAAATCTCTTGTATGTATGTACCTTACCTGAATAAACATTTTATTTTATATATATATATATATATATATATATATATATATATATATATATATATATATATATATCACTTGTTCCCTTTTAACTTGTAACACTTATATGCTGTGCTTCCTATTTTAACCTGCAATGTTAAATGGGATTCTTGTATTGTGATTTGTGTATTTGTACTCACTGAATTTGTGCGCCCCTTGAGGGGCTTGAAGTAGAGGGGGGGGGGGGGTAGAAATAGCCTAAGCTACTCTATTCCTTTGAGATGTATTATTTTATTGTCTCAATAAACATACTTGAACTTGAAGTGCACTTTAATTTTTCGGCAGCTTTATTTCCTTAGTTTCCGAGCTGTTTTCTTTACCGTGTATGTTGTAATAAACTATTCCTATATTTACAGTTGTTTCTCCCTGTGAAGATTATTAAACAATGGTGATTATAAGGGCGCGGAAGTTCAGCCTGACCATCAGGGCCGCCAGCAGCCCTTGGGCCAGGGCCGCCAGCAGCACTTGGGCCAGGGCCGCCAGCAGCCCTTGGGCCACGGCCGCCAGTAGCCCTTGGGCCAGGGCCGCCAGCAGCCCTTGGGCCAGGGCCGCCAGCAGCCCTTGGGCCAGGGCCGCCAGCAGCCCTTGGGCCAGGGCCACCAGCAGCCCTTGGGCCAGGGCCGCCAGCAGCCCTTGGGCGAGGGCCGCCAGCAGCCCTTGGGCCAGGGCCGCCAGCAGCCCTTGGGCCAGGGCCGCCAGCAGCCCTTGGGCCGCCCCGGCAGCTCCCAGTCTTTAATTTGGCACCTTTGTGGCACCTTGGTATAAGCCTAACATGTATATATACACTGGCTGCCTGTCCCCCCTGCACAATGATTCATTATTACCTATTATTTTATCATTTAATTTAAATATTAAATAAAATAATTTATTTAAGTATTATAGTAAGTACTTAATAATTTAATAATCAGTAGTAAGTACATAAAAATGATTAAAAAGTACAGTTTAGTCATAGGAGATTCCTAGATTGGAATTCACTACCAAATTCCAATATATCCAAATATTTTTAGTGTGAAATGCTGTTATTATATGCATAAATTGTTGTTTTAATAATATTACGCCTAACCACATGGGCTGGACGGTAGAGCGACGGTCTCGTTTCCTACAGGTCCGCGTTCAATCCCCGACCGCCCAAGAGGTTGGGCACCATTCCTTTCCCCCGTTCCATCTCAAATCCGTATCCTGATCCCTTCCGAGTGCTATATAGTGGTAATGGCTTGGCGCTTTCACTTGATAATTCCCCCACCCTCCTGAATAATATTACGAGAGCAGTATTTACGGGCTATTCATGCCCGTACCACCTCTTGGGTGGCTTAATCTTCATCAATCGAGAGCAGTACGTCCTAACCAGACATTATATGATGATATCCTCAACAGTTGATAAATAAAAGTAATTGCGGAGCTCCAGTTATCTAATACTTATCATAAATGATATAAAACCTTATCATAAGCCAAGGGATTTGTAGATCAGTGTTTAAAGGGAATTCGGAAGTAATAATAATACAGCTGATGCCATCTGTTGGCAGAAGAGAACACTATCAACTAGCTGGTAAATAGTGGCCATAAGATACAGCTTACGCCATCTGTTGACATCAAATTACACTTATAACAAATTACCCCACAAAATACCACTAACGCCATCTAGTTTTTTTCCAACGCACTACAAATAGCCAAACAGCAACCCATAAGGTGGGTTGTTGTGCTCGGGTAGGAGGTTCCAAGTTCCGCCCACAGATGGTATGGGGTGCATAATCATTGGCATATCATTGGTACAAACTCTTTGTTGACATTCACACAACAGCCAATCATAGGAAGGGATCAGCTAAAGGCTCCATCCACTTAATAAATCATCTTTATTCAGCACACCATCCTTGCTTATGACATTCTGCTTCAACTTTAATCTACCTAAAAAGTGAAATGTTAAGTATTTAAAAATATTAATATAGTGATAATTAAATACTGCAGGATGTAACGAGTGTTACAGAAAAATGGGCTGGCTACCTAACTTGTGACGTCATCAGTGGGAGTTGCCTTGACACATATAATGATACACTGCTCTGCCCTCTTATTCGAGTAAATTATTCAGTTAGATGGAGAATTCTGTCAGGTGCAAAACAAAAATTGTTGTTCTTTTTTACAACAATCTTGTTGTTGTGCACAAGGACCTATTTCTTAGTTTAAATTATATTCATAAAAAGAGTGTTGGTATTCCCCGCAACAGCCAATCACAGGAAGGTATTTCTGGAAGCCCGGCCTCCTTATGGACTCAGTACATCGCTCTAGCTCATGGCTCTGTTTCATCGCTTGTATATACAAACTATGACTTTTTTCGATTACTGTTATAATTAATAATATGAGATATAAAAGTTTTTACACAAAATGGCTAAATTCTGCCATTAAATGGACTTCGTCTGGTATACATACAAACATACACCAATTTATTACCATTCATCCATTATTAATTTCAAATGTAATGTATACTGTCTAATTTTTTCCTCTCGTCATTACTTGGTGCAATATTTGAAAGTTGTCTATTTATTTATCGATCTATCTATTACCTTGTATTTATATATACAAGTTTTTGTGCTTGGAAGAAAACTCTGCATTGAATTGGGACTAATTTATTAAATAATATTATTTAGTATTAATTAATATTTACAATTATTTATAGCTTAGTTACTATCTTGTAACTCGCAATCGTACATTCTTCCCGATGATTGATTGACACATTTGTCAATCACACTGCACACATTTGTGAAGTGTGAATTTAATCCTTAAGCAAACAACAATCATAGTCTTAGTTAATTATGAGTTAAATGAGTCACAGAAGTTAACTAAGCTATGTATACTAAGGCTACTACCAGAAGTGGAATGGTTGCTAAGTGAATGCCAGAGGGAGGAGTCGTATCCAATAAACTCATCATATAACAAGTCAAATAGTGAAGTAGGCAAGGCCAATAAGAATGAGGGGTTGGTCCGGACAATTTCTTCAGAAGGTCAGATGTGTAACGTACGTTTATGTTACGTTGTTGGGTAGATTAGATACACAGTGTTTAGTGAGTTTCATATTTATTTAGTAGTCCTGGATACAGAAGTGTCGTAGACGTTGAGACGAAGCCTGGAGCAGAGCAGAGAGCTGAGTGTGGCCGGAGTCGCGGAGCTCTATGTGGGAGAGCCTTGTAGCTGGATGAGGTCGTAGTCTGCTGCCTGCTGTGTGTCGAAGCTGTAGTGTCTTGGGTCGATTAGAACTGCCTACACCGAGTACTACATTCTTGACTGGAGATTGTACTGTTTTGCTATTCTCAAATCGCTGGCTTATATACAGTTACTACACCTCACAGTAAGATGGAAGGGTGGAAAAACCGTTACCTGTAAATAGTAATAGGATTATAGCTTGTGTAATTAGTTATGTCATTAAGATGATGAGATAATGGAGCGAGTATAGGTTTACTCGCTACAGATGTAACACAAACAAGGAGTAACGGTGTCAAGCTCAACAAGCCACAATGTAGGACTGACAGCAGGAGATGCTTTTTCACCCATTGGGTTATTTTTTTTTTTTTTTTTTTTTGAGAGATATACAAGAGTTGTTACATTCTTGTACAGCCACTAGTACGCGTAGCGTTTCGGGCAGGTCCCTGGAATACGATCCCCTGCCGCGAAGAATCGTTTTTTCATCCAAGTACACATTTTACTGTTGCGTTAAACAGAGGCTACAGTTAAGGAATTGCGCCCATTAAATCCTCCCCGGCCAGGATACGAACCCATGACAGCGCTCGCGGAACGCCAGGCGAGTGTCTTACCACTACACCACGGAGACTGTTATTAACCCATGGAACCGCCTACCCGCGGAAGCCGTAAATGCCAAAACTCTGTTAACTTTTAAAGTACAGCTGGTAAAGATCACCAAGGGAAATAGGGGGACCTTCGACAAGCCGTCGGCTTCTTGTCCTCGTCGAGGCCGCTAGTGTTAGTGGCTCTCAGGTAAACTCAGGTACACTAGGGAAACGTTGTTGATTCGTATTTTATATTTTTAATACAACAAAAAATGAATTAATATAATGTTACGATTATTAATGATGCCCATTATTAATCAGTGTGCCCATAAATTTATTTCCCCTAAATAAATAAACATTATTATCATTATGATTGACTATAATCTAGTCCTTACGGGCATGAATAGCCCGTAAATACAGTTAAGTGTTTTGTGCGTTCGACCATGTTTGTGGTCCTTCAGATGTAAGGTGCAAACACTGGCGGAGCGCGAAGTTCTCAAAAGTAGCCCAATTCGCTATTTGTAGCTCAATCTGGCAACACTGACTAATGAGTACAAGTGCCTTTACATGAATGTAAAACGTCACATCTCTGTACTCTCATATACCCAATGTACCTTCTTGTATATAAATTAATATAGTTTTTAATATATCAAGTAAAAAAGGTGCAGGGAAAACAAACGCTGCAGGGTGTTATTTGGATACAAACCATTTCGTATAGAAAATACGATTGTATCGTTTTTATACTATTCGCCATGGGCGCATCCGATCCCATGATCGTCGTCGCCCCTAAATCAGCACAACATACTATTCGCCAGCGGATATTAAACCTACTGAACCTAACCTAGCTCAACCCAACCTAACCTAACCTAACCCCAACTGAGACCCATACATCCTAAGCTAATACAATCTAGTATAACAATATTTACGATTTTAACACATAAAACGAGAGCTTTGTCTGAACGTCTCGTGTACGAAACGACCAGTCCCTGTTTATTTATAGCAGAGCTGGTGGAGGAGCGAGGCGGCCGGGCGGCACCTCCACCACCTCTTTATAACTCCTTCAACACGGCAAGAATTAGTCCAGTTTTGTAAGTGTAGATACCGTTATTATATAGTACTTGCATCTTCAATTATGTATATTATTTGTTAGGTATATGTTACCTATGTTTTTCCTGCATTTGGACGAGTCGCCCCACTCCCTTCACTCGCCCATTTCATTTATTAGTCACAGATATAGCTAGGACATATTCTCCAACACTATATATATATGTGACTGCCCTGTCACATATATATAGTGTTGGAGTAGTTTCAGACCAAAGGGTATGGAGGTACTTTGAGCTCTGTAACTACTACATACACTCAAGGATATTGGAAGATGCCCAGAGTGGGCTAGTGGAGGCTAATATTAAATTAAATTAAATTAATTTTTTTATTCAGGAAAAGTACATACGTAGTTATTTTACGAACATAATGTTGGATTTATAGATGTTATTAATAGATCCTGTAGTTGGATTTATAGGCTAATAGATGAGCCTCGCATCTCATGTTCTCTCCTGACTGACTGACTCTCCTCCTGACTCTCCTGAGTATGACTACCCATCCTGTGAGATGCGGATATTTGATGAACTTATAGCTAGTTTTTGGTCTATACTGTGTAATCTTTCCTGTAGAATAGGGAAGCATCATATTGCTGCATCATATAAGCTCATTAATCAAAAGAAATTCATTCAATCCATTTAATTTGTTTATTTTCTTTGGTTAGCTTATCCTAGGTTAGGTTAGATTTGTATAGAATAGGTAGGCAGGTTTCAGCATAGTGTAGTGTTGTTTGGCATTGTTTTGGTTAAATGAGTGGTCTTATGCATCTTGAAAATTTGCCTGAATTTACCTGAGGGACACTAATATTAGTGGTCTCGACGAGGACAGGAAGCTGGCAGCTATCCCTAGCAGGATAGAAATGTTTTGCCACATTTCCTTTCACCTGATGCCTCTGTTCACCTAGCAGTTAAATATTTACCCAGCCATTAGCCAATTGTTGTGGGTCTCTCCTGAGAAAGGTCAGTAGTTGACTTAAGGAGACTTTGATAAGTCTCCTGTCTTATACTGTACGAGAAAATCATTTTGAATCACGATAATGAAAATGTATGAGCCTGGGATGGTTCATTGTGAAAAGTGGCAAACATGTATTGCAGAAGAGTGGCATAACATTAACACAAAATGAACAGTTTAGGAAGTGAGGTTGCAATATTTAAGATCAGATGGTGCTAAAACTTGCCACTGAACCAAATAGGATTGTAAACTTGCAGATGATGCTAAATTGAGTCATCAGACCACTATAGTGTTTATAAATTTTAATTTTTTAAAAGTCATTTGAGCTCAATTGTGCTACTGATTTTGCTTTCTCTATGTACCAATATTTACAAAAGTTATTTTGATGAATTTTAGATGCAAAGATGACTGGCAAAAATGGAGAAAATAGCGAGACTTTTGTTGTACTTCTCCATCGGCACCCAGAATACACTGAAGACTGCATGAACATCCTCAATGAGCAATGGCCACGTAGTAAAACAATCAGGTTAGAAAGTTGCACAAATGTTTTGATGCCTATTTCTTAAACGGGGGTCATGTCTTGTTTAGGTGCATGCATTTAAGCACCCTTGTATGTGAAATTGAGAACCATGGCTTCAGTTGATTTTAGATTAACTTTAATTTTAACTTCCATTTTGTCACTTTCCACTAGTATATATTTCTACACACTCTTTGTGTACTGTCTCCCTTGTATTTGTTGAGTTAGGGTACAGTTTGCGGCTACTAGTGTTAAAAACACTTTTATGACTTACACAAGTTTATAGAATGAAATCACAAAAATCCAGTGTTGAATGTAATGAAATGCCCCTTTCTGAGAAAGCTTAAAAGAGGTTATCTCGGGCCCTAATTTAGTATCGGGCTCTCGAGATCCACATTTTCATCCCTGCCCTAGGCTTCAGATGCTTGCCTTGTCTGTGGGTTGCCTGGCAAGTTCAAACACGTCCTTGCTCTTTCCCTAGACCAGGGGTCTCCAAACTTTTCAATGTAAGGGCCACATTATATATTTCCCATATTTATGCGGGCCGGAGGAATAAAAAATGAAAAAAAAACAAAAAACAAATCAGTGCCAGTAATTTAATTTCCTCAAATATTAAAGTATAAACATGGAAAAATTAAAACATATCTTTTTGGAAAAAATCAGGGTAAACTAAATAGATTCCTGCCTTTAGTTTTATGCAACCAAATTAGTGTGACGAATGATACTGTCGTTTTGACTTCAAAATTTCATTAAAATCAGGTTCCAGATTAGATGAGCCAATTGTAAGAATTGATTTCAAGTGATCATCAGACAAATTTGCTCGATAGTTAGATTTCACATATTTCATTTTGGAAAAAGTTTGTTCACACAAGTATGTTGAACCAAAAATGGACACAAAACTACAAGCAAACTTATCAAATTTGGAAACTGATCTGGCTGCAGGCATTTATAAAACTCAATCAGATTTCCTTCTCTATACTTATCTTTCAGTCTGTCATCTGCCTGGAGATCAATAATTTCCATTTGAAATTGAGTTGGAAGATTTTCAGCATTGCAGTCAAATGGATTATGAAAGAGCCTGATTTCATTTGCTTTGGCATCAAGGTCAGCAAATCGCTTCTGAAACTGTTTTTTCAAATCTGAAATTATTTCATTTGCAAATGAAAAAGGAAATTCAACTTTACTTTCTGCATGAAATTTTTCACAACATGGAAAATGAGCAAAATTCTTAACCTTCACCTGGCCTTAACCTTAACCTTCACCAAGTTATTCATATGACCTGTCATATCTGCAAAAAATGCCAATTTCCAAATCCATTCACATTCTGATAATAATGGCTGAGGTTTATTTTTCTCGGTGAGAAATAAATCAATTTCTAATCTGAGCTCAAAGAAATGCAGCAAAACCTTTCCACAACTAAGCCATCTAACTGCTGTATAATAAGGCAAGTTAACAAACTCCGCATCAATTTCTTTCAAGAAATCACGGAACTGGCGATGGTTGAGTGCATGAGATCTAATGAAATTAACCACAGAAACAACAGGTTTCATGACACAAGACATATCAACATATTTTAGGCACAATGCTTGTTGATGGATAAGGCAATGCAGAAAAATGGGTTTTGAGAATCCTCCAACCTCACAAGCTGTTGTAATTTGCCCAACCAAACCCTTCTTTGTCCCAGACATATTCTTTCCTCCATCAATTGTCACACACTGCACTTGTTTCCATTTCAGGTTATATTCTGTCATAGTTTTACTTACTTCATTGAAAATGTCCTCTCCAGTTGTTGTGGTGTGCATGCTGTGAACTGATGCTAATTCTTGGCTCACATTAAATTCACTATCAACACCACGAATGAATACTAAGAGCTGAGAAGTATCACACACATCAGTTGATTCATCCAACGCAAGAGAATACCAACAAAATCTTTTTGTTTTTTCCTTTATTTGCCGAATTATGTCGCCTCCTAAATCTTCAATTCTACGAGCAACAGTATTTGACCCAAGACTTATCATTTTGAAGAGGTTTACTTTTTCTGGACATACCTCTCCTGCTGCTTCCACTATACACTCTTTTATGATACTACCATCAGTGAAAGGTTTTCCTTTTTTAGCCAACACATAGGCAACTTTGTAACTGGCTCTAGTTGAATTTTCATTTTCAGATTTTTTCTTACTGAAAACAGCTTGTTGAGAATGCAGACTGTGCTGAAATGATTCAAACTTTTTTAGTGCGTTCTGCTCCTGTGATGTGAGAATAACTTGAGCCATGTTTAGATTCATAGTGCCGACAAATATTGTATTCCTTCAGAACAGCAACACTGTCTCTACATATTATGCATAAAGCTTTATCATTTGCTATCACAAAAAAGTACTTTATCTTCCATTCGTCATTGAACCGACGGCACTCACTGTCCACTTTTCTTTTCTTTATCTTTTCCATATCTGAAAACATAAGGGTAAAATAAATGAAATAAATTCTACAGGAAAAAAACAGCTTGTATGTGGTGTTAAAAAGCATAGCATATTATTATAAAGTGGTAAATATTATGGCAACAGCTTTCGTTGATAAACTTAATGGTTACCATTTTAACTATTTTAAACATGCAATATTTTTGGCTACAATAGTATTATTGCTATTTTGTATAACTAAGATAAAGGCATTGTCAAAGTACAGAGAAAAGAATATTGTACAGTGTTTGTGCTCCCTGAAACGGAAGCAGCGAAGCCCCACTCGCCCTCCATCCCCACAATATACAGTTATACACAACTGATTGGTTGTAATGCACAACACATACCTACCAGTATTAGTATCTGTGCGTCACACTATCGAGAGAGAGGAAAACTGACTCGGGTTGAGCGCCACCAGTCAGCAGCCCCAGCTTTGAATAATTCTGCGATGCCATTCGTACGATAATTATTTTTTCAAGGCCACCACACAGGGATTTGTTTGGAGGGCCGGATGAAATTGTGGCGGGCCGGATGTGGCCCGCGGGCCATAGTTTGGAGACCCCTGCCCTAGACTATCTGAAAGTCTATTGACATTTTTATGCATCTAAGGTTTAGTGATTGACTGGGATTTCTGTTTTCAACTGTTCAGATTTTTTCTCTTGGGTTCAACCAGGCTCCCAGTCATCATTCTTGTCTCCTGGTCATGGATCTGGAAGTATCTTTACTTGTGCTGGAATGCTTTGGATGTTTCATCTATTTCCAGAGCTTCCACCTCTCAGCAGTTTAGTGCAATTTGTGGTTTGGGCCTAAAGACACCCAGGACCGGATTCATTAAGCAGTTACTTAAGCACTTACAAACCTGTACATATTTTCTCAATCTTTGATAGCTTTGTTTACATTTCTCAGGCAGTTTATGAGGATTGAAACTTCCCAATCAAATTTTGTTATTGTTATAAACAGCTTTCTATTGCTCTGGAGCTAAAGATTGAGAAAAGATGTATAGGTTCAGAAAACTTGCATAACTTCTTAATAAATCCTGGCTCTGGATGGCATCCTTATACCTTTTAGTGTTGGTGCTACATTGTTTGTATTTGCTTCCTTGACCGGTGTATGACAATCAACTTCCCACCACAATCTCAAGTGGCTGAAAATAATGTGTGGTATAGCCTCTGGGCCAGGTTTAGATGGCTTTGGGATTTCATATTGCTTACCCCATTTGGTCTTAGATTTTCACTCCATTTGACAGAGCAACTGAACAATGTTCCATTTGTGAATAATTGAACATTAACATAAAAAAAAACAGCCGAACAAAGGAAAAATTATAATAAACATTCATGTGCAGAACTTCCCTAGCATTCTCAACCCCATTCACTTCAGTGAAGTGTGCACTAACAGACTCCAGCACACAAGATTTTAACATTACAGTATCTCTCTCAACACAGGACAAGTAATGATAATATTGCATTATCTTGTGAAGGATTATCCATCATTTTTGTGAAGCTTTATCCACTCTTCCTGGGATGCTTTTTTCCATCCATTGTCAGGCTTCATCCACTATGTTCATTCAAGTTTAATCTACCTTTTATGAGATATTTTATCCAATATTTCTGTAGGATTTTTCCTACTTTTTCATTAAGGCTTTTATCCATCCTTGATGTTTTATGCACTGTTTGTTAGACTGTAATCACTTTCCTTCTCTGTTAGCTGCAACTGAAGTAGCATTGCTGATTTAATGACTCGGAAGTACTCTTAAATGATTTATCTGTGTGTAATTTGTGTGTTTTTCAGGCTACGATCGCTTCATTCATCATGTGATCAATTACCTACTTCCATTGCACTTCTACGAAATATCTCAAAAGAGAAGGTGGAAGTAATAGGACATGCAAGAATTAATATGCTACCTCAGGAACAAACAGCAGCTTGGGTCGAGTCAGTCATAATTCGTCAAGATCTAAGAGGAAAAGGTTATGGGCGTCAGTTGATGACGAAAACTGAAGAATATGTCCGTGCTTGTGGTTTTAATACCATTTACTTGTCAACGCATGACCAACAAGTGTTTTATAATAAACTAGGGTATGAATTTTGTGCTCCTGTGTGTATTTATGGTGGAACTGTTAACAGACACCTACTTCCTAAGCAGTTTCTAACATCACTAGCACCTGTACCAAACAATAACACAAGAGTATCAATGAATACTGTTGAAAAGGTAGCCCATCATAGTGAAGATACATCAGTACAGTGCAAGTGTTTAGAGAGTACAGTTATTCTTCCTAATTCAAATGAAAATACGGCTTCATATCCACACCAGGCATCACTTCCCCCTCCTCCACCACCACCACCACCTTGTTCAAAAATTAAAAAAGATAATATACAAAAATTAGATATAACAGCTATGGCAAAGATGTATATGAAAAAATATTTGATGTAACTTTAATTTTAAAGTATAGTGTCAGCCCTTGCTCTGGGAATGTAATATAATACCTCCGCCTAAGAATTTAATCCGTTCCCAGAGATTTGTAACTTGAAATAAATTTTCCCACAAGAAATCATGTAAACTGAATAATCCATTCCTCACCCCAAAAGTATTAACTTAAAAATACATTTTATACTGATTACCACTCTTTTTGTATTATCTACAATACAGTATGTATATCTTATTTTTATTGAGGACGCTTGTTGTCATATGGAAGACAGTGAGGAGGAGAGGTGTTACTGTTTGGAGGGGGGAGCCCCTTTCCATTATAACATCAGACAGTGATGACTTCTCTGGGGTACTCTCTTTCCTACGTTTTGTCTTCATACCACTAGGACCTGGTTGTGGTTCACTGCTTGTTCGTCTCACTAAGACCCTTTCCATAGAGACTTGTTTTTCCCTACATCTTAACATTTGTCTGTAGTGAGACATTAAATTCATTCACAATGAATGATCTCTTGTTTTTCCTCTATGGTCATCCTCACATATGTTTTCTTAAGTTGAACCTTACCACTGACTTTCTTGAGACCCATGGCATGATATATAATAATTACTTTTATGTTCAAAAAACAAAAAAGCACAAAAACAATTAAATTCATTACAAGCGAGATCGGCACTAAGTGGGTGGCTCTAATAAACCGAGGTGGGATTGCCCATGCCACCAGGAACCATGCGCTCGGTTGGCCTATACGTGTATCAATAAAGTCGCAAGTCGAGGCCATGGTCGTGAGTAGAGTCAAATTTTCCATCGAAATTGGGGTCGTAACTCAAAAAGTTCATAAGTAAAGGCATTCGTAAGTTAAGGTGCCACTGTACAGTACAGTACTTAAAAACAGCAAAGGACGAACATAATTTTTTTTTGGGGGGGGGGGTGTTATTAATAGGGTAACAGTCCACAGACCTCCAGAATTTCACTATGATTATTCCTCTTAGCAGAATATTACCTTATGTGGCATCTGTCTTACTGAAGAGCAAATCATCTAGGCAGGCAGGGCAGAAACTCATTCAAATGTCACTGTACTTGAGAGCACAGGAGGTGATCATACAGGTAAAGCAGGCTCTAAAAAAAGATAAAAACATGCACACACTGATCTTTTCCAAGCCTACCTTGGCTCGCTTAACTACCTACCCCTCCCATCCCCTAAATGGCAGCACCTGAACCATCATATGCCTCATCAAGTCAAATCATTGTGATTTCTGTGTAATGAAGTAAGCGCGAAGAGGGAGAACGGCCTATTGACATAGGTCGAGTGCATGGGGGGAGTTGTGAAAAACCCTGGTTTGTGTCTCGGAGAGGCTGCAGGATCCAGTAAATTCAGTAGAACTTCAGTTTCAACTTTTTTTTTTTACCATGTCGTAGCTCAGTCAATAAAGGCAGTGTCTGGGATGATCTCGGACGTAGGTTCGAATCCTCTTCACGGCCCTTGTGGATTTGTTCATTTGATGCAACACGCTATTGTGATTTGTGTGTGTAACCTAGAATGTTGCCCTATCTGACTTTAAAATTCACTCCCTCATATGACAATGTAAGCTTACCTTAGGAGGCAAGACAGTGAGTCCACTTGAAAAGATGTCTCATATAGCTTACACTTTAAGCCTGTTTTTCTTCTACTCTTCTAAATAAAATGCCTACCTTAACGTTACTGTGTAAATAAATAATCCCACCACTTTCCAGCAGCAGTCACATAACATAACGAAGTGTATCATATACACACAATTAGTATTATTGCCAAAGGGTGTTTATTATTATTATTTGTTTTTTTAGGGTTTCTTCCACTTATATTACATACCTGTATACAGTATTAATAAAATGGCTTCTGTATAAAACCTAAGAAAATATTACAAATGTTTCTCTCGTTAAAATATGCTTATTAGTTGTAATATACAACATAAGATTGGTCAAAGTAATGTTATCTCTAGCCATAAATTTTCTCAAAATACAGTATGTATATCTTTATAAATACAACCAGTAAATGAAATCACCAAGGAATTTTTATGTACCGTATTTTAGTAACAAAACTAAAAATGAAAATATTGTCTTTTTCTTTCCCAACAATGATTTGTATTTTCAAATTTTTTATACAGTATTTATAATAAGTGAGCATGCTCTATATACATATATTTATCATCAATCATTATAGCATTCATTATGATAAAGTCTTGAGAGAGACAAGAAAACATTTACATACAGACATGGAAGCTATCACCAAGCTTTGAAATGGATTCCAATCTGCTTGCTTTATATACAATCCAGTGTTGGATAGTTTATTGTGCACCCTATACTCATCATGTGAGCAGAAGCACAAAAGAATTAGATAGTTTAAAAGATCATAATTAGACATTAACCAATCTTTTGCATTAACATTTATAAATTATTTACACTTTTACTATAATTACAATGATAGTAACAAATTTCTTGCAGTGCAACTTCTGTGAGATACAATATAATATACATTGGAGATACACTACACTACACACAGAAATCACAATAGCGTGATGCATCAAATGAACAAATACACAAGGGCTGTGATGAGGATTCGAACCTATGTCCGAGAGCATCCCAGACGCTGCCTTAATCGACTTGAGCTACAACATGGTCAAAAGAGTTGAAACCAGAAGTTCTACTGAACTTACTTGGATCCTGCAGCCTCTCCGAGACACAAACCAGGGTTTTACACAACTCCCCCATGCACTCGAGCTATGTCAATAGGCAGTTCTACCTCTTCGCCCTTACTTCATTACACAAGTAACGAGACACAAGGTTTGTGTCTCGGAGAGGGTGCAGGATCCAAGTAAGTTCAGTAGAACTTCTGGTTTCAACTCTTTTTGACCACGTTGTAGTTCAGTCGATTAAGGCAGCGTCTGGGATGCTCTCGGACATAGGTTCGATTCCTCGTCACGGCCCTTGTGGATTTGTTCATTGGAGATAATTTAAGTACAGAATTAACAAAAAAGAATTAAGTTTCAATACTGGATATTACACAGTAAAGGAAAAGTTGATTGTGATTTTAGTGTACACAGTTTATACTTTCATCATATACAGTATATTTCCTTTATTTACTAGACATGAAATATGGATACAGTGCAATTATTTCAGATATTTCATAATGAAATACTGTCATTTCATGCAACATACAATTAAATTATAAATTGTCATCCACACTTCCGTGGAAATAAACATTCCATTCACCTGGGCTCTAGGAGACTCGAAGGCGATATGACGTGGGCGCTGATCACTAATTCCTCTGAGCTTCAGTAGTAGTCAAGGAAAGTAAAGAATTCTAGTTTGGCACCAGGATCTGGCTAATGGAATTTTTCCTTATTAAGACTAAACGCTGACTGAATACACTTAGATTTATCTGAAGTCTGTTAAATAGTCTGTTTCGCTTGCCTGAAACACTGTGCGTATTAGTGACTTTAGGCATAGTATGTATGTTACGACCCTGGGTTCCTCAATTGGAAACCAGAGGTCAAATTGAGCTAAATAAACTACTTTATATTATGTGGGAAGCTTGCCGACGTGTATCTGTTTGTATCTTCCCTGCCAGAAGTAAGACGATTCTTGTTTCTCACAGAGCATTTAAAGACTGAGCTTGTGGTTGATTATTAATTAATAAAATAGGCATCAACTATGTTTACAAGTGATTAGAAAGTATTAGTAAAGTAGATCTGAGTAAACTTGGATATAGGGCTGCTGTACGATTAGCTGAGTAGTCGGCCGGCAGCGAGTGAGCTGGAGAGAGCTCAGGCTGGTGGCTGCTTCTCCCTTCTCTGGGCTGGCGTCATCTCCCTTACCTTCTTTCCCTTACCTATTTCTGTGTCTAGTTTACCAAGATAAGTACTGAGTCGTGTTAACATTTTCTGTCATAAGCATGTTCTATGTGTAAAGTATTACGGTGTAGTATTTATTAGGTGATCACTAGTGTTTATATTGCTAAGTTACTCTAAGGGGGCCCCAGTGGAACCACGTGGGCTCCAATAGTACCAGTAAGCTACCTTGAGTCCTTGCTAGTGTCCCTTGCCTAGTAGACTTTACCCTAGCTTGTGCTCATTGTAAAACCTTGTATCCTGCTTATGTGGACCAAGGCTTTTAACATAAGATAGTGTGGTAAAGTAATTATTGTTATTGGTGTGAATGTATATGGGGGTTGTTAAGGGGTTAATAAATAAGTTAGTTAGTTTATCCATTCTTCCTGTGTAGGAGATCTATGATCTATGTCTAGGCTGACAATTTCAGTAAGCCACTATAAGTATTACTCATATATTTTCATTGGGGGCCGGGCCTTTAAGATCTCCAGTACTTGATACCTCTGAATGCTAACTGCTGGCCCTACACCAATATATACTAGATCCCTCTATAGCAGACACATCAATCTTTAACAGCTCTATCTAGAAATCCAACATTCTGTTTGTAACTCATTTTGAATGTAGTTTTACCTGAATAAACATTATTATTATAATTATTATTATTATAAATGTTCAGTGATCTAGTGTACCTTCTCTGCAAGTATAGTACATGCAAAGAATCCTAATGGAGGAGATCAATATATCACAGTAAACAATCTTGTAAAAGCAATCCAACATGGTTTTGTGTGGCTGTGAACGTAAGGTCTCAGTTTCAATGTGGTGGTGGTGAGAGTAAGGGCCCTGCCATTGTTGTAGTGGGTTTCAGTGGTGAGCGGAGATCAACCTGTTGTCATGGGAAGTCGGCAGCACCAACTAATACCAATGCCTAAGAACAGACATAACTATCAAAGTGCCAGCAGCAATTATGATATATGAGTTTGGTAGGGAAGTGTATAGTTGGCCCTCACCAGGCCTAACAGTAGGATTATCAGAAGGAATATTGGAGGCAGGGATGGCGGTAAGCGAGTCTATTGTCTTCTCCATCAATGGGATGACTTGGCTCCAGAAATTCATCTCCTGTGCATACAACTTTGTGTTACTCTCAGGAATCTAATTTGTGTTTTAGTAATTTGCTTCTAGCTGCTTAACATGCTTTATTCATAATATATTTAATGATAAACGTATTCATGATCCTTGTACTGAATGTTTAGTATATTTAAATGAACTACAAACACTCAATAAAATGTTTTTATCAGTAGAGAATGACACTCATAGCAAAAATGCTTGAAATTGACACATCTTAAGTTTTCTTGTATACATACAGTGTCATATTTACAGTTCAAGGCTGTGAAGATTATTTTAAAGTGGATCTAATCACACACATTCATACTATATTATTAAATTTAATTTAAATGTTAAATTGTTCATAATGTTTAAAAGAGAAAAATATTAGAGAAGACTGACCCTTGGCCTGTAGGGAGTGTAGACCATGGCTGGCTGGAGGGAAATATTGTAGTAACCTACAGGTTTCCCAGCTGCCACGGGTGTCCAGTGTGACCCTGCGCCTCCCTCAACTCTCCTGTACATGTTAACATCATTATATTGTGGAGCTGTTTGTATTGGACTATCTTCCAACAGCTTATGATACCTTATTATATATTTGATATATCTTCGATTAGTGCTGCACAATTCTTTGCTATTAAAGACTGTCTCAAGTGAGAACCTTAGTAAACAAGAGTAATGGGTTCAAGTTACTCAGATGAAATCATCAAACTCAAGGAGGCTTTATAATGGCCCCTCGCCAGCTGGGCTGATGGTATGGAAAGTTTACAGAGGACACTGCCCCCACCTCATCATACATACATATACAAGCAGTTTACTTTATACTTTATTCAATGTTATTTTATTGGTCACTTTTTGTGCATATATGCATTCCTTATATTTCTATATAAGTTAATTTTACATGTATTTACTATTACATGTTAATATACATTTAATCTGCTTTATTTAATGTATATTTAAGCTCTTATTTGCTTATAAAATAATTTTGTTAAATTACTTCCCCATTCTGCATTTTGCTTGACCTCAGAAATAGAGGATGTGAACATTGTTATACCCTGACTGCATTTTCTACAGCATATCTTGACTTACCCAGTGCTGATAAATTGACTCCATGTGGAGGTAAGAAGGTGGGACATGGCTTCATTCCTGGTACCAGCTTCCTTACTGGAGAAGATCAGGAGAAGGGTGTCCCCATGAGAGACACCATTTGTCAAGAGTGGGGTTGTCAGTCCGTGCTTCTTTGCTTCATTGTACAGGATCTGGGCCCATACTGGAGACACTGGGTCACGGTGTGTCATGACGTAGCTGACAACAGTGCAGGTCACAGTTACATCATTTTAAATAGTTCACCTATTCTGATGGCAATATTACATATGATCCCTATCAGTTTCAGGAGGGAACTGGTAGAAACCATTGTTTAATATGCAATAACTTAATGATAACCATTTATTAAGTATTAGTATTTAAAGGCAATAAATGAATGATGACACTCATAATTCTAAGTGACATTTAAGCATATTTAATTTTTTGTTTATAAACTTATTCAATATCCATCTATTTACATATAGAATCAGCATAAACTAGCAAAGACAGTCATTGGTGCTACTCACCTGTAAACAGTGTACTTGGCACTGGCAAGAGCAACCACTGCATCGTTTACACAAGAGGCAAATAAATAATCCGTCATTTGCTGTGGAAAAATAGATCTGTAAGATATGATTATTCTAACCTGTAAATGTCAGTTGCTTTATATGACTAATATTGACCACATCGGCTATAATCCTGCTACAGGTACTATCAAAGTCATTGAAATTTGAAATGGTGGTTTATATTTCCATGGAGTTATTCAACAATTTTATTTAGCTGTACAGTAAATAATTTCCCATCACACACAACTTCTTAACTGTTTTTGAACTATGTTGTTACAATGTTGCATCAAAGTAACAATTAGTTTGTGTGTGTTTAAACTGCACTGGAGAAGATAAAATGCATTTAGTTAAGCCCTTGCAGTTTCTCCCTAAATTTTTCTTTTAATAATTTCCCCCTCTCATCACCCCTCAATTTTTGGCAAGTTGAGTGACCTCGGTCATTTCCTCAGCCAGTGTGTCGAGTGAGTGCCTGGCCCCAGGCGAGTAGTAGAAGGCCTCGGCCAGCTGGGCGACACTGGAGGCATGTCTGAGGTTGGGCCAGAAGGCTTTGATGATGTACTGCACACACTCCTCGTATACAGCTGATGGTTGGTCAGGTTGCTCTGCTGTTAGTATTATTCCTGCAATACAAATGATAATAATATCCATTAAAATAGATTGATAAGTTGTTTGGGCTCAGATTATTTAGCCACTGGCACTGTGACTAAATTCAATACAGTAGTTTCTTCTCATCAATTTTTTATATTTTTTTATTTATTTATATAAACAAGAGTTAAATGAACAAATCCACAAGGGCTGTAACGAGGATTCGAACCTGCGTCCGGGAGCATCCCAGACACTGCCTTAATCGACTGAGCTACGACAGGGTAAAAGGGTTGAAACCGAAGTTCTACTGAACTTACTGGATCCCTTAGCCTCTCCGAGGCATAAACCAGGATTTTACACAATCCCCCCCCCCTACACCCGAGCTATGTCAATAGGCCGTACACATAGCACAGGTGCAGGGGGGGGTTGTGTAAAATCCTGGTTTGTGCCTCGGAGAGGCTACGGGATCCAGTAAGTTCAGTAGAACTTCGGTTTCAACCCTTTTACCCTGTCATAGCTCAGTCGATTAAGGCAGTGTCTGGGATGCTCCCGGACACAGGTTCGAATCCTCGTCACGGCCCTTGTGGATTTATTCATTTGATGCATCACGTTAGTGCGATCTCTGTGTGTGATAAACAAGAGTTCTTGCATTCTTGTACAGTCACTAGCCCGCATGGTGTTTCGGGCAAGTCCTTAATCCTATGTTCCCCGGAATATGACCCGCCAAATAGTTTATCAGCCAGATACCCATTTTACTGCTGGGTAAACAGAGGCTATAGTTAAGGATTGATTTCCAGTAAATCCTCCCCGGCCAGGATACGAACCCTAGGACAAAGCGCTCACAAAACGCCAGGTGAGTGTCTTACCACTACACCACGGGAATTGGCACATCCCTTGCAAATGGATCCCAAATCAATGTAAATGACTCTCTCTCAGGCAGCTATCCCAAGTGTTTGTATCTATCCTGGATCACTGCATAATGGTGGAGAGGAGAGGTGAGGGGGGGGGGACTTAGAGAGGGGGGGACTGGTGTTGGGGAAAAATGGCGGTGGGAAGAGAGGGATCCTGGGAAGAAAGTTGGAGAGGAAGAAAAGGAAAGAATTGACAGGGAAGACTGGGAAAGAGGAGGTTGTGGGAAAGGGGGGAGAAAGACCCAACAGCAGCCAGGTACACCCCTATTAATCTACATACTGTACAGTACTTAAGAAATATGTGCCATGACTGCCAAACTTACCAAGGGCAAACAAAAGTCCTTCCTGAGGGACTGTGCCTATGAGTACTGGCATAGGTGTACTTGGTGGGAGACTGTCAATGGGTCCAGGGAGGACCGGGTTGTCTCGCAGCCCTGCATCCACCACCACAGAGAATGGGACTGGCCAGAACTCATACTTCTGCAAGTAATACACAAAGTATCTTTAGCTGCTCACACACTGCCAAGCAAGAGCTAAATAAATGCACAGTAATAGTCACAAAATGTTACTATTAAGAATGTAGAAACTCAAGCAGTAGAGAAGAGTTAGTTTAGTTCATTTATCATATATACCACACCCATCCCATGGGAGGTAGTGGATAATAATACAAACATAATGAGCTCAGGAACTGAACCCCAAAATTCATTTGGCTAAGCAATTAAGTTACAGTCTTGATAAGCTAATTACACAGTTTAATGCATGTATTGAAAATGGGTTCGAGAAAGACCATGAGCACAGTCGCTAAGCAAACTCACATTTATGGTGATCTAGTTTCATAATTTGAGATGTGTATCATGCACACCACTCCCACCCATCATTCAGAAGGTAACAATGGAAAGGCATGCTCTCCTTGCATGATAGTATGATGACAGATGGAATTGCTAGTATAGTATAGGCTAACAACACTGCAAATCAGGCATGATAGGGTGGATCTCATCAAAACCTTTAAAATACTGAACAATTTGGAGGATGTTGATTCAGATAATTTCTTCTAAAGGTTAGATGTAAGGAGCAATGGTTTCAAGCTCAACTAGCCACAATGCAGGACTGAAAACAGATGTTTTCTCACCCACAGGGTTATGAACCCATGGAACCACCTACAGTACCTGCCTAAATGCCAAAACTGTTAAATTTTAAATCCAGCTAGAAAAATCATCAGGGCAAATGGGGGGACCTTTGACAAGCCTCCGGCTTCCTGTTCTCATTGAGGCCACTAGTGTGTTAGTGGCCCTCGGGTAAATAAAATTAATTTTGCCTTATCTCTATTTAACAAAATCTATTAACAAAACTTTAATTGATCTACAATTAAGATTTTGTTAAAGTTCTTGGTGTATTAATTATTATTGTTCTCAGCCTGCTTAAAGGCAAGGCAATCCAAAGTTAATGTCTTTGAGGGCAGATTCTTTTGGTAACTTATCATCGTTTTATCATGCATTTGATTGGAGGCCAACATGAAATGAAATCTATGTAAAATGGACTTTTTCTATGGGGAAGCCCTGTCAGCTACAAGGAGCTATTAGACTGATATTGAAAGCTCCCAGGAGTTATCTGGCTGTAGTTTCGCCGTCCTCTGTTTCTGAGGGGGTCCCAGGTCTCTCAACGGTTGCTCGAGCAGCAGTGCGAAGTCCGAACTTCGCTGTGATCATTTACCCGCTGGGTCGGGTTTGGATGCGGCATCTATTCTGTTTCCTTCGGGGCTGTCCTTTCCGCTCCGCTTGCGATGGCTGGGTTCATCCCCCGGGGGCCTTGTGTCGGCTGCTTCATCACTGGCTTCCTCTTCAGGCTTTTCGGGGTTCGGTGCCTTGGTGCCTTCCGGAGCCCTGCCTCAATGTGTACACAGATACCTCCCCTCTCGGCTGGGGTTTTGTGACCAGTGCTCACCAGGCCGGCCAGGGGCGGTGGGCTCTATCCGTCCGTCTGGCTCACAGTACAGTGCGGGAATTTGTGGCAGTGTGGCTTAGGCTGCATCAGATTCTGCTCGCTTGGGGCACCATGATCCGGCTCCATTCGGACTGCACTCTGGTAGTTCATTGCCTGAACCGTGGGGGTCCGTAGCTCTTTGGGGCTGGTCATTTCAAGTGGCTCTTCTGCTGAGTTCTCGGGGTTCAGCTCTCCGTGCAGTTCATATCCGGGCTGTGTCTAATGTCCTGGCAGACAGCCTGTCGCGGTTCATTCCCCTTTCCACAGAATGGACGGTCGACGCCGACTTGTTCAGTTGGCTCTGCCAGACATTCAGACGTTACATTATAGCAATTTTCCAATTGTCTTATGTCATGCACTAATTATATGCCAGCAATTTGTCTCCCACTTATATAATGTTGCATTAATTCCTTTATTCATTATATCAAGTTCCAATTAGTTATGTTTCTCCTGTTTTACGTCAACTCATTTCAATTGTTATCTGTTACCTCATTCTTTGTGACTCAGATTGTATCCATTATCCATTAATTTACTTACTACATTCCATTCAATATTATTACATTACATTATCTATGTTAATCATTATACACTGTATAGCAAATCCTAGCTCCAAGTTAAATAAAATTATTATCCTTATTGATGTGTTTCACTTGCTCTTCCAAAACAATGCATTTTCGTTTTAAATATATGAATGAATTTATACAATTTAAAATATTACAGTTGAAAATTATGCTTCACTAAACACAACTCCTTGAATGCATCATGCTCTGTTTTCTTTAAGCTTCTTAATAATGTTAGCACATTATAAACCCCTGAAGACCTTACCATAATGGGTGCCTGGGCAGTAAGGATCTCTTGATAAGTCTTAGAGGCAATGCAAGACTTGAGTTGAGCTGAGGAGTTGAAGGGACAACCAAGACCCTGAGCGAGAACAGAGGCATACTTCTGAGGTTGTGCACTGGTGGCCCAGGAGCAGTAGGTGCTGCCGCTCATGATAACCGCCCTATGCATCAACCCTGCACAAGAAAAGTTACACAGTCATGCAACAATAATGATAGTGTCTTGCGACAGAACGTAAATAGCCAACCAAGTTCTGTTCGTTTTATAATATTGTAAAAAAAAAAAATTATTTAAAAATTAAATTTTTGTAAAAATCGTTCTGTTTCTGGATCTGGAAGACAGCATGAGGACGACTTACCTCTGGATCTGGGAGACAGCATGAAGAGATGGGCAGATGCGGCGCCGGCTGAGAAACCGCCCAAGGTTACCCTGTTCGGATCACCTCCGAACTGATCGATATTGAACTTGACCCACTGCAAGGCTGCAATCTGGTCCAACACCCCATAATTACCTGGTATCGTCGTGTCATTAGTGCTTATGAAGCCTGAAAATAAAATTTTCAGATATATGACACCAGTTGTTACTCTATTATTGGGACAGGTTGACAGCAGTGTCCTATAAGGATTGGGACAGGTTGTCAGCAGTATCCCAGAAGGATTGGGACAGGAGAGGGGAGAGGAACTATCAAGAAAAAGTGACAAGCCATTATGACTATATAGCACTTGGAAGGGATTAGGATGAGGACTTCAGATGGGATGGGGGGGGAAGGAATGTTGCCCAACCACTTGGACGATCAGGGATTGAACACCGACCTGCATGAAGCGAGACCGTCACTCTGCCATCCAGCTCAAGTGGTTAGTTGGGAACTGGGACAGGTTAACAAAGGTATCCTGGAAAGATTGGGACAAGTTGACAACAGTATTCCAGAAGAATTGGGACAGGTTGATATAGGTTCCCCAGAAGGATTGGGACAGGTAAACAGTATCTCAGAAATAATGGGACAGATTAAGAGTAGTATCCCAGTAGGATTGGGGAAAATTAATCACAGACTGACACAAAGTAAGAAGTGAGGCCTTACAAATTAAAAAAAAATTAAAGATTAAAATATGTTTTTATTGCTAACACTTCTAGATATAAAATTGAGTATCGTGTTTACTCTGTTTTAAGGTTTGATACAGTGTTGTCTTACAAAAGACTGCAAACAACAACAGACTGTTAAATGTAAACTTAGCTATTTGTTTAGGCAAGCTTATTGAGGCATAAACATGAAGAGATGCAGATTTAAGAAGTGTTTGTCTAATCTCATTTTTAGATGCTTTTACTGCATTACACTGTATTATATTTCCTGTTAAACTGTTCCACATGTTTACTGTAACCATACTGTATTATATCTCCTGGTTTGCTGTTCCACATGTTTACTGCACCACACTTTTGTTAGACCAAAGCTGGAATATGCAGCGGTTGTATGGTGCCCATATCTTAGGAAGCACATCAACAAACTGGAAAAGGTGCAACGACATGCCACTAAGTGGCTCCCAGAACTGAAGGACAAGAGCTACAAGGAGAGGTTTGAAGCATTAAATATGCAAAAACTAGACGATAGAAGAAAAAGAGGCGATATGATCACTACATACAAAATAGTAACAGGAATCGATAAAATTGATAGGGAAGAATTCCTGAGACCCGGAACTTCAAGAGCAAGAGGTCATAGATTTAAACTCACGAAACAAAGCTGCCGGAGAAATATAAGAAAATTCACTTTTGTAAACAGAGTGGTAAACGCTTGGAACAAGTTAGGTAAGAATGTGGTGGAGGCCAAAACCGTCAGTAATTTCAAAGTGTTATATGACAAAGAGTGCTGGGGAGACAGAACACCACGAGCGTAGCTCTCATCCTGTAACTACACTTAGGTAATTACACTGTTATTATATATCCTGGCTGGCTGTTCCACATGCTTACTGCACCACACTGTATTATATATCTTGGTTGGCTGTTCCACATGTTTACCACTAGAGTAAAAAAAGCATTTTGTCCTATTAAAGTAAACTTTCTTTCGAATAATTTTAAAACCACTGATTTACGTAATGTTCAGCTGTGTAAAATATTTATCATAATTAATATTGCCAAATACAATTATAATTTTAAACTCTGTATTAATGCTAGTAGATACATACTAGTGACAGTAGATAGATACATGCAAATGATAGCAGATACATGCTGATACTCAGAAGAAAAAATAAGAGATGTAGAAATACAATTTGACACAGAAGTGAGTATTAATACTGGTGTAGACTATAGATGCATGGAGGGGCACAGACCTAGAGCCCCTAGCCTGTAGTTAAAGGTGACGAGGACAACATTGTGAGCGAGAAGTCGGGCTGCACCGTGCGACGAGGCCGACCCTCTGACGTAGCCTCCTCCGTGGATAAACACGAACACAGGTAAGCCCTTGCTTCCCTCCCTTGACTCTGCAACAATCATAATAATACAGTAATAGCAATCATAATATTTATTTATATAAAATACATACAATTGAAATATGATACAAGTGGAGTTCATAGAGAGTAATCACACTAATGTGACTGCATCAATGAGAAAATCCGTAGGAGCCATGATGAGCCTCCTCATCATGTCAATTCATAGGTAAAATATAAAGCAGTCAAATCACATTTTCTACAGGCTTCTATAATTAATAGTACAAAAGTTAAATTTTGTATTACAACAGTACATGTTTTGTACTTCCATAAAGATCAATGAACATGAGAGTGGAGTAATGTGATGGTAGAGAACTTGCTGGTAGGGAATATGATGGTACAGAACGTGATTTTGTTTAATACAATACAGTTTAAACAAGAGTTCTTACATTCTTGTAAAGACACTAGCACACATAGCATTTAGGGCAGGTCCTTAATAATAATATTTTCCCCGGAAAACATAGTGGATAATATAATGATGGAGAACTTGTTAAAGAACACAAAGAATGGTAGGAACTCAATGATAGACAGCAGAATGGTAAAGAACACAATGATAGAGAGCAGAATGGTAAAGAACACAATGATAGAGAGCAGAATGGTAAAGAACACAATGATAGAGAGCAGAATGGTAAAGAACACAATGATAGAGAGCAGAATGGTAAAGAACACAATGATAGAGAGCAGAATGGTAAAGAACACAATGATAGAGAGCAGAATGGTAAAGAACACAATGATAGAGAGCAGAATGGTAAAGAACACAATGATAGAGAGCAGAATGGTAAATAACACAATGATAGAGAGCAGAATGGTAAAGAACACAATGATAGAGAGCAGAATGGTAAATAACATGATGAAAGAAAGCTAGTGGCATCCTACCTGGTAACTTAGGGGTGTATACATTGAGATAGAGACAGTCCTCATCACCCAGTATCAACTTATGCTTATGGTTATATTGTGGACAAGATGGCCGAAACGTGGAGGCGTTGAGGTGCCCGCCTGCCCATCGACCCCTAGCCTCCACGGGCTCCTCCAGTCGTAGGCTTCCAACCGGAGGCTCAGCATATGGAATACCCCTGGATGAGGTTAGGTATAATAACTATCAGGTAATAATCATACCTATCATTATATTTAAAAAACATACAAAAGAACAAAATACAGTGGACAATTAGTTATTACAGAAAACTGATATTAATCAGAGGGTAAGGAATGTTACCCACCACCTCAATAACGAGGAAAAAATGTATCTCGCCATTAAGGCAACATCACCAGGGATTAAAAGGCAAATTGGTGTCAATCATGACAGAACTTGCACCAGTTCCCCAGCAAGACACACTCAGCCACAAGGCTCTGCATAATTAAGAACATAAGAATGAAGGTAACTGCAGAAGGCTTATAGTGGCTTATACGAGGCAGCTCCTATGTATATCCATTCAATCCCATTCATATATATGTCTAACCTACGCTTGAAACCATCAAGGGATCCAATAAAAATATATAAAAATTATCCTGCTCGCCCCAGGAGTTTCTTGTTTACACGCTCGTAGCGGTCGGGCTGATCGGTTACAGGATTGCCAGATTCAAATTGCTAAAAGTAGCGAGCTGACGGTCTAAAAGTAGCGAATTTGTAATAAGAGTAGCCCAATTTTTTGTTTAGTGACTGATACGGGTTTCAAAGTAATCTATTATGATATATAGAGTACATCAAAAGCTCAAGTCCCATTCCCATTCAAGATTTTTCAGTTTAGTTTTCACAGACGTTACTCTCGAAAATATCCGTTCAACCAAGGCATTACTGATTGGTAAGCTGAATATTTTCAACACAAACTCAGCGAGGTCAATCAGTATGGGATTGAAGTCAATCAGTATATCTGAAGTGTCAAAAATTTGACTCCTGAGCGTGATTTTTGAGCCGAATTATGACTCTCTACACCTATTTTCATTTTCAAATTACTGAAATTACTGAAAACGGCGATGGGTCATATTTTGCCCAAACCCCCCTGCAATTTTCAAAATATCTGAAATGTCAGAAATTTGACTCCTGAGTGTGATTTTTGAGCCGAATTCTGACTCTATGCGCTAATTTTCATTTTCAAATTACGACTTTTTACACCGAAAATATGCCAATTACTGAAAACGGCGATGGGTCATATTTTGCCCAAACCCCTCTGCAGTTTTAAAAATATCGTAAATCTCCGAAATTTGACTCCTGAGCGTGATTTTTGAGCCGAATTCTGACTCTCTGCACCTATTTTCATTTTCAAATTACGACTTTTTACACCGAAAATATGCCAATTACTGAAAACGGCGATGGGTCATATTTTGCCCAAACCCCCCTGCAGTTTTCAAAATATCTGAAATGTCCAAAATTTGACCCCTGAGCGTGATTTTTGAGCCGAATTCTGACTCTCTACACCAATTTTCATTTTCATATTACGACTTTTTATACCGAAAATATGCCAATTACTGAAAACGGCGATGGGTCATATTTTGCCCAAACCCCCCTGCAGTTTTAAAAATATCTTAAATGTCGGAAATTTGACTCCTGAGCGTGATTTTTTAGCCGAATTCTGACTCTCTGCACCTATTTTCATTTTCAAATTACGACTTTTTACACCGAAAATATGCCAATTACTGAAAACGGCGATGGGTCATATTTTGCCCAAACTCCCCTGCAGTTTTCAAAATATCTGAAATGTCCAAAATTTGACCCCTGAGCGTGATTTTTGAGCCTAATTCTGACTCCCTACACCAATTTTCATTTTCATATTACGACTTTTTATACCGAAAATATGCCAATTACTGAAAACTGCGATGGGTCATATTTTGCCCAAACCCCCTTTCAGTTTTCAAAGTATCTGAAATGTCGGAAATTTGACTTATGAGCGTGATTTTTGAGCCGAATTCTGACTCTTTGCACCTATTTTCATTTTCAAATTACGATTTTTTATACCGAAAATATGTCAATTACTGAAAATGGCGATGGGTCATATTTTTCCCAAACCCCCCTGCAGTTTTCAGAATATCTTAAATGTCGGAAATTTGACTCCTAAGCGTGATGTTTGAACTGAATTTTGACTCTTTTCACCTATTTTCATTTTCAAATTACGACTTTTTATACCGAAAATATGCCAATTACTGAACACTGCCATAGGTTATTGTTTGCCCAAATCCCCTTTCAGTTTTGAAGGTATCTGATATGTCGGAAATTTGACTCCTGAGCGTAATTTTTGAGCCGAATTCTGACTCTCTGCACCTATTTTCATTTTCAAATTACGACTTTTTACATCGAAAATATGCCAATTACTGAAAACGGCGATGGGTCATATTTTGCCCAAACCCCCCTGCAGTTTTCAAAATATCTGAAATGTCCGAAATTTGACTCCTGAGTGTGATTTTTGAGCCGAATTCTGACTCTCTGCACCTATTTTCATTTTCAAATTACGACTTTTTACACCGAAAATATGCCAATTACTGAAAACGGCGAGGGTCATATTTTGCACAAACCCCCCTGCAGTTTTCAAAATATCTGAAATGTCCAAAATTTGACCCCTGAGCGTGATTTTTGAGCCGAATTCTGACTCTCTACACCAATTTTCATTTTCATATTACGACTTTTTATACCGAAAATATGCCAATTACTGAAAACGGCGATGGGTCATATTTTGCCCAAACCCCCCTACAGTTTTCAAAATATCTGAAATGTCGGAAATTTGACTCCTGAGCGTAATTTTTGAGCCGAATTCAAACTCTCTGCACCTATTTTCATTTTCAAATTACGACTTTTTACACCGAAAATATGCCAATTACTGAAAACGGCGAATGGTCATATTTTGCCCAAACCCCACTGCAGTTTTCAAAATATCTGAAGTGTCGGAAATTTGACTCCTGAGCGTGATTTTTGAGCCGAATTCTGACTCTCTGCGCTTATTTTCATTTTCAAATTACGACTTTTTACACCGAAAATATGCCAATTACTGAAAACGGCGATGGGTCATATTTTGCCCAAACCCCCCTGCAGTTTTCAAAATATCTGAAGTGTCGGAAATTTGACTCCTGAGCGGGATTTTTGAGCCGAATTCTGACTCTCTGCGCTTATTTTCATTTTCAAATTACGACTTTTTACACCGAAAATATGCCAATTACTGAAAACGGCGATGGGTCATATTTTGCGCAAACCCCCCTGCATTTTACAAAATATCTGAAATGTCTGAAATTTGACTCCTGAGTGTGATTTTTGAGCCGAATTCTGACTCTCTGCATCTATTTTCATTTTCAAATTACGAATTTTTATACCGAAAATGTGCCAATTACTGAAAACGGCGATGGGTCATATTTTGCCCAAACCCCCCTGCAGTTTTCAAAATATCGTAAATGTCCGAAATTTGACTCCTGAGCGTGATTTTTGAGCCGAATTCTGGATTCGGTTATTTCTCGTCAGCTCCATTGCCATTTTCTCTTATTTCCGCCATATTGTAGGGAATACCGAAGGTATTACAAACGTAATATGAACAAAAGGAAAAAAAACTGTTCCAGAAAAGTTCGAAGGCAACCAGTTATGAGTCAGGTGCAAAGTTGTTTCATTCATAAACAGTGCATTTGGTTGCTAGATTAACAAGCACTTAGCCAATGTTTATTAAGACAGACATCGAGAAGGGGCAACGGCGAGGGCGGGCGGAGTGAGGCAGAGCCCCATTGTGCGCCCGTATTTATACGGCCCCAAACTGCCCGCGCAACGCCGCGGGACGCGCTGCGCAATTGTTTCTTTCTCCCCCGCCAGAAAAATCCCCGCTTGCGATCAAGCAGTGACCATTTCTTTAAAAGGTCTGATGTAACACAGACGATGAGCAATGGCTTCAAGCTCAACACGCTGCAATGTAGGACAGAAAGCATGTGATGCTGTTTCACCTGCAAGGTTATAAACGCATGGAACTGTCTACCTGCCGAAACCATAAATGCCAATGCATTGTTGTAATTAAAAATCCAGCTGTGTAAATGATCAGGACAAATGGGAGGACCTTTGACGAGCCACCGGTTTTCTGTCCTCGTAAAGGCCACTAATGAGATTATACCTGGTTGATACCTGGTTGATGGGGTTCTGGGAGTTGTTCTACTCCCCAAGCCCGGCCCGAGGCCAGACTTGAGTTGTGAGAGTTTGGTCCACCAGGCTGTTGCTTGGAGCGGCCCGCAGGCCCACATACCCACCACAGCCTGGTTGGTCCCGCACTCCTTGAAGGAAACAATCTAGTTAATTTCCTCTTGAAGATGTCCACGGTTGTTCCTGTAATATTTCAGATGCTCGCTGGTAGGACGTTGAACAACCGCGGACCTCTGATGTAAATGGAGAGATGGTGGCCTTCAGGTAAATACTTAAATTATTTGGATCCAAACAAGGTAGGGTACAGTACCTCTGGGGATATTTCAAAATAAATATAGTACAATTACAGGCCAATGCTTCTTACTAATATATTCTAAGTAAATTTGTATTATCATGAACAGTTATGACTGTCACTACTAGTAAATAGAAAGATGGTCTAGTAGGGGGTAAAATACCTGAATGCATAGTAGTGGGTAACGAGTCGATGAAGTCCTATTGTTGGTTCCTTGCGTCCCGTGATGGTCCCCAGCAGCGTCTGGTGCTCCACGGGCTCCCAGTCCTCAGACTCTGTTGTAGTAACCCCAACTCTTTAATGTTTACATCGACTAATCCATCCTTTCATATAACACCACTGGCACGTGCTAGACGGGAACACTGCAGCAGACCTACTGGCACGTGCGCAGAAAAAAAAAGAAAGAGAGAGAGAGATAGCGAGAGAGAGAACGAGAGAGAGAGAGCAAGAGAGAGAGAGAGAGAGAGAGAGCAAAAGAGAGAGAGAGAGAGAGACAGAGAGAGAGACAGAGAGAGAGAGAGAGAGAGAAAGAGAGAGATTTAATTGACTCACCAGTGCTAGCAGTCAACTGGGTGATCATTGCATCATCAGACGAGAGTTGAGGGAAGTCAGCACCGCAGTAGCAGAAAAGGGCACAGTAGACCACCAATCCCAGCAACCATGTTGGCTTCAAGGCTCGCGCGCTAGGCACCACACTTGTCATCTTCTGTACAAATGAAACCAATTTAATTTATTTCTTTATTATGCACTCCAAACCCAACCCGTGGGCGGTGGTGGAAAGGGCTACAGAGGCACATAATGGGTTCTGGAAACTGAACCCCATAGTTCGTTTACCTAAGCAAGTGACAATCTTTTGAAGCTATGGTTACGCAATTGCTAATGTTACATACGCGTGTATATATATATATATATATATATATATATATATATATATATATATATATATATATATATATATATATATATATATATATATATATATATATATATATATATATATATATATTCAGTAAATCATAACTGCACGTGGTACAGAACACTAGAAATCCAAGTGGAGAAGTCTTATCTACTCACAGACTCTTATGTTGGTTATCGTAGACATTGTTCAAGAAGATACAATGAGTTATAGGCTATATTTATTTACCTGACTTATCTGAGCCCCACTAACTCAAGTGGCCTCGACGAGGACAGGAAGCTGGCGGTTTGTCGAAGGTCTCCTCATTTGCCTTGAAGATCTTTTCCAGTTATTGAGACATCTTCTGTCTCATATCTACACCAATCAGCACATTGACCATCATTATTGCAGGTATTACACAGTAAATCTTGCAAAAAACTAACTCCAAAATAGCACCTGCTTATCAGTTTTCAACCAAAATGTTAGATCACTTAGTAAACATTTTGATGATATAAATGCACTACTCACAGCACTAGGTACTAAATTATCGTTCATTATATCAACAGAAACCTGGCTAAGTAAAGACTATATCCAACTTTACAACTTAGCTGGTTATAAAGCCATTCACAACTGCAGGCCTAATAAAAAAGCCTAATATATTACCACGATACCTTCATCTGCAATAGTGTCATCAGTGATAGAGACGACTATTGTGAATATACCTTTGCCCAGTTCTCAAGTAAATCCCTTAAATCCTCCTTGACTATCGGTACTATCTATAGATTTCCCAATACTAATATAGCTTCATTCTCAGATAACCTAAGGAATCTTATCATTAACAACAATCTCAACAGAATCACATCATTCTAAGAGGAGACTTCAATATTGACCTGGGTCAACAAAATACCCCTCAAGTTGACTATTTCCTTAACAGCATGAACTCCTGTATGCTGTTACAATCCGTTCTCGCACTTACTTACAGTCAATATTGACTTATTAAATACGTGCATATGTGACATACTAAACATACTAGTTTACCTTGAAAAGCTTCATAGAAAACACCGACCTTACCTAACCTTCTTAGTATGTTAATATAAGCATCTTATTGCTTCGTAATTACAATTATTACTTAACCTATTATAGGTATAGGTTAAGTAATAATTGTAATTACGAAGCAATAAGATGCTTATCTTAACATACTAAGAAGGTTAGGTAAGGTCGGTGTTTTCTATGAAGCTTTTCAAGGTAAACTAGTATGTTTAGTATGTCACATATGCACGTATTTAATAAGTCAATATTGACTATACGAAAGTGCGAGAATGGGTTGCATAATCCCCACGGTCACACAGCCCACCCGAGTCACTCAAATATCTGCCACTAACTTGGATCACTTATGAACTAAAATAACAGCTCCCCGTGCATCTGGTATAATATATGACAGAACAACTGACCACTATCCTACCTTCCTCATAGCAAACATGGACATAACACCACCAGAAAGCAAGAAACTCACATTCAGGCTACACAGTGAAACAGCTTTAGGCAACCTCGCAAATGCACTTCACAATATTAACTTGGACTCTGAATTCAATAATACACAGGATATAAATTCATTAGCTAACCTCTTTCTCTCCAAAACTCTAAGCCTCTACAACACTCATTGTCTCATCCTTACCAAGCAAGTAACTGACAAAAGAATAAACAATCCGTGGCTCACAAGTGGCATATTAAAATCAATCAACAAGAAACATGAATGAAAAGATTATCAGGATTGGTCTAGTTACAAAGGAAGTAGTTAACTCATCATTGGGTGTCACAGTCACACAGACTCGGGTGGGCTGTGTGACTGTGGGGATTAGCATTAGTAAGGTACTCATCAATGCTTACCAGTATCATAAGTTAGTTTAGTTCATTTATTATGCACCCCCATACCCATCTTGTGGGCGGTAGTGGAAAGGGTTACAGAGGCACATAATGGGCTCAGGGACTGAACCTCACAATTCATTTAGCTAAGCAAGTTACAATCTTGATGAGCTAGTTACAATTATAAAAGGTATCTTTTTTATGATATAAGAAATAGAAGAGGTCCCAAGATGCTGCCCTATGGCACTCCAACGGTAATTGGTAGAGTGGAAGAGGTTGTATCATTGATGGTTACACATTTGTGTCTGTTACTAAGATAGGATCGGTTATAGTCCAGGGCAAGGCCTCGGATTCCATAATGCTGGAGTTTGATTAACAGTATCAAAGGCTTTTCTTAGGTCAATGAAGAGTCCAATCGGAAACTCATTTTTGTCAAGGGCTGAGTAGATTACGTCAAGGAGACTAATGATTGCATCATTGGTGCTCTTTTGGGACCGGAAGCCAAACTGGCAGGGGCTGAGTATGTCGAATTTTACGAGGTAGGAATAGAGCTGTTTGTAGATAATTCTTTCAAATATTTTTGATAGAATGGGTAGCTTTGATATTGGTCTATAATTGTTTATGTCCGCCGGACTGCCTCCTTTATGAACTGGCGTTACTCTTGCTTTTTTGAGGATATCAGGGAAGGTATGACACTCTATGGATTTGTTGAACAGTAGGGCTATTTAAGGGAGCCGGTCGGCCGAGCGGACAGCATACTGGACTTGTGATCCTGTGGTCCTGGGTTCGATCCCAGGCGCCGGCGAGAAACAATGGAAACAAATCACCCTATGCCCCTGTTACCTAGCAGTAAAATAGGTACCTGGGTGTTAGTCAGCTGTCACGGGCTGCTTCCTGGGGGTGGAGGCCTGGTCGAGGACCGGGCCGCGGGGACACTAAAGCCCCGAAATCATCTCAAGAAGATGGCGCAAGGGCATGGGAGGCGCTCTTGTTTTGCTTATGTAACGCATATGAGGGAAAAGCAAAGTTATTTGTAAGAGGACGGGTCAGTTAAGTTATCTTACCTTCTGCTGCATGTGGTGACACTTCTTAACTACTTCTCTACAATTATATTTAAAGTTTACAAGCAATCTTGTGTTTCTGATAACTGGCCGAATGGCTACGGTGTCTTGCTGTTGTTAAAACTCTCAAATTTCTTTTTATTCTGCTTTAATAATTGTGCAGAGACTAAAGTTGCCCCTCCATCAACGGCTGCACAAGTTGCCCTGGTGACTGGCTTGCCGGCGCGCTGAGCGTCATCTTCAATGTCCACACCTCACTTCAGTTACCTAATCAGCACTTACGTTCTTTTTGTTCGACACGCGAAATGCTTCTTTTTTTTTTGTAAATAAATAAATAAAATAAATAATAAATAAATGTTTATTTAGGTAAGTTACTTATTTAGGTCAATGTTACAGTCTATAGCCTGATGTTTTTGTACATCTTCAATTTAATTTAAGAGACTACGACATATCCTCTTCACTCAGTGTTCATTGTGGTCAAGTTCATACTGTGAATTTGATTTATTTGTGTTTTACGCATTTTTATAATTTTACACTAACCGTTATTATTTATTTCATGTTCAATTCCGTCTTACTTATTAGTTTTATAAGTTTCACGTGTCTTGATGTTTACTACTATCATTTAATATTTATCCCAATGCTGTGTTTCCCTCAGAAATATCATGACTGGTCTACCGCTTCAGCTGTCATGGCTTCCCATTATTGGCTACCAAGTTAACATTACATTACAACAGATTGATGAAGAAATGAACATTGGAGTCGGGATCCACTGCTCACTGAATGTTGCTCAGCATTCAGAAAAGCCAACCAAACCCTTGGAACAATCAAGCGAACCTTTGACTTTAAAGAAAAGAAGGTACTGATTCAACTGTATAAATCTCTGGTACGTCCCCATTTGGATTACTATATCCAAGTATGGAGACCTCATCTTCAGAAGGACATATATTTACTCTGGCGAAAGTGCTACACCGGGCAACAAAAATCATTCTAGATCTAAGGCATCTCTCGTATCAAGAACGGTTGAGGGCCACAGGGTCAACAACGCTGCAAACCAGGCATGCCAGGGCAGATCTCATTGAAACTTTTAAAATACTTTTTTAGTATTAGTTTAATTTTAGGATGTTGAGCCGGACAATTTCTTCAAAAGGTCAAAGTAACACGAACGAGGAGCAACGGGTTCAAGCTCAACAAGCCACAATGTAGGACAGAAAACAGCTGGAGATGCTTTTTCGCCTATAGGGTTGTAAACCTGTGGAACTGCCTACCCGCCGAAGCCGTAAATGCCAAACCTTGAATTTCAAAATTCAACTGGAAAAGATTATCAAGGCAAATGGGAGGGACCTTCAACAAGCCGTCGGCTTCCTGTCCTCGTCGAAGCCACTAGTGTCAGTGGCCCTCAGGTAAAATCAGGTAAATTATTGGTCTGACGAGTCTGCTGTCATGGCTGCCAATCACCAGTCTGCCGCCTCAGCTGTTATGGCTGTCCACCACAGGTCTATCACATCAGTTGTCATGGTTCAACCCGTCGTCCCAATAGCACGTCGCATTTTGACGTATTATTTACCTAAGGCCAGAAACAGTGGTATTAGAAAATGGCAGCTTGCAAAATTGACAATGTCCCGTTTTCTGTTAGTGGGTCCTCTAGTAGGTTAGGTCTTTTAGTACGACAGTAATGGGTAGACTCTGGCCAGGCTATGGTTTTCCAGTGATACTGTGGAGCATGAGGTCATGTCATTAAGTAAAGTGGGTAATTTTACTTAATGTCATGACCTCATGCTCCACAGCATCACTGGAAAACAATAACCTGGCCAAAGTCTCAATAAACGTCTAGGGTTAAGTAAAAAGGCTAGCATAAAATACACCAGTTTACTGGGGCATATAAAACAGGTCACCGTAAAAAAATAAGAAACTAAAGTTCTTTACAAGTGATACTCTACGTATCACAAATACTCCAGCTTATCAGAGCTCTTCGTAATCTTTAACAGGCATTGACCTCCCTCGGGACTAGCTGACACGAGGCTCTATCCTGACGCAGTGGTACACTATAACCCCTAGCATGCTTTAAACGCAAGTACGGGATGGTAGTGATATACATTAATAATTAGTGGGTGAGGAATGAATATCATATCAAAGCACAATAGCAGTCACTGAGGGTCCTCAGGTATCCACCTCAAATATATAGTATAAAATCATCTACCACCTGGCATAAATGATGTACATCGGTAGTCTGATCCAGGACAAGTACAACAGCATAATTATATATATATCAGTAGCTAATAAACACTAAAGGCCACTCAAATCAAGAGCCGGACGTCACACGTCCGCCTATCTGAGAAATCAAGAGGGTTGTTGTTGTTTGATTCGCTACCTGGAACAAAAAGTTCCAAGTGGCACAGGCTATGGTGAGCCCGTGGTAGTTCGTACGTCTCTGGTTAGGTTAGGACTTTGAATTTTGTACTTTGCAGCAAACAAAGATACCGGGCTGTCCCACCACGGGCCTGGGGCGTGAACCACACCGATGTGTACTGTACTTTCCAAGGTCCTCTATACACCGCTATCACAAAGGGTTATCTCACAGGTCAACAAGTCGCTACTTGAAAACACCTATTGTAGCAGAGATGGCGTACTCACGCTTTACTCTTCCTACTAGAGTACTGCACAATATTATGGCCGAAACACTATGCGTGCTAGTGGCTTTGTAACAATGTACCACTTACCTATCAACATGTGTACTTTAATAAGAACTCGTTAATTTGTATTTTCTTGTATAAGAATAAATAAATAAATCTTCGATTTTACTACTGCCATCAACAGTGGCTTGTTTACCCCTCTCCAGTCTTGTTATTTATTGTGTACTCCATACTCCTCCTGTGTTGTTTATTGTGTACTCTATACCCATTGTGTTGTTTATTGAGTACTCTATACTCATCCTGTGTTATTGTGCATCCCATATTCATCCTTTGAGTGGTTGTATATTGTGCACCCCATACTCATTCTGAGTGATAGAATATTGTGCATCTCATATTCATCCTGTAAGTGGTAGTTTATGGTGCGTTCCATACTCATCCTGTAGGCAGTAGTTTGTCAGAATTTACCTTTGGCCTTGATGAAGTAAAAAAGCTCGAGTCTTGTCCGAGGTCCCCCATTCTATTCCAGAGAATTTTTCCATTTAAATTTTAAACTGACAAAATGTCTACCCCATTTACAGCTTCGGTAGGATGTGCTGCCATCAAAAACGAATGTTCAAGAAATGTGTAAATATTTCATTAAGTGACTAACAAGTTTTAACCATATATTTCCATAGTTTACTATGGGTAGTAAATGTGGGTGACAAATCTTTTCCACTGCCACCCAATGGATGGGGTGGGGTAGTTGTGTACAAGTAAACCAAATTATGAAACTACCTCACTGTATATGTAGTGTATACAGTAGAGTGTATACTGTATATGTTAGTTGGTTAACGTTTAGCCTATGTGCACATCACATATTATGCTCTTACTATATTTATTGTATATATTATGACATCTACTCTTACATGTTAATCTTCTGACCAATGCAAATACATATCCCCTCCCCACTTTACATTCTTTTTTACTACCTTCAGCATCATGGTTGATGGTTAAGATATCTGACCAATAAAAAGAGGTAAACACAGTGACGACAGTCTAAATACTATGCACCTCTGATGTTCAAAGCAGTGCGAGTGGCTTAGGAATATTTCGACAGACGATTTTGGCAATTTTGTGTTTATTGTCTTGACTATAATACTTGTTTAATATTGTTAAATTTTATTTTTATGTTTGATATATTTACCAATATTTGGACTTTGCAGAAACTCATTTGAGCAGGGATTTATAATAGTGCAATAATGATTCACTCTTGGCTTGTTTTATATATTTTATACATTATAAAATAATATTAATATCATTTATTTAACAATATTTTAGGCATTGTACAACAGTTTATTATTCAACCATTACATCTCTGAAAAAAAAAATTACATTGAAGTTTTCCTGCTTGTGTTCAAGTGCTCAACTACTTCGTTTGGAATTTTCCTGAAGGCCTTTAGACATTGAACATTATGGTTTTTTTCTTTTACATGACTTTGCATATGATTCACTAATTTAATTTTGTTAGCAAAACCCTTCAGGCACTTTGAGCACTGATATGTATATTTTTTGCTATGAATTTTTATATGATTGGCTAAAGCAGCATTTGTTAAAAATCCTTTACTACACACTAAACAATTAAATGATTTTTCTTCTGTATGAACTTTTAGATGGCTAATTAAGCTCGCCTTGATAGAAAAGCATTTCAAACATACTGAACACTTAAATTTTTTTTGTCCTGTATGAACTGTCATGTGCTTAACTAGATTGCTCTCTTGTTTAAAGGCTCTCCAGCACTCTGAACACTGATAAGGTTTCTCACCAGTATGAATTAAAGTGTGTTTAACAAGAGCAGAATTTACAGTAAAACTTTTTTCACACACTGAACATTGATAGGGTTTCTCTCCAGTATGAGTTCTCATATGAGTTATCAGGTGGCCTGTTTGCTTAAAGTTTTTTTGACACACTGTACATTGATATGGCTTTTCACCGGTATGAATTCTTTGATGCTTTGTTACAGAAGATCTATCACTGAAGTCTTTCAGACACAGGGGACATTGATATGGTTTTTCTCCTGTATGAACTCTCTGATGCTTTGTTACAGCATTTTTATCACTGAAGGTTTTCAGACAAACTGAACACTGATACTGCACTTCTCCTGTATGAAGCCTCTTATGTTTTTTCAAATAAGATTTATATTTGAAGTCTTTAAAACACACTGAACACTTGTATGGTCTTTCCACTGTATGAACTATCATGTGATACGTTAGTCTATCTTTTACTGGAAAACATTTTAGACACTCTGAACACTGATATGGCTTCTCACCTGTGTGAATTCTCTTGTGTTTTGTTAGATTTGATTTACATGGAAAACATTTCTGACACACGTCACATTGATATCGTTTCTGTTCCATAGCTACCTTTGTATGTACTTCAAAAGCAGAGCTTCTTAAGTTTTACCATTAAATAAATTTTTCTATGAACCACTATTTGTATTATCAGAGCTTGTGTATACTTTTACTGAAACCGGCACAAACCTGGAACCTCAGGACTATGAATCCGAAGCGCTGTCCAGTCAGCTGTCGTGCCCCTACTCAGCTGTCAGGCTCCTGTCAGACAAAGAAAAAAAATGGTGCAGCTTCTTTAATCTTCAAATTTTCCTTCAACAAGCCAGACAATTTAATTAACGTGCACTGATATAGCATATATACATATATAACACAATTAAAAAAATTTTTTAGAATGCCAAAAAGGTCCTGCAACTTATATTACAAAATTAACAATAATTGAATTTGATTAAATTTAAATAATTAATTACATGCATGTTTAAACATTTAATATTTCTTATCAAGATATAATTGCAGTCAATATTAAAGTTCATAATTATAATAGCACTGGAATAAAAAAAATGTTAAGAAAATATGATAAATGTTCTGAAATAAGTTGAGGCATTTCTATCACAGAAAGGAACTGAATCTCTTTAAATGGACGTACAGTATATGAAAAGGTTACCTATGCAGTTATTTAATAAAATTTCTCTGAACAGCCAATTTGAGTGAGACATTGCACAATATACAGAAGGAGATTAAATTTGTCAATTATAAAAAGCAACTAAAAATTACTAGTTTTCCAGGGAAGCGTTAATATAAATAAGAATTTTAATATACACCAGCATTAACTGTCAAAAGCAAAACCTAAACAATGACATTATTTTATTTTAATTTGTTTGTTTATTATGATACATCGTCTCATTTGTGGGTTAATTTCACTGCATTAGAGGCTGCTGCTACTACTACAGCACTGTTAATGAACAAATTGATCAACCCTAAATGCAGAGACAAGCTTAAAGATTTTAATACATGCTTTAACATGGCATTGACAATTTGGACTCGATATTTGTTTATTTTTTATTTATATATACTGTACAAGTTCTTACATTCTTGTAAAGCCACTAGCATGCATAGCCTTTCGGGCAGGTCCTTAATCATAATTTTCCCTGGAATACGACCTGCCAAATTGTTTAAGAACCAGGTACCCATTCACTGCTGGGTGAACAGAGGCGTACAGCTAAGGATTGGCACCTAATTAATCCTCCCCCAGCCAGGATATGAACCCAGGCCAAACCGCTCACGAAGCGCTGGGCAAGTGTTTTACCGCTGCGCCACGGGGAATACTAAAGACATGAACTTCAACTTGATGACACTGGAATATTGGCACCTGGTGTGTATTAACTACTTACAATGGGAACTAATTTAACTGTAAAGATGAACTGCATAAAACAAAAAACAAAGTTGACTAATGAAACGCCATTTTCTGGGCGAGACCCGAAGGCTCCCCGAAGGTATCTGGGCTGATACGAATGTGAATGTGAATGTATTAGACCCCTGGCATCAGTCAAGCAAATGGAGTTCTAGTCCTAATGGGAACCACGAGCCAGAACCTGACCCCCCCCCCTCAGAGAGGCACGAGGAGCAATGGCCTATAGAAATCCCCGTGTGGTTGGAAGCATTTTATATCTGCCACTGACCAGGTCAGGCACCCAGAAAGATAGGCACCCCAAAACAAACCTTATCTGGTTAAAAAAATTTACCGAAAGCCCAACTACAGTATTGGACAGAACTCCCCAAACAAAAAATGAGCAATCGAGCATGATGTCACAACCGTCACAGCACCGCCATCTGCACAGCTCCCCCCTCCCCAGGAGGGGAAGGGGAAGTTCCAGACCCCCGCAATGGTCTGAGGTCACACCCCACGTTCTGAGGCTGGACGTCAAAACGTGAAAACCGCCAACCGAAAGGAGGGAGGCTAGCCAGGAAGCCGTGGTTGGCACCGAGGCCGTGGCTCACCGGTAACGGCAAAGAGCCACAATCGGACAACACATGATGCACCCCCGGACGAACATACCAAGCTACAACAACCCAAGGACCCCTCCGGAAAACAGTAGTTTCATTCTTCACCAGAAAAGGAGGAGATGGCTGCAAACGAACAAACCTACCACCAGGATCAAAAGAGCAGAAACCTCTGTGCAGGAGAAGAGCATGAAGCTTCCCAACCCGATTCCAGAAGCCAATGCCAACAAGAAAAAAAACTTCGCAAAACAATCTTAAACCGAAGGGGGGACAACAAACCGAGGAGAGAAAGAGAGAGCACCCGATCCAACCAGGATGGCTCAGGCGGTGCATTAGTAGACCAGAGGTGAAACAACGCACGAGACAGCTTGCAGAACGGAGCAGAAGTAATAACCACGAAATTAAGATGAAGCGGCTCTGCCAGTGCAGCACGATACGAGGCGACAATATTCGGCACAAGATGACGGTGAAGGGCAAAATGACCCGAACTGAAATAGAAGAAAACCTACGGCGGGACAAGAAATAACGAAAGGACTGCCAGAAAACTTCACACTGCTGCCGAGACAAAGCACGCAGGAGGGACACCATCAACGAAGCCACCTGCTCACTATACAAATGTGATAGACCCACATCAGAAGATCAGACACGAAGACTTGATGAGATGATCGAACCAGCTATGTAATGGACTGGCCTATTCTGCTGAAAGAGGAGGAGCTACAGGAAGACCCCAAGGTTTGGACATAGAGCAAGCAGCGCCTGCTTGCCTTGGGCCGGCCACCAAGGGGCCAACAGGACTACTCCTGTTGGCCCTACTCTCCAAGCGAGCTAGGACCTGGAGTAACAGCGGATCCAGGGGAAGGGAGGGAAGAGGTACAGGTAACCCCACCTCAACCAGTCCTGCCTGAAGGCATCGACCCCAACAGCCTCATAGTTGGGAAAGGGCGCCACATATAACAGGAGACGCCGCAATCACGCTAACGGGAAAAATCAACCTCCGGGAGCCCATACATTCGGCAGAGCCAACTGAACGAGTCGGCATGGACAGGGGGAATGAACCGAGACAGGCCGTCCGCCAGGACATTGGACACCCACCGGATGTGAACGGCCAAGAGAGCCAAACCCCAAGAACTCAGCAGACGAGTTACCCGTAGCAACCTCTACCCCCCACAAAGAGCCAAGAACCGCATCAGACCCCCGCAGTTCAGGTAATGAACTACTGGGGAGCAGTCCCAATGGAACGGGATAGTCGATCTGCGAGCGACCTGAATCCTCTGAAGCAACATCAACACAGCCGCAAACTTCTGCACGGTGCAGTGTGCTCCCACAGGACGGACGGACTCCACTGCCCCTGGTCAGCCTGGTGAGACCTGGTCACAAAGCCCCAGCCAAGAGACGAAGTGACCGGGAACACATCGAACGAGGGGTCAAGGAAGGCACCAAGGCACTGAACCCCGAAAAACCCGAAGAAAAAGCCGGTGACACAGCAGCCAATGAGAGGCACCCGGAGGCTGAACCCAGCGATCGCGAGAGAGGTGGAAGGGACGTTCCCCCGAAGGAACCAGAATAGCCTATGAAGCCAAACCTAACCCGACGGGTAGACCATCATGGCAAAGTTCAGACTCCCATACAGATCCTCGAGCAACCGTCTCGTGACTCGGGAGACCCTGCCCCCCAGAAGCAGGCAAAGGCGGGACCGCAGCAATAGCAGAGCCTCCGGAGGGAGAGAGAGAAGAAAGTGGTCTAGAGTCCCAAACAAGACCCAGCCAAGACCAAACCTGAGAGGGGTCCCAGATGGGACTTCTGCCAGTTCACCAGGATCCCAAACCTGGCGAGCAGGAAAAAAACCAAATCATTGGCAAGCAGACATGCGGACTGGCTGGGAGCCCACACCAGTCAGTCATCGAGGTAGGCCAGAACCCGAACCCCTAAGAAACTCAGACTGGCCACCACGACCCGGGCAAGGTGTGTGAACATGCGAGGTGCCAGAGTCAAGTTGAATGAAAGGCAATGAAAGCGGTAAGCCTAAAGCCCCCACAACAAAACCGAGCCAGTCCCTGAACCCCGGATGAATCAAGACGTGCCAATATGCATCCCAGGGGCCAGAGACACCATCCAAGTGCCCGGATGACAGTAGTCATCCAAAAGAAGGGGCAACATTAGACCCAGGGGCTCAGACAGGACAAGTTCAGAATGAACCGCAGGTCCGCGCAGTCCTATTTCAGAACTGGAAATAGGCGGGAAACCTACCCGAAGGATGAAGACGTTTCGACCACGCCCAAGCGAACCCACTCCAAGATGACCTGACAGAGCGCAGGAGAGGAGGCCTGTCCCGCCAGCCCCAAACCTCACGAAGGGGGAAGGGCCACTCAACACCACTGCAGGCTACAAGAAATGACGCGAAACGGCCACAAATCGTGGGACCAGGCGTGGGAGCATAGTGCAAGCTTTTCCCCCATTGCCCTGTCAATGGGACGAGCCGCGAAAGGGCAGACACCCCTTGCGCGAACCCGAACTATGTGCAGAGTCACCACCCCCCGCCGACCATTTGTTGTCAGTTCCGAAAGCTGCGCCGGCTCCGAAACTGGCACTACTGGCTTACCACAATGGGCGAAACCCCCGAGCCCTGACATGACCCCTCCGCGAAGACCCATACGAGCCCCCCCGGAGAACCAACAAGTCAGACATGGGATGAAAACTCCAAGAAGCCACTTGCAGATACTGCACCACCACAGACTCTGCAACAATAAAAGCAAAATGGCACAGAAAATGTAAGAGCCAGGCCTAAGAACCACCATAAGGGCCTCTCCCCACTCAAGCGTGTCGGACCGACAGAATGTATGCCATGCCCCCAATGAAAAGATAGGACTGTCTGCCAACCAGGATGACTCCAGAACCTAGTAATGGACCCAGTAAGGAAAGGAAGAACCGACCTCGAAAGAGGCAGGATCCATTATCGAGGCGTAATCCGGGTCGCGCAGGAGGCAAGTCGCAATAGCCTCCCACACCTCATGAGGCGGGAGGCCGAACATCCTCATGTGGTGTAGGAGGCCAAACATCCGAACCGGGAGGCCGGTTCCTTCCTTCCAGAAGGAACTGAAGTACCCAAGGGAACCCGGAACCGAACCCCGTGGAAAGGTCGACTCCATATCAAATTTGTTCAAGGAGGGGGGGGGGGGGGAAGAATAAGAAATCACTGCTCCCTGCAGCAACAAGCCCCACTCGAAGGGGTATCAAAACCCAAGAGGGGTCTAAGCCCTCCCCCAAGTCAGGCCCCTCCCCACCCCAGGAACGTCAGGGCCTCGAGCCGAGCCGTCCTCCAAACCCACCGCCTCAAAAGAAAAGGCAGAAGCCACCAGAAAAGCTGGAATGAAGGGGGACCCACTAGTCAGACCCAGATGCACCAGCTGGAGGAAAGGGCACAAATGCCTCCATCGCCACACCGGATGGGGCATCCCCCTAAACTGCCCGAGTCTCCCCACTAATTAAACCCTGCCCCGACTCCGAAACCCTCAGACAACAGTGGACGAACAACAGATGGGAAGGACTAGGGGGCATGGACAAAATCAGAGTCGAGGCAACTAAAACTGCCCTCCCCAAAGTCCAGGTCCATATAACCAAAAGAGGGCAGCTTCTGGGCATCCGGGTGAGCAACCAACCTAGCACACTGCAGCAACCTAAAACACGCATGCAACACAGAAGCTGCCTGTACCCGAATATGAAGATCAGTAGATTGGGTGAACTGGAGTATAGTATATGCAAGCAACACCACTCGCAGGACTCCGGGTCGAAGGTGTCACCAACTCAATATGCAGCATGACTGAGGCACAACTGGTGATTGTCACCCTGAGACAAGGGGACAGAGCAACCTTCAAACTCGCACGAAGCGAGATGGGACCCAGGAGATGCATCCATCGAACCACCGAGTTCCCAATGGGGTTTTACAGGGTTCTTAGATGCTCTGCTAAGGGAAGCCCAGGCAAGGTACTGCTAACCGGCACCCCAAACTACCAAATGAACTGCTAAAAACTGAAACCCCGTGACGAGTACACACACGGGAACCTCACGGAGGGCCACCAAAAATACAATTAGACGAGGGTCCACAACACCAAGGGCAGACCCTCCACTAGGCAGAAAAAAAGAAAAGAAAAGAAAAAAACCTGCACGAGTACGTCACAGGCGGAACAGAGCTGGCCGCTGTTATATGGTGAAAACTAGCTGTACAGTACCTTGCGCCCTTACCAGTGATGAAGCTACCTCCTACCCAGAAGCAAAGAGGGATGCATAAACACCCCAGCTGACTCCAAAAGCAGCAATCACCATACAGCAAAAGACCACGGCGAAGGTAGATCCCGAGTGACTTGTGGAAGAGAACCCCCAAGCCACAAGGGCAGAACTTATAAGACACCTAGGGAAGAACCCTAGGCGCATGCAGCCCGAGTACTGGTGAAAATACTCCTGGCTCGCACACCACCAACAGACAGGACCACACCACAAGGCACAGCACTGAAACAAGTCTGGAGCCAGAATCGCATGATCGCCAGGTCATCAGCCACAGAACTAGGGATGTGGATAGCCAGCTGGTGGGTCTGGGGCTCATCCTTCCCCTTTCCGGGGAAGGGGGGAAGCAGCGAAGATGGTGGAGTGGCAACGGTTGTGACATCATGCTCGTTTGGGAAGTTCTGTCCAATAATTCGGCTTTTGGCAGCAATTTTTAACCAGATAGGGTTTGGTTAGGGGTGCCCACCTTTCTGAGTGCCTGACCTGGACAATGGCAGTCAGAATGCTTCCAGCTACACAGGGGGTTTCTATAGACCATTGCTCCTCGTGCCTCTCTGGGGCGGGGGATTAGGTTCTGGCTCATGGTCCCCGGTAGGCCTAGAACATACTCATATCAACTGCATGTATGTTGCAGTTGATTCATATCAACTCCATTTGCTTGACTGATGCCAGGGTGTAATATATTCATATCAACCCGGATGGCTCTGGGGAGCTGAAGGGGGCTCCTCCCAGAAAAACAAAAAATGAGAAGACATTGAGCAATTAGAATCTTTTCAATTACCTCTACTGCTAAAATATTCAAAGTCACACAGAAATCACACTAACGTGATATATATCAATGAGGAAATCCACTAGGGCTATGAGTTGGCACGAACTTATGACCCTGGCATTGCCAGTCACATACTCTACCAGTGACTTATAAGTCATCCAATTGGATTTCTACTGAAATCAGTTAGTCTGGAAATCTACTGAAATAACAGGAAGCCTCATTAGACGTCGAGATGCAAGTCTCGTTTTAATCACATACTCAGACCTTAAAGCACTCAAGAGTGTGAAAGACTTGGTGTAATTCCTTTAAATAAATTTCACAAATACACAAGTGTGGGTTACAATGATGAGACTGATGGTATTGTTAATAATGTTGCTGTTGGTGTTAACAATAAAACATAAGAACATAATAAATGTAACTGCAGAAGGCCTATTGGCCCATACGAAGCAGCTCCTGTTTATAACCAACTAATCTCATTCATATGTTTAACCTACGGCCTAACCTACAAACGGCCATTTGTAAAACCATATTGTGAATCATTTATTAATTTATATTTTTCAAGATGAAGACGAATGTTATTTGCAATTATTGATTCAAGTAACTTTCCCACAATAGACATTAGGCTAATTAGCCAATAGTTTGACGCAAGTGATCTATCTCCTTAAAAATTGGCACCACATTAGCAACCTTCCACGACTCTGGCACCCTTCCTGACTAATGATTTATTAAATATGGTAGACAATGGTTCTCAAATGTTCTCTTTGCATTCTTTAAGCACCCTGGCAAACACTTTGTCCGGTCCTGGGGATTTGATAGTAACAGAAGACCTTGTGTTAATAAAAGTAGTGTTGGAAATGGGTGCAGAGGTAGCAATGGAAACTGGGGGGGGGGAAAGAGAGGTAGCAATAGAAATGGGGGCAGAGGAAGCAATGGTAATATTGATAATGGTAATAATAAGAACAATGTAGATAATGGTATGTGATAAATTGCAACAATTATAATTTATAAAATGTTGGAGAGACTGGTCATGGGTTCCTGAAAGAGTAAATGAACACAAAAGAGCATTAACAAAATTTGATATGAATAATGCCACTGCTAACCATTGTTGGAATTTCAGTCAGAGAATTGTACATAACTGCTCAAATATCTAAGAGATGCCTAATAAAAGAGATAATTATAGATGCTATGGACAGTAAAGGGCAACAAATTTTTAGTAAAGTCAATCCCATTAACCATAAAATTATTCTTAATGAAGTTAACTAATCTCATTAACTCTTACAAGTACATACCTTGTGATATGGGGGATAATGTTCTCACAATACCCTGCCCACAGTTCACAGAAATCAGGATTACCGAGCATTCATCTGAAGTTTCGTCATCCCTTGGAGAGTCCCTGGGGAGCATAATCATAAAGTCAAATACTGGATGCAAAGTGGGGTACTCTGCCAGATATATAAACACAAGTTCTTAGAATATTGTTCAGTACATTGTTTACATCACCTTGACAGAGGATGCAAGTTTCATCCAAAAATTTGGTATTAACACACTTGCACGTGAATTGTGCATTTCCTTCCCCTTTAATATTATCCTTATTATTTATATCATTATTAATTGAGAAGCTTTATGATGACATGCCCATATTCAAAAGTAACCTGGGTGATTTGTTTAGTCAGCCTGAGCTCCTTCCAAAGAGTACCTAAATTAAAACACTCTTAACATCATAAGAAACCATTATTGGCAAAAAAAAAAAAAAAAAAAAAAAAAAAAAAAATGCAAACATACAGCTACATACCTTATTCAAGCTAATTATAGGTCAACAAACTGTACAGCATTCGGAAGATTGTTAACTATATAAACATCTTTTGTTGCATATTGGTGAGAAGGCGAAAGGCGAGCTGAAGTGTAAGTGGGGTGGGGTGAAAGACTGGAGCAATACAAGGTGTAACTTAAAGAGGAAGTAAAGCTGGGTGAGGGGAAATGAAGCTGCAGCAGGGTGTAGAGAGGCAAGGTAGCAGCAGGGTGTGGAGAAGCGAGGTTGCAGCAGGGTGTGGAGAGGCAAGGTAGCAGCAGGGTGTGGAGAAGCGAGGTTGCAGCAGGGTGTGGAGAAGCGAGGGTGCAGCAGGTTGCAGAAGCAAGGGTTGCAGCAGGGTGTGGAGAAGCAAGGTTGCAGCAGGTTGTGGAGAAGCAAGGTTGCAGCAGGGTGTGGAGAAGCAAGGTTGCAGCAGGGTGTGGAGAAGCAAGGTTGCAGCAGGGTGTGGAGAAGCAAGGTTGCATCAGGGTGTGGAGAAGCGAGGTTGCAGCAGGGTGTGGAGAAGCAAGGTTGCAGCAGGGTGTGGAGAAGCGAGGTTGCAGCAGGGTGTGGAGAAGCGAGGTTGCAGCAGGGTATGGAGAAGCAAGGTTGCAGCAGGGTGTGGAGAAGCAAGGTTGCAGCAGGGTGTGGAGAAGCAAGGTTGCAGCAGGGTGTGGAGAAGCAAGGTTGCAGCAGGGTGTGGAGAAGCAAGGTTGCAGCAGGGTGTGTGGAGAAGCAAGGTTGCAGCAGGGTGTGGAGAAGCAAGGTTGCAGCAGGGTGTGGAGAAGCAAGGTTGCAGCAGGGTGTGGAGAAGCGAGGTTGCAGCAGGGTGTGGAGAAGCGAGGTTGCAGCAGGGTGTGGAGAAGCGAGGTTAGAGCAGGGTGTGGAGAAGCGAGGTTGCAGCAGGGTGTGGAGAAGCAAGGTTGCAGCAGGGTGTGGAGAAGCAAGGTTGCAGCAGGGTGTGGATAAGCAAGGTTAGCATAAGGGTGTGGTTAGAGCGAGGTTGCAGGGGTTAGATAAGGTTAGGTTAGAGAGCAAGGTTGCAGCAGGGTGTGGAGAAGGTTAGGTTAGATAAGGTGTGGAGAGGTTAGCCTATCATATTTATTCATTACTAACGTATTGCCAGGAAGCTTTGTGAAGCTTGTGTAGCTTGTGGTAATTAGACGGACCCTGTGGAGAAGCGAGGTTGCAGCAGGGTGTGGAGAAGCGAGGTTGCAGCAGGGTGTGGAGAAGCGAGGTTGCAGCAGGGTGTGGAGAAGCGAGGTTGCAGCAGGGTGTGGAGAAGCGAGGTTGCAGCAGGGTGTGGAGAAGCAAGGTTGCAGCAGGGTGTGGAGAAGCGAGGTTGCAGCAGGGTGTGGAGAAGCGAGGTTGCATCAGGGTGTGGAGAAGCATGAACTGGGCAAAGTAAAGCTGGAGTCAGAAGTGAAGAAGCGAAGTAGAGAAGTGACGAAACTAAGAGTAGCGTATGGTGAAGCTGAATTAAGAGGCGTTACATTCTTTATTGTATAAAAAAAAATAAGGCCGAAAGCCAACCTGATCATACACAACGTCTCTCGTCTCTGAAGCTTGGTACTGGTGATGGCTTCTTGTTATGATGGCGCCGGACGCTTGTCTCTCTCGTGCTTCCTGCTGGTATACTAATTACCCAGGTATAATAACACGACGAGAGCCGAGCTTGTGGTGTCCCGTCTACCCAGCTCGCTGTGGTTTGTTGATGTCAGGCAGCAGCAGCAGCAGGAGGAGGGAGGGTGCAGGAGGTGTTGTGTGGAGTGCAGGAACCATGCACGAGTGTGTGACCTCCACCGCCTTCAATACTTCCAAACTCATTACTTCACTAACACAACTGTTACATAAAAACTACAAATAATAATAATAATAAAAAGTAAAAATAATAATAATAATAACAATAACAACAACAACAATGATAATAAAACTGATAATAATAATAACAATAATAATAATAATATTAATATTAATAATAACAATAATATTAATACTGTAATAATATTAATAATAATAATAATATGATAATTTGATTGAAAAATATACAAAACATGACACAATGGATGCTTATTTGTTACATAAAGGTTCATCTTTAATAAAGCCAGTGGTACGTAAATGTCAACACGTTGTTAAAATATATTTATTTTAATGCAATCGTTTAATTTTAAATAAGCAATTTATCCAAGAAAAGAGAAGATTATGTGTTTCAACCGTGTTCCGTTGTTCAGGTATTCTATTGTCTTGGAAGACGAGAACTGAGGCCAAGTAACAGACCTCGAGCGTGTACCACATTTTAGTCCTGTGGGACAATGTTCAGGGCTCAAATTGACTTGTTGCTTGGTCAGTAACCACATGTGTGACCTCCAGGCTTTCATAGGCCTCCAGCCTACCACGGAACCCATGTACGGAACCTATGGTATGTTTGAAGTCTGTCGTCGCGTTCACCATAGTGGGTGGGATGGGCATCTTTACCTGGAATTAGTAAAGCCAAGCTGCAAAGAAGCTTGAATTTGCTCTCACCTGGAAGAGTAAATATCTTCAATGTAGGTATTTACATTACAACCAACATAATTTTTTCTTAATTTTGCCCCCGAGGGGCGAGTTTATTGGGCAGCGTCACTCGTCCTGTGAGTGGACATAACGAAACTAGCAGCATGTACAACACTCCCCAATAGGAAGAAAACCCGTTGGTTGTTCATCCTGTCACTTGTATCCACACATAGCTGGGACATGCTTAAAACCAGACCCTTTCGGTTGTGGCTTGACTGCACTGACCATTGCACCACATGTAATAACCCCAGATATATTAATTAAAAACTGGCGGTGTCTTGAATTCTAGTACATGCCAGATCATTGGTTACCAGTCTCCACACACATGGGTACTTCATCCATTTGCCACTTAGTTACAGTTGTATAAACATACAAAACACATATTTATCCTATAACCTACCCGATTCATACCATTATAGAGTATGAATAAATAAACATAATGTACATGGTCACCAGATTGAAGTCAACACTTTCTAGTGATATTCAGTGTAGTCGCTTCTTATTTTTGCATGTTGGCCATGTTGTTGGTTTTCCAACTTGAGTACAGCATATATATATAGTTGGAAAAAACAGTCTAAATTACAAAGATGTGGGTTCTCCACAAAGTTTGTGTATGCAAAATTCAAACAATATGACAAAATAAAAAAGGTATAGGGGGCCAAGACTATGGTATGAACTACTGTATATTTAATGGTCAAAATTGCACAACTGAATTATGTTAATCACAGCTTAGCACAACAATGCTGTGGCATGCCTTTTGTCAATTAATATTCTGTAGGATATTAAAATTCAATAACGATTGTTAAACGGTTATGTTAGCAGTTATATCACCCATGCTTTTGGGAGTCTTACCAGTCTAAACATGTGTTGAATGTTTATAATATACAGTACAGTAATGATCATTAGTAACAACTAAAATAATAAAATCTATCTATTGTTTACCTTTTAAAAATCTGCTAGGCATTCTATGCATGGGCCATCTGTGTTTTCTCCCACAAGCCTTTGGTGGAGTTGGGCTTCAGCCACTCCTCTTGTTTCAGGAGTTTTGGGTTGAATGTCTTACCTGCAACTCTGTTTGGTCTTTGGCATGGTCCAGTTGCCCCTTTTCTTGAGTGTCCTTATTCCTGGTTCCCAAGTGAGGCTCGGCAAACTTAAGCTGTTACCACTAGCTTCATCTATGCTACTAGTATTCAAACGAACATCACCGAATTTGGAAAAGTAATAATTTTCCATATATTCGGGGTATACAGGAACGGTAGATGGCACAGCTGGGGACATGGAGCACTGTAGCAGTAGTATTGATTTGGGACGCAGCAGGGTGGTGTAATCATGACACTGTATCATTATCTTCTATGCTCATATCACTGGTATCCAATCATTGTGTAAGGTCATTATTGGGTCTTGGATCCTCATCGCTATCAACATCTGGTTCATACAGTACATGATGTATTTTATCCTCTGTAAGTGATTTTTCTACCACGAATCCCAAGGCGACAGAGCTAGATGCATGTTTATCGGCCATGGTTGCTCCCTTCAAACTAACCCTACCCACAGCCGTGGGGCATGCTGGGAATTTATCAGGATGGCAGATGGTTACTGGAGGATTAAGGCCTCCATTGTCTACCCCAAGTTACCATGCACAAATTTGGAATCTTATGCTATACTGTACCTATAAACAAGTTTTCTCAGTGTGCGCGCTCCACCCATCAATCGAGATATCTGAGTGCAGTACTGGGATTTGGAAACTCTCAGTGCACACTCCTAGTAGCCATTTCCAGTACCCGTTCTCAGAATCCACTTACAGGACCCCTCTAGCCTCTCCTTGTGACTCTTGTTTCTCGGTTCCAGAAGCCATTTAGTTACATTTGCTTGCACTTTTTTCAGTTTATTAATGTGTTTGAGATATGGACACTATACAACTGCACTTTCCAATTTTGTTGTTGGTATTGACATGCGGGTGTGGGTACTGGCAGGTGAATGTTGGTACTGTCATGTAAGGGTGGGTACTGGCATGTGGATGTGCATGGTGTTGTGTGGGTATTGGCATGTTGGTGCCTGCATATGTATGTCTATTGTGAGTACAAAGAATGGAGTGAAGGCATAATGTCAAGTGCTGGAAGTATATAGAGTAGCTTGTGTGTTGTACAGTATGCATTGCAGACGGAAACTATTTTAGAGCATCTAACACACTTAATATTTTAGCAGTAGAACATATATAAAAAAAATTCTGAATGTTCAATGTCTTATTTTTTTACAGCTTGTCTTTACACTGGAAGGAATATACGCAAAGTGCTAAGACTCGAGTGTCATCAAGCTGAAGTTCATGGCCAAATATCAAGTCCAAGTTGTGTCAGTGCCAGTTGTGTCTTGTGTCAGTTCAAGGATGTTACATTCAGAAAAAAATAAATAACATTAACATCTATGAGCTCATCTCAACATTCCAAATTCTTTGCATAAGGTCCAAACTAGTACTGTATGTTTAAATTTGCTTCACTTGACCAGTCATGCACAGAATTATAACTCGCTGTACAGTAGTACAAGTTGCCTACTCATTAGCAGTACTGACAATAAGGTATCAAATCTAGTCAAATTAACCCTTGCATGATAATAAGTGTCGGTTAAAATAAAGTTATATTGTTCATTTTCTAATAAAATTTGAAGTTGAAAGATCTACTTTGGTACTAATTAGAAAATAGCTTTATTGTTATAGAATGTACATACTGTATATATTAATACTGTATAAATTATATATAATGTCTGCCTTATTAAAAGAAAATTTACAAATATAAAATATGTATAATTTTTTATTAAAGTTATAGAAATCCTAGCTTTCATGCAGGACTAAATACATTTCAGGGTTTTGTCTAAAAATAGTGTTAATTTTTTAATGGTTTTCCATTTGGAAAAAATACCAGTAATTAGCGAGTAAAATAAATTTTAGAACACATAAGATTTTGGTGATAGTATAAGAAAGCTTTAATAATACACATGGTAGTTCAGAGAAAAGAAATTCAATGTTCTTTGTAAAAATGTTCAAAAATGTCTGCGTTTGAAGCAAATATAAAGGTAACCATGGAACAGAGGCAATATCAATGTGAAGTGTGTCAGAAATGTTTTTCATTTAGTTCTAATCTATCAAAACACAAGAGAGTTCACACAGGTGAGAAGCCATTTCAATGTACGGTGTGTCTAAAATGTTTTGCAGTAAAAGGTAACCTCACACATCACATGATAAGTCATACTGCAGAAAAACCATATAAATGTCCCGTGTGTTTTAAAGACTTCAAATATAATTCTTATCTCAAAAAACATAATAGAGTTCATACACAGGAGAAGCCTTATCAGTGTTCAATGTGTCTAAAACATTTCAGTGATATATCTGGTGTAAAAAGACATCAGAGAATTCACACAGGAGAGAAACCATACAAGTGTTCGGTGTGTCAAAAAGGGTTCAAGCAAACTGGCTCCTTGACAACGCACATGAGAACTCATACTGGAGAGAAACCATATCATTGTTCAGTCTGTCAAAAATGTTTTACTGTAAATTCTGCTCTTGTTAAGCACATGCTAATACATACAGGTGAGAAACCTTTTGAGTGTTCAGAGTGCTGGAAAGCCTTTAAACAACGAGACTCTTTAGTTAAACACATGACAGCTCATACAGGAGAAAAACCATTTAGGTGTTCAGTATGTTTGAGATGCTTTCCAATAAAAGAAAACTTAATTAAACATTTAAAAAGTCACACAGGAGAAAAATCATTTAATTGTTTGGTATGTTCAAAACGCTTTGCAAGAAATTCTGCTTTAGCTCGTCACATAAAAATTCATAGCAAAAAATATCCATATCAGTGTTCTAAGTGCTTGAAGGGTTTTTTTAATGAAACTAATCTAGTAAACCATTTGCAAAGCCATATACAAGGAAAAATCCATAGTAATATTCAATACCTAAAGGACTTCAGAAAAATCTCGAGTAGTTGAGTTCAGTACCAGCAAGAAAATTTCAATGTAATTTTTTTTTCCCCCAGATGTAATAGTTAAATCATACCTATGATAGCCCAGAAAGGGCTCATATAAAGAATAAAATGCCCAATTAATTAACATTAATTTTACTCGACCTTTAGCCCTCAAGACGTGGCTATCATTAACTATTGAAGTGTGGTATGTCATATGTTGTCATGTTGATCCTCGGTTTCATTGTAAGTTGCCTTTAGTTATCACCAAGCCTTCTGCAAGTGATGTAAGTATGGTTATGATACATCTATATGGATGTAATGGGTAAACTAGGTACATCTCATATGGTTCTTAGAACATTGCTGCCTCTTCCCCTCTCAATTTGGCTTTTGCAAGTGTCACAGCATTGTGGACCGAGATATACATTCATACTGCTTTTGCTGTGAAAACCTCTGCTGTTTACTATTCTTTTTGATCTGAAAAAGGTTTGACAATACCTGGAGATATAATATTTTAGCCCCACTATTTTCTTTTGCCCTTTGTCAGCCTGCTACTCTACCTTCAGAGCTTCCTCTTTGCCATTAATTTAAAGTGAGGCTTGGTACCAATTTAACTTTTTCAACAATATGAAGGTGTTCCTGAAGGTAGTGTTCCAAGCACTACTATTTTTATGTTCACAATCTTGCTCTGCTGTCACAGTGACAGTTCCTCTTTTCTCCAACATGAGCTACAACTTAAGATTGATAACATGTTATCCTGGGTCACCAATCATGGCTTAAAGTTCTCTACAACCAAGACTTGTGCTATGACTAACTGGAGGCATGTCATCCCCCATTTGTCATGGTGGTAACCCCTTTTCAATAATGATAGTTGAACTTTTGGGGATGGTCTTTGGCACCCATTTACTGGCATCCTGAATGATATTTAGTGCTATTTGAATATCCAGCAACACCGATGGTGCTATGTAGTCTTTTGGCGTGTTGCCTTCTTTTGATAATTGTTTTCACGCCAATTTCTCTGGGTCACCCCGTGTTTCTCATCTCCGAGATGAATGATCCAAGTCCCTTACCTTATTTGGTCTCTCTCTTACTTCCTTAGAGGAGTTTGCATTCCTATTGTGCTGTCTAAACTCAATTATAGCTGCCCTGCTTATTCCTCTCCCTTGACCCTTTGTTATCTCAATGCTCTATAGTCTATACCATACAGAGTTATGCCTCGGCTTTAGTGTCTGTCTCCCACCCAAAATTTAAATGTGGAAACTGCTTTGACTTACCCCTCAGGAGAGCCCTATTCCCCCTCTCCACCTTCCTCTTCCTGTTAAGGATGATTTATTTGAAATCTTTTTTTCTGTTCACAATTACAATCTCTCTCATTCCAATCTTGCCCCCATGGACCTTGCAAGGTTTTGCAAGGTCTTGACCCACATGGTAAGGCTTATACAGTACCTATCTACTGTTATGAAATGAATTTTCCTTCATCTCTTCACTCCCATTCCGTTGCACTTTTTGCAGAAGGGGTCAAAAGTCTGCCGACAGTGTTGGTTATTTCTTTCCTGACCAAACCTGTATGTGCTCTACTTCCAGAGATTAGCATCTTCACAATGGAAATTTATGCAATTTTGTATGCTCTTTGACAGCTACTTTCGACATCAATATTCCCGTGTCATTTTGTCTATGCTCTCATGGCTCTGGAGTTAAATAACCCTTTATGTTGAGCTTGGAATCCAATACTATCCATATTAAACCTGCAGAGTTCCTAGCCATATTGGTGTTACTCGAGGTTATCTTGAGATGATTTCGGGGCTTTAGTGTCCCCGCGGCCCGGTCCTCGACCAGGCCTCCACCCCCAGGAAGCAGCCCGTGACAGCTGACTAACTCCCGGGTACCTATTTACTGCTAGGTAACAGGGGCATTCAGGGTGAAAGAAACTTTGCCCATTTGTTTCTGCCTCGTGCGGGAATCAAACCCGTGCCACAGAATTAAGAGTCCTGCGTGCTATCCACCAGGCTACGAGGCCACATTGATTACCTTGAAGGAACATGCAGACACCACTGCTGAGGCAGCCATTTGCACTTTTCCTACCATTAAAACTGACTTTTCCCTTTGCCTTCATCTGCCACACATGCTTAACTCATGGGTACTTAATGGAACATCACCCTGCTTTTTATTATCTGAACTGCATTCTCCCATTTAATTCCTGAAAACCAGGGCATTCTAGGTGCACGACTCATTTTTGTTTTCCAAATGTCTGGATCACTTGTCTATAGAATCCTTGGCAAATTTGATCCGATAGTTCTCACCTTAAGTGTCTCTCTCTTACTGGCATCTGGTATATTGCGTATCTACTTAATATTCAGCAACATATATACCGGTGACTATAGTCAAGTACAGTTATGCTTAGTACTATACACAATGCTTGCTAATTTAGCACTCGCACTGGCTCTCCAGATAACATGGCTAGGGTTTGTGTGCTGCCTTCAGGCAGGTGTCGACGGCTTCTGCCCCTTTATTCTACCTGCTGTGGTCGTGCACAAGCAAACTACACTGGCATGTGCTATTCCCTACATGTTTTTGCTATGCATGGCAACCTGCATATTGTCCATATTGTCCATTTACCTCCATCTGAAAATTTAATCTACGAAGTAGATATCAAAAGGCACCAAGCCGGGAAGGCTATGTAGCACTGTCAAATGTGCGGAATAATCAGAGGGCGCTAAATATCAAGGATGCCAATACGAGAACAAACGCACAAGGTGAACGATATCAAAAGTAACCTATTCAAGAATTCAAGAGGGACAGTTGGAAAGCAAGTCAATCTTCCCCTGGAGCTGCAGCTGCTTGGTAAAGTGGGGGTTGCAACACATTATGATGGAGAGTAAGGGGGTTAAAAATGGAAGGTTCTGTAGGGTCTTATTGAATGGGTTAGTTTAAACTAGCAGGGCCTTGCTTGACTTTGGTCAAGCAGGATTTGAGTTGGTATCCCTATCAGTCCCTGAATTTCCATTTGAATCTTCACTGGTTACCCATGTGTACTCATGTTACCTCCGGGGTTGCTGGAGTGTTTTTACCTCCCCTTGTTGGGCTTTGTGGTGTGGGTGTTGGATGAAAGTAAAGCTTTAATACATTGTAAACATTTCTCCAAATGTTTGCACATTTACTCTATCATGTAACAGGACCCTTAAGTTGAATCCATCTGAAAGCTCTGTTAATACTCCTTTACCTAGGGTGTTCTCCCTGCTGTGTTAGGCCCCAACAAAAATTGATCACCCCTTTCCCCTACCACTTTTGTGGTAATGGGTTTCTGGGGGTTTTAATTTTTGTCGACATGGTTGCTTTAGGTGTCATTTTCTCTGGTGGTAGTCAAGAAATGCAGGCAAGGGCATATTAGTGTATCCTGACTGTTCTTTATTTTTTACCTGACTGTTCTTTATTTTTATGTCCTTTGTCTCATGTTCCTGGGTCAAAATCTACGTTGACCATGCTACAGTGTTACCATGTAGATAACTTCTGCGTAGGGTCTTACACATATCGTGTAGGTTCTTCTACGAAGTGTCATGGATAATATTATCGATTATTAAACTTTCATCTTGTGCTAGTATACTGTACACTTTAAACCAAGTTGTCAAAAAAGATGCAGAATGGAACACACAATACCCAATTAAAAGGGGTTATTTAAAAACATGATAATAGCAAATTATATTCCCAAAAAAAACTAGTAACAAAAATAAAATAAATTCTTCACAAATTCAATGTTAATGGTAAAACAAACATCCTATTAATTCAGTATTAGATGCTCTAGGAGTACCTTCATACAGTAAATGAAAACTAATGACCAAGCTATTCTCTAGGAAAATATGCTCGAGTTGTATGCAAAACAGAGTCGTCCTTAAACATGCCAAGTCGTCACCGGAATTATCAGCCTGTAAAATTACATGTTACTCAACATGGTACATAAATCATCTAGATTAAAAACAGATTTATGTTTTGAACATCTGCAATTTCAATTGATCAAATCCGTTATAATTCAAGACTTTCATCAAGTAAAAAGAGACAACACTAAGCACAATTAAAGTAAGAAAATCCCCCAAATTTTCATCAGTAAAATGCAAGAAAGTATTGCTGGAACAACAAAAATATAATCTTTCATTTTAATTTTGACAGGTGCCAAAATTTTCAATTTTATAACAAGTTATCAGTATTCAAGTAAAAGTTAGTACTGTGCTAAAACAAGACCATCTGAGTAGAAAATTTAAATGATCATCATAATAATCCTCTCACACAACACAAGTAAAAATGTTGGCATCAAGTTTAAAGAAGCATTTCCACTCAATGGTCCAAAATTAAGATTTGTGCTTAAAATACAACTGAACCACCACCCACACAGTTTCAGTAGATCATTCCCTAAAATGTGTAAAAAAATTTGTAAAGTCTAGACATTATCAATGCCACCTATACACTATCAGCCTGCCCCATCTCCATTACCACAATACACCTAATATAGCTTTTTTCTTCAGTGAAGTAAATACTGGAGGTTGGAAGCATTCAATCTTCAAACTTCCTCCATATGGAATTCACACATTAAAATAAAGGCTAATGAGAAAATCCCTTATTAAAATTTGGGACAAATTGTGCTGCCTACCCAAAACAATACTTTGCCCAAACTCATGACCAACGAAAAGTTCACACAGACGCTAAATTAAGTAAAATCATATATAGCTGAATTTCCTTCAGTTTTGTGCTAGGCACAAATAAGAACCGAAAATTAATAAAACAGTGCTCTGGTGGACTGCACTAAAATTCTAAGGCTTCAAATTTAAAAATCTATCAAGCCAGAAAGGCTTTTTCCATACAGCTTTAAGCATGATGTAAATGTTAAAACGCTGGGGATACCATTTATGTCATTTATGCAGTAATAAAAATACTCAGAATTGGCCTATATAAAAGCTGATGGAATCTAAATATTAAACTATGAAAATTTCATTGGCAAATACAATACCATGAAGATAGATCATACACCAACACTACAATCTTGACCAATGATACAGTAATAGATCAAGCAACTTTCGTAAATCCACATAAAAAAAAATGTTACTAAAATCAGTCTTGTCAAAAGACAAGCACATCCATTGTGTGACTTTAAAGTACAAAAATTAATATAATCAATATAGAACTCCACCTTAATAGAACAATGTATAGATTCAATTTACAAAATCTTCTAAAAAAAATTCTAGTAGAAAAACAAAACACTAAGAGGCTTTTGTTAGCACACTTAAATTACACGGTTGAGCGTGGTCTGAGTACGCAGCTTGGAATTTCTCATTATCGGCTTGTGACCTCCATGCGCATCAACGGGGTGAGTCAACTGCCAACACGAGCGACAGAAATACTTGAAGCAATTCTCATCACGACAAAAATATGGACCCTGTTGCATGCCACACAGCTGGCAGAGGGAGTCAGCCAAGTATGGATCTACTTGCACCTGAAAGAAGAATTTGTAATGAAGTACAGTACAGTACTACCTTAAGGAGATATAAAATGGTATACAATACTCCCAAGTTAAACCCGAATGATTGTAAAATTCACTAGTTATTTCTAAAGTACATGGGCAGAAAACTATACTTGTGTACTAGAAAATTTCAGGTTTTAATTTTAGTACAGTATATTAATGCAGCAATCTCCCAAGTCTGAGACAGTTCAGTTTAACTACCAAAAGGAATGAATAATGAATCTGTCTCGTGCAAACATTCATTAAAACTTATTGCACAAAAATGCCCAAGTGGTGATTAAACACACTTGCCCACCATCAGGTAGACAGCTCTGACAACACTGCAGTTCTCCAGCGTCGGCTGCTTCCGAGAAGGAGTTGCAACGAGACACCTGTACAGGTGGGGTTAAAGGTGACAAAGGTAACTATCGAATCCACCAAAAGTTTATGCAGGGAGAAATCTAGATGTGTTTAATAACATGGTTAAGATCAAAATATTTAGTCCATGTAGCTGGACCAAAGCTTGAAACGAAGAAGAACTGGAAGGAACCGTTCGAGTGTGGAAGGAGGGAACAATGCCGAGCACCCCCGAGTAAGATAGCGAGGGGGGGGGGTAAAAGGCAGTTGTCATAATGAGAGAAGGGCCCACTCCAGGTAATGAGGTGATCATCACTGGGAGCTTGGGGCTCAACCCCACCAAAGGTGGAAGGGGAAAAGAGGGGTAGTCAGGAGGGTCAAAGAAGCTTTGTCTGGGCCCAATGTAGTGGGGGCTACAGAACCCGGCCTTCCATCAGAGTTAGACTCGGGCCTGGTCGCCGACCCCACGAGCCTGGGAAGTTTAAGTTTAAAGGTCAGTCATCAGCATAAAAACGAATAGGTAATAATTTCATCCATGAATGCGCCTGACAGCTGGGTTGACAGCCCTTTGGATTCGTAGTCCTGAAGTTCCGAGTTCAATCCCCGGTGGAGGGGGAGAAATGGGCAAAAATGTTTCTTTCACCCTGATGCCCCTGTTACCTAGCAGAAAGACAAGTACCTGGGAGTTAGACAGCTGCTACGGGCTGCTTCCTGGGGATGTGTAACAAAAAGGAGGCCTGGTTGAGGATCGGGCCACGGGGATGCTAAGCCCCAAGATCATCTCAAGATGACCTCAAGATAGGCACCCCATACCCATCATGGAGCCACAATAAGAGTATAGGACACTCAACAAGACGGGCACCTCCCCAGGGGTGCATCGTGAGTATACACCCTGCAATCGCCACCTTGAGAACTATCAGTCCGTCGAGATCGGGTTCTGCAACGATGGCAAGAATTGACAAAGCATCCTCGTTCGAAATGTCGGGTACCACAGTTTTACGGGCGAGTACGCCTCCCAACACCCTTGTGTTAAAACAGAAGGGGTCTGAAAGAGTAATCAAGAATGGCAAAAAGTCTGCAGGAAATGACAATTGGAAATGAGAAGAGGAAAAATGAAACATCAGGAAGAGGAAAAGGTACCCAGTACAATTTATGGAAGACAACATCAGGAGCATAAGGCTTCAAGAGGACAGAGGACCATCCTATGGAGCATCATACCCCAGCAGCTATCCCCCAAGCCTCCTCATGATAATGGGCTGGAAAGGGAAGGGGTCCAATATTTAAAAAAGTTAATTATTTTCGGCTACTTGGCATTTCCGGGATTTTTCCAACCTTACCCAATTATAATTTTAGTAAAGTTGAGCATGTGGTAGCTCAGCGGTGAAAGGAAACTTGCCCAACCATTTGTCTCGCTGGGATTTCCAATGGAGTGGAGAATGAACCCAACTGTACTACTGAGAACCTATATTAGCATCATTTGTGTAAAAACCCTGACAACCGTTTAAAGACACAGTATGATCACATTACTGACCACTGAACTACAAGATCATTTGGTAAATCTGCCACACTGCTGGGTAAAAGGAATGCATATTCTGCTGGTTTATAAAAACTGTAGAGTGACTACTTGCCTTTTTTGTAAATTTTGGTGTCTTGATTTCTATAAATGCTGCTCTAACTGCCTTTCTGTAAGACTGCACATTGTTGAAAGTTACTCTGCCAGATCCAATTGGATATTTATGCTTGTCTGTATCAATACCTGTAAGTAAAATTATAAATCTTGAAAAATACCTTTAGTATACAGCTTATAATTCACTTATCACAAATAGCACATTTATCGATTTCAAGGATTTATAAATCTTAAAGGGAACATAATCACTGACACGGAGAAAAAGTAAAACAAGTTTAAAAAAGCATGGACACCAAGAAAACAAAATAGTGCCTTTATAGATGGTACATTATGATATTTAGGAGTCTCATTCAATGTCCCCAATAATTTCTGCTTCCTTCGTTTCATTTGGCTAGTTTTGCAATTTCTCCCGTGGCCACTGGCCTTTACTGCCTTTGCACCTGGCCCCTCTTTTGGGTCAACTTCAGCCTTTCTTTAGCTTTGCAGGTTTCCATTTTTCCCTGTCTTGGAAATGTTCCTTTGTTTTGGTGCAATTGTGTGACCTCTCCTACTCTTGGGAACTCTTGAGGGTTTCCATTCCATGGGTGCTTTTCTCTGCCTGTTCTGGTTTTGGCCTTTGTGGTTCATAGACTCTGCATCTGCTTGGCATGTTTTACTTGCCCAGGTTTGTTAGACTTGGGTCTTCTTTTCCATGGACAAGGAGCTCTCCAACTTTAGAATTTCTTTTAAATACATGGAAGGTCAAGTGCTAAAACTGTTTACAACTTTAGTGAATTCATAACTGGAACAGCAGTTGCATGGTGTCCATACCTCATGAACCACAAGTGGAAAAGGTACACGGATATGCAACAAGATGGCTACTGGAACTGAAACAAGAGCTATGAGGAGAGGTTAGAGGTGTTAGACGTGTCTAATCTAAATGATAGAAGAAAAAGGGGCCATGTGATCACACTGTACAAACTAATGAAAATCAATTCAATTTATAAAGATAAAGAATGCTTGAAACATGGAACTTAAAGAACATCAAGTCATAGATTTAAGGTACAGAAACAAAGCTGCCCCAAAATGATAAAGTTCACTTTTGCAAACAAAGTGGTAGACAGTGGGAACAAGTGTGGTGATGGATGCCAAAACCACCAATGATTTCAAATCGTTATACGAGTGCAGCTCTCGTCCTGTAACTACTTGGGCAATTACATTTGGGTAATTGTGTATATTATGCCTATATTAAAGGTCCTTCCAAGAACTACTGACCCTCTACAAGATGCAACTGCACAACATTTTACCAACTCCTAGGTCCCTATTTACTGCTATTGAACAGACATTAGGCAATAGGAAACTTGCGCAGTCATTTCTGTCCCACCTGGAATTCGAACCCAGGATGTTCAGTTGCATGAATAGAACAAATCTACCTGTACTGCAGAAATTTATTGAGGATGAATGTTACAGTGGCCCATTTATGCTTCAAAAACATTGTCTGCTCTATGCTAGCCACCACATTTGTTGCAAAACTTGATACAACCCTGGCAGTCCTCAAATTGGATTTACTGGGCGCAATTCTTTAACTGTAGCCTCTGTTTAACGCAACAGTAAAATGTGTACTTGGATGAAAAAATTATTCTTCGCGGCAGGGGATCGTATTCCAGGGGCCATAGGATTAAGGACTTGCCCGAAACGCTACGCGTACTAGTGGCTGTACAAGAATGTAACAACTCTTGTATACATCTCCCCCAAAAAAAAAAAAAAAAAAAAAAAAAAAAAAAAAAAAAAAAAAAAAAATCCTCATTGAAGAGTAAAACAGACCACATTTAATTAACATTATAACACCTAAATTGTTATATATTTTACTATCTACTATAGCACTAAGTATTTAAAAATACTTTGGGATTTTATGAAGTCAAATTCTAAATGCACGAACTAATATCACGTTATTAAATAATTTTCAAAATCAATGTAATACAATTTTATAAATTTAAAAAATGTATTATGATGCCAATGAACCACACTGACCACTTTATCGTAAACCTGCGACAATAGTAATTAATAAATCCCTCACCTTCATCCAATTTCCGAATGACAAGTTTCATTGCTGCAAGATTCCACTTAGTAATTACGGAATATTAAACTCGATTGGAAATGCATAAATACTTTGAAGAATCAAAATCATTAGTGATACACAGCATGTATTTTGCCAGGTCAACATACTATATGACAAGGTTCAAGGAAACTAACCTGAATAAACAACGCCTCCAAACAAATCATTCATGATGTTGGCAAGACCTTCTGCACTTAACATGCCATGTAGTGCCCCTACAAACACAGTTTTTGCAGGGTCCAACTGATATGAAGGGCAACGGACATAGTTGCTGTCACTTATCACCCACGGAATAATTTGTACCTAAAAATTAGAACCTATGAATTAATTTTCCAACACAAAAATGGCTACCGTTGCAATATTGATTAGCATATACTATGTAAATTTTTCCATTATATCTTCCAAAAATTATAGTAGGGTCTATGGTTTCTACTATTGTGGATCCAGGGTTTGATGCCCACAAGTGAAAAAGTGTCAGGCAATTTTGCTTTCACTTTACTGCTAGGTGAACCAAGGCTTAAAGAGGGATCATTATGAGGCAAGTCCAATTATAAAGTCCACGTGTCTATAGTTATTTCACCAGCAGATCCATTTTGGACTTATTAAAATATTTATGTTCAGTAGTGGAATAAGCTGCCGGCTTCCTGTCCTCATTGAGGCCACTAGTGTTTGTGGTCCTCAGGTAAATGTAGGGGTTAGGTAATTTTTTTTTGCCTAGCCTTAATTTTTACAGGAATGTTCCCGAAGGTGAAGGCAAGAGTCTATCGACATATGAATGAAATCTTCAGTCAGTGGGGAAAAAGCCTAGATGAGGCAGGTATGGAGGCATGCATGGCTGAGTGCATGCCACAAGGTACCCACATTGTTTTGAGGGATTGGGGGGGGGGGGGTGAAGGGAAGTTTACCACAATTTCTCCGACAGAACAACGTTAATCATCGTATGACAAGTTTTACCAGTCATGTGTGTTTATGTATTTTAAATCAACATAATGCATGGACCTAGTCTTTCTTTTAATCCCTCTATTCAAAGATGCATGTAGTTTAGGTATCTGGAAAAGTGTCGTTTATATTTTTATGATCCCTAACTAAATTACCTTAATTAAAATGCAGGTTATCACCCCTTTAGTTATGTAGTATATAAATAGACAAGAGGATGTAACATGCAGGATACAAGTAAGATTTTAAATACATGAACTAGCGATGGGACAATAAAATTTTTAATGATACCGATTCCACTAAAAAGTCTATGCCAATAAGATTATCAATTCCGATTCTTTTCAAAAATATATTTGGATGCTAATTTTTCAGAAAATTCTTGTAGGGTAGTTTGGAAAAATTAAAATTTACCTTACAACCATGGTAAATGTATTAATATGCACTATATAACCAGCCAATTTAATAGAAAATTGGCAAATCCAATGTAAATTGTCAAATCAATGATGCATTTTATGTACTGGCAGTCCAGCAAACACCAGTAAAAGATGAAGTGCTACGCATTTATTTTATTTCCTCTTATCGTTCTAATGCTTACATATCTTGTAAACTACATTTTTATAAAAACTTTCTGGAAGGAATTCAATAATTTGAGCAGATATTTTTCTCGCGTTGAACCCAATACCTTCTACAGATAAAGGCAAGTTGACTGCTACCACTCAAATTTATGAACTATGTACTGTGTTCATTTATATCCCAAATTTTATGTTCATCAATGCCTTCTTTTAAGGTCAGCCATCAAGTCCTAAAAAAAACTAAGAATGGTGTATTATACTCTAATGATTATAATTTAACAAAATTTAATATCAACCTGAAAAAATGTGCATTATTAAATGTTAAGTAATACCTGATTAAAGATTCTAAAATTTCTATTCCGATACCCACCTCAATTGTTGAAAAATGCTATAGTCCTCCAATCCTCTCTACCGATTAATCGTCCTATCAATAATACCGGGAAAAAATAATCGATGAAATGGGAAAAGTTTACATATAAGAATGACCCAAGTAAATACCGATAGGAAATAGGGTAGTTGATTTATGGATTGTCAGCTAATAAGACATTAAATCCCTGGATTTTCTCAAGTATAGACATACGAGAGGTCTATGGTCTACCCATTTCATTTAGGTTGCTCATACATACCTCCTTCTGCCGAATACGTCTTGAAGATATCTTGTAATAGTAGTTGCCACCAATGCTGAAATCCTGGCTGCAGGCCGACAGAAGAGACTTTACCTAAACAAAATAGGGCATTCAGTTTTTTCATTTATTTATAAATTTTATAATTCGGATAACATTGGACAAAATTTTCAAAAGTTGTCTGCTCGAGATGGGGAGAAAAAACCTAGTATCGTTCATTGACACTGAATTCACACAAAATAATTAAAATAGCCAATAAGCAACACCTGGCAACTTTTTCTGGAGTTAACAGACACATTGATCCCAACACGAAGCACAGGCAAGGTGAATTTTCTAATAGCCACATGTGGAGGGTTCAGCAACTGATGCAACAAGATGGCCTTGCAACAACACTGCCATATCAACAAGTAAATTTTGTGATCATGCTGTGCTTCCTCTGGCATCCATGAGGCCTTTGCATGTGGAACTTTATGAAAAAGTAATTTTTTTTCCGACGTCTCTTTAACCCACAACATTTTCAGAAGTTCTACAAGCTGTTGTGCAATGTCTATTTCATGTTATAAGTACATAAAAAATCTATAATGTGAAGAGTGAAGGTTTAGAACAGGGTGAGAATCTATCCAGTGTACTGGGTAACCCCAGACATACACATGGACCCAGGGACTACGTGTGTATATCAAAGGTTCAACCTGGAATTCATTAATTCACTGGAAGTCTGGAGGCACCAAGCTCATATTCAATCCAAATTTCCGAACTCATACACCCTGGTAAATTGAGTATTTGATGGAGAACTCCATTATGAACCATACACCAGAGCATGTGGGATATTTGTAAAATGCAGTTTGGCTACTAGCTTGGCAACTCCAGACTTGGTGGATTCGGGTGGATTCCAGGCTAAACATATATCAGATTTTAGTCCTTAGGTTAAGGCGCATGTCCAGGCATCCTTGGTATGCCAATTTGATCCCTGTCCTAAGCCAAACACTCATTAGGTCATGAATCTGGTCAAATAATTTCATTAATGTATTGGCAGCATGATGCAGTATATATACTAAGTATGGTTATTTTATATAATTTCATTTTCTAATTTACTGTATTCATTTTAAGTTGTTGGAGGCTGAGGTATCCACGTTATTTTAGGGGTAAAAAGATAAATCTTTAGTGATCTTCACAAAACTAAGGCATTTTAAAATGGCAGTGTGAGAAACTTGTCTTGTTAAATCATTCTTTACCTTAGTACAGAAAGTGTCTTGCTCAATGAACCACAATGTTAATTCATACATACATCACTTTAATACAGAATTCAAAAGTTTCAAGATACAAACCTGCTTTTCATGTTCAAAGAGAATGTATACATAGCCTCTGGGAGGATTTGCAGAATTTTCCTTGCCAGGCCACTCTACTTGGATGTTTCCAAAATGCATAAATGTCTGCTTTAATGCAGATTCTGTGACATCCCATGGTACTCCTCCTAGGAAAACCTGAAGGGGGTAAATTAGAATAAGTATATAAACCAACATTTCTAAAGACTTGACCCTCATGTATTTCATGTTTCTTTTTAAGTACGAGTCCAAAACACTTTACATAAACCCAAGTACCACCTGGAGAACTGTTATTGGTGTAGCCAAGTTATAAAAGTCAGGCTGTGATTTGTTACCGAGGTTAGATTTCACAAGCTATTTTCTATTTTATGTATACATTTTTCTTTTTCTTTGAATAGCAAAATTCTCTTAAACGTGCAAGATTACAAGAAGCATTACATCTGGGAATGGAGGGAAAAAACAGGTCTGGAGAGCATGGCTTTCATTTACAACCAACGGTGACGTTACACCAGTATCAGTGCCATTAATATCAAACCTTACAAACAAATTAGCATTGGCTCTTAACATGATGAACCTAATCCTATAATATACCTTAATCCTAACAAAGATTAAGCGCTAACTAATCGACCATTTATGTCTAACGAGATGCTTGTCAATTTTTGTATGGCAGTTTATTAAGTGGGAGAAACTTCAGTACTTTAAAGAAAACAAAAAAGATTAGAATTCCTGGTGTATCAAGCCAGTATATTTTTACAAAATGAGCAGGACCATGCTCAAACCTTATTTAACCAATGCCTGTACAGTACAGTTGTATTCCTAAATTCAAGATGTAAAGTGATGTGACAAGTGTCACTTTTTCCAATCGTCTTTCTTTGATCATCATAATCTTCAGCCAGCAGTTATCATTAGTCGATTCATGGGGTAATGTGGTTATTGTCATGACAATTCAAACTTATCTGGATTTTACATGCATTATGTAAATATGGTTATAATATAGCTCTGTGGATGTAACCTTTTACATAGTTATACTTAGGATCTTTGCCCATCACAAAATAACTGGTTACTTATTTTGTCTTCATGAAGGGATGCTGTGGACAAGCTGCACAGTGGTGCTGTAAGCTGCAACAACATGCATTACTCATGGTTGTCCACAATGGGGGCCTCACACTTATGAGGGGCACCCACAAATCCTCCCCTCCCCACAGATTACATTTACTGAAGGCCTCATTAAACAAATATGAGCTGTGTATATACAGGATTAAAATCTTACACTATTTTAAATCATCCATCTATGACTTGTGCATTGGTCAGAAATGGAGCAATCATTCCTATATGAATAGTGCAGAGGGGTTAAATTACCATCAATTCTATAAATAATCCTCTCCAACCAAAATAAAAGGACATTTTCCTTGAACTACAACTTGGACATGGACTAACAGGACCAACTTACCTTACATGAGTATATGGGGTTCTTGTGCATCCTAGTAGGCAACTGGCCACTCCAAGTACATGTCGCATCACAAACAGCTGGTAATTTAGTAAATTATTTCGTTAAACGAGTTGAAGCAGTTTACAAGCAGAAAAATAGAAAACTGGGCAAGCTGTAAAGAATACACAAGCTTTAAATACAAAAGCCAATAAAAAAATTCAGCAAGTTAAGGTAATCAAAAGAGCAAAGCCATTACAACTAACACTTGGAAAGGATACTAAGATAACTACAGGTATTTGGTTTAGGACATGGGAAAGGAATGGTGCCAAAAGGATTTTGATAGGGGAATGAATGCCGACCTGCAAGAAGTGTAGCTACTGCACTACTGTCCAGTCCAAGTGGTTGTCTTCACCCTCATTCAGCAAATGAGGGTGAATTCCAGCGAAACCTAATTTTGTTTAAAAAGATACATTTGTGTGCAGTCTGGAATGTGTTTCACAAACCACCCCTTTGAGCTTTAACAAATTTACAATGGGCTTTAGTACTAAGTAACTAAAAAAATCTTAATTTTTTTTTTTATTCTATAATACATTTGAGGGTACTAGTCACTAAAATGCAAATGAATGAGTGTTCAAGTAGACATTCAGTGCTAAAGAGCAAGGACAGTTGCTAATTATTAAAGCAATTACTACAGTAAATCCATTAATATTTTAATTGTTAAATTAAAAACTGCACTGCAATGCACACAAATTTATCAAAATCCTGTACAACATTAAATATGAAATGAAAACGACCTAACAGTAAGACGAGCGAGTGTTAACCCGGGACACTTTTATACAGCATAAGTACATTTTCATGTTAATAAATGTGACCTTCATATGGGTATTTGTATACTTGGGCAAAGAAATGCTTACCAGCAGCATTTCGGTGCAATTTTGCAGCCTTCTCAATTGAATATGGATCAGTGGTATTAGTCAACAGACTAACAAGAGGTCCAGGGGATTTTGCCTCTGGACTCAAAAGGCTTGATCCATCAACTATATTAGGAAAAAGATGAGTTGTTAACCATGCATTCTGTAGCTGAGCCAAATTTGTCAAATCAACACCTGGAAAAAAAAAAAAAAAAGTTTAAGGCTGCAAAAATTTTCATTTATGCAATTAAAATAAAACAGCCCATCACCCAAAGGACTGAGGTTTACAACATGAAAGTCAAATATTACTTACAAAAAATAATGTACAAGGCTATCATGTACGAGCTATGACTAAATATGCTTCATTCCACGTGGGGAAACAGTCCCTGTGGCGAAGTGGTAAGACACTCGCCTGGCATTTCGCGAGCACTTTGACCTGGGCTCATATCCTGGCCAGGGAGGAATATTGGGCATCAATCCTTAACTGTAGCCTGTTTACCCAACAGTAAAATGGGTACCTGGTTGTTAAACCATTTGTCATCAAATTCCAGGAAATATTAGGATTAGGGATTTACCTGAAATGCTATGCATGCTAGTGGCTGGACAAGAATGTAAGAACTCTAGATTTAGATTTTTCATTCAGGTAAAGGTACATACATTGAGTTACATACATAATGTTGGATTTAAAGATAGAACATACAATACCTAAAGCCACTAGTACGCACAGCGTTTCAGGCAAGGTGAGGGGGGAAAAAATATACGTTAGCTTGTATATATGAATAAACAACATTTTGGGTTCCCTTATTTTATTTAACTTCCAATAAGTAATGATTTGCTCCACCTAGGATTTATTCCAAAGCAAAAACAAAACGAGTACCTAATATCTTCCCTCCATTACATTCTACCTTGTCCCAACTTTCCTAGCATTACTAAAATTAAAATTACAATAATTTCTTACCATCTTTTTCAATTACCGATGTTATAGTCCGGTAATTACTATTTTATCTCAAATACTGTATTCCATTCCAGTTTCTCGATATACTGTCTAAGCTCACCTATGCAAATTATATGGGAAGAACCTCTGCAGGATAAGCAGAATTCTTACAGGGGAAGTCCAAAAATTACCACATTTGCATTTTTTTTTAACAACCACCATAATTCTAATTTCCACACTATCAAAAATGTAATTTAAAAAAAAAAATGAACTGCAGCTTACCTTGTCTTTTGTGATACTGTAGATATTTAAATGTGTAGTGCTTGAAAATTTTAGTAACCTAATCTCCAGTTCTGATACAGCGAAGTTATGCACAAAATTTTCCGAAACACATTTTGGCTGGATAACCCAAATACTGTACTATATTCAGTTGAGCGGACTTCGGATAACCAAGCTCATACAGTACACCAGTCAATTTCTGCAAGACCTACAGTTTAAGTTACACAAAACTCACTTTAAAACTGTTAGCTTTAAGACTTGCCTTAAATCCTGTTCCATGTTACTGGCTTCGCAAGAATGTACCAATAATTCCCCAAAGCCTGCAATAACTCCCTGTATCCTTAATTAAAAAAAAATACTAACCTTGGGAAAGCTGGGCATTCGAGTTTGAATCATTTGCAGTGTTGCTATTCATGGGACCCATACTCCCTAGCTGCTGTTGCTGTTGCAAACCTAGTAGTGAATTTTGCAATGGTGATTGATTGAACATACTGTTATTGGCAATACCAGCATTGGTGCGATTCAACCCATCAATTGATCGGTGACCCACTTGACTGGCTGAAGTGCTGTTACCACCTCCAAGACTCAGGGAGCTCTGTAAAGGGTTTAGTTTTCAATTTTAATCAAGCTAGAACTAATGTCATGTAATTAGATCTATACAACTATTACTATAATCTCACAGTCATACATTTACACAATGAATGTGGAAATCAATTTGGACAAAAGGAAATTAGCAAATTTCCACTAAAACAATAATGCAAAAGATCATTCTTCCTTGGCTTAAATTGGAAAATCTTTTCCTTACAATATAATAAAATCCATCTACAAGAATTTGGTAGCAAACAGCTTATATCTGCACCTCAAAACACATTCAATAAAATATTTAACTAAATTTGGTCAGTCAGCCAGCCAGCCAAATGTACAGCATAACCACTTTGGCAAACATTTAAGTTTATATCAAATACCAGAAACACACCATGTTTTAATAATGAAAAGTAAACAATTTTGAAGAACATCTATCCACCCTGATCCTATCCACAAGTCCTTTTTGCTGAAAATGCCAGTCAAAAACCCAGCATGATGTAGTCGACCACCACATACTGGACGAGCCCTGCAACTATCTTGCCAATACTGTTCCATGCAAATGGGTTATATCTGACAAGTTTGGTTTGGCGTACCTAGGACCAAAGCAAAAACCTGGCACCCCTCAGAAATACAGAGATCAAGGCAAAAATTCACCACCACACCAGGAATGATTTAAGAAAGTTTAGCACTTTACAGACAACCGGAGGAGTAACAAGACCGAAGCCTCAAAATCTGCAAACAAATTAGCAAGCGATTCACATGGAACATTTATTTAATTTATTTATATACAAGGTACAGTACATTGGGTTTATGAGAGCACATAGCATTGATGTTTTTAAATTCTTGTAAAGCCACTAGCACGCATAGATTTAGGACCTGTCCGAAACACTAACAATTTTAAGTGGCAATTTCTAGCAAAATTGACAATGTTTAACAGGTACATCGTAAGAAAGTTTGACAAAGATTAGTAGGTACATTAGAAGTAAAATTTAAGGGTTATCAACAGGTGCATTGTAGAATAATTTGAGCATTAAATATTAGTGCAAAACTTTTGTACTGAATGCCATCAAGCAGCCTAGATTCCACACACAGCCATCTTCCTATTTCAGATTTGGAGCTGATGAACAGTCCCACCAACTAACCAGGGGCCAGGGAGCCACTGGGAGTTCATTAAGAATGAGGCAGTTCATTAAGATTAAAAATTCCTAGATTCTAATCCCAATTTGAAATGCCTTTGATAGATTTAATTAAACCCATGAGCATCACTCAAGAAATATTGAGCGGTTTATTAATTACAAATGCCCCTCTTTACGAACTTTTCGGGTTACAAGTCCGATTTTTTTTTTTTTTTTTTTGTCAAATTCGAATCGGGTTACGAACTTTGCCTCGGGAAACGAAGTTTGTCGACATGTGTATGGCCGACCTAGCGTATGGTGGAACAGCGATCGCGCCTCAGTTTAACAGTAACTCCTGACAACCGCACCTGAATTCTTTGTAAAGAATGTGTTTCTGGACTTTGGGATATGTGAACATAAATTATACATCTTGCCATGGGTCCCAAGAATGCCAGTGGTAAGATTCAAGCCAAGAAAACATGTGAGAATGACCATAGAGGAAAAACAAGAGATCATTCAAACATGAAAATGGTACACGGGTTGTTGAACTAGACAATATAACAAATCCATGTCAACAATATAGACATTGTTAAGAAAAAGGACATTATGAGAGAGAGTGGCAAAAGGTAAATCAACAATCATGAAACAAAGAACACAAACACTATGTTGAAAAGTGTATTAATTCACGCAGAGCAAGCTGTCCAGGGGCAAGGCAATGCACGGAAAATTGAGGCAACACACACAACTGCTCGTCACCCAGAGACGATCCAACACCAACGAAGCTGAAGACTGCACAAAGTCCCTGAAGACAGGGGATAGAAACCTACCAACAGTCCCTTTTGCATTGGAAGTAGTGCCATTTATATTTTGTAAGTGTTCCCTACTATATAAATTGCCATAATTTTAATGTAATATAAAGCAGCAATGATATTGCAATATATGAGGGTACAAGTACATTTTAACACTTACTACAAGGTCAGCAATGGTTATGTCTGTTATTTTGTTTGCATTTGCATCAAGACCAAATGCATTATTGTCTTGACACCCCATAAGAATGGCATCTTCCATTGTTGGACTTCCAGGCTCACTGCAAGAAATTATACAAGCTTTTAATAAAAAAGATATATTGTTGAGCACTCAATAGATACAGTACCCTCATGACTACACACATTTTCACATAACATACAAGGAAAAGTAATCATCTTCTTGAGCCTCAAAGAAGAAATGCCAAGCAAAGCAAAAGGTCCTAATATTATGGAATGGCCTTAAAAGAACAATGGAGTGGAACTAGAAAATTCCAGCCCTTTATAAAGATTTCTCTAGAACAAATCCACTTGCCAGAACACCATTCTGAAATTTGGATGTTCAAGAACCTAAATACTGCAGGAGATCATGATATCAGATCACACAAGGTCACTGCCAACAACCTTTCTCTTTTTTGCCGTTCTTGTTCTTATAGTAAGTAATAAAATACTAATACACAGTATACTAATACTATAGTAATATTAAAATTAAAAATTATTTATATAAATATGCTTATTAAGTGAATACGACAGTTAGACATCTCCTGTGGCATTCAAATCTAGAGAAAACACAGATTTTTGCCTTATTTTCTTTAATATAGTGGTCAGAGCAGTCAAGTCACAAGCAAAAGGTTTTGGCTTCAATTCCTACTGCAAGATGAACTTTTGGACACAGTTTCCATTCATCTAATACCACTGTTCACATAGCAGCAAATAGTTACCAAGGTGGTGGTCAACTGTTCTGAATTGCATTCAGGGGAAGGTGTGTAGCTGGTTGGCAATGGGGGGGGGGGGGGGGGCTCCCAAAAGTAAGTACAGTACAGGTTTCTTATCCCTGACCATAGGGAGGGAGGAAATTATCAAGGGAAGTACCAAGTCACTATGACTATACAGCACTTGGAAGGGATCAGGATAAGGATTTGGGATGGGGAAAAAGGAATGGCACCCAACCACCTGGACAGTTGGGATTGAATGCTGACCTGCATGAAGTGAAACCGGCACTCTTCCGTCCAGCCCAAGTGGTTGGACCCCCTAACAATGGGAATGAAGGGTTTCTCTAATGGAGCTATAAATTTAGAAAATTCATGACAAATACAGTATGAGCTTATGAAAGGTGGGCAGCTGCCACTACCTCTGACATTTTCTGTGCAGTTAACAGCAAAATTGTGTACTTCAGTCATACAAAATTTATGCTCTCACCTTAAAAGTAAAATTTAGGATTTTTTTCTTAACGAGTGTATCCGATATTTACATTTATACGGTGTTTGTGTGGAGAAATATTCAACACCCTCCTGCCTTACCTGGCCATATTAGTTGCCAGTATTTCATTTGACGATCAGGACAATTTGGTAAAGTTTTTCACTCATTATATTTGTATACAGTAAAGTGTAGATGGAGGAGGGGAAAATGGAATTTTCTAAGAATCTAAAACATTCCTACTTTTCCCCCCCACATCCTAAAATTGATTTGTAGGTGCTTTGGTTTACACAGTATTTACAGGAGCATAACCGACATGCAAATTAAGGGTTGCCCGTCAACCTTAAAGAATGACAAAAGACAAGATCTTTTATGGAAATACCTAGTAGTGGAGGCTCTCATTCGACGTGCAATATTTGCAGGTGTTGGCGAATAACTAAATGAATGGCGGGAGCCACTAGACCCACTTGATTGTGGGCTATCATCCAAGTAGCTGAATACACTATTCTGCCCACATACCTACAAAATAAAAAATAAAATAAGAAATTTTCACAACACTAGTAAATGCCTCAACATTATTATGCATAATAACCCAAGTCTAAAACACACATTATCCCCAACATGTATAACTAATGTTTTCAGTGCAAAATTGTAACGACAGGTCATGCAGTCTACAATTTCTCAGGTGATCAGGCAGGCAGGCAGGCAGGAGTTATAGTAGTAATCAGATAATATACAACAAACTATTTTCTTATCAGAGCAAAGTAATTTTCTAAAAGTTAAAAAATAGTTTAAGATCAAAAGCCTTGCATGGAATGTTAACTGCCAAAACTGGTTAAGTTTTAAAATCTTCCTAGAAAAGGCAAATGGGAAGGGAGGGGGGGGGGGGAGAAGTGAGGGGAACCTATGACAAGCCGCCGGCTTCCTGTCCTCGTCGAGGTGCCTAGGGTAATGGCCCTCGGGTAAACAATTTTACACATACTACAATACTGATAAAGCCTAGAGATGTAATCAAGTATCATTATGTTACCTGAACCTCTGGACAGCAGCTATGGAGACCTGCCTATGCACAAGGAAAAAAATGAAAATTATTAATTGGTAAACAAAACAATAAAAACCACTAAAATAAGTAAATATTTATCATTTCACTGGGTGGAGGTGCTCTCAAAGGCAGCATCTGGCCCTTATCAATACCCAGTGCTGAACTTTGCTGATGCTTCTCATTATATCTGATGTTTCACCAATTTTGACTATTTACATCCAGAAAAATTATATCCATAGTACAGTATTTGGCATCAGACAAGCAAAACCCATACAATAATGGTTTAGTCACATGACAATCGCATTACCCCCCAAAGTATTGTCAATAGACAAGTCCTGCCAAAGGGTTAACACAAGGATAAGGAAATGCTGTGTTTGTGAAAAAAAAAAAAAAAAACTGGTCCTAACCTTTTCCCTGTAGGAATCAACTGTACTAATTAACACTTTGAGGTTCCACAGACTGAATATCTCGTCATTTATTTTTCTACTGAATGTGTTCCAACGACGCAATACTGAGTCACTCATTAAAATATTTTTTAAAAATTTAAATTTTATCAGATCAATCTTGTAGTGGTTTTAAAATAAGCGCCTTTAGATTGCACACAATTTGATACCAAAATCAAAGATATAACATGAAACTTGATGTCCAAACACTTGAAATATTATAAATAGGCCTATGGTCCGAATATTAAAATAATTGTTAAAATTCTATTTATTGTCCTATTATCTTGGGACTAGTTTTAAAATGCGCGCCGTTTTATTGCGAACAATTTGATACCAAAATGAAAGATGTAACACAAATATTTATGTCAGAACACTGGAAAGATATAAATAAATTTGTGATGATGAGCGTCCAGAATTAAAATATTTGTTAAAAATCCAGTTATTGTTCTATTATTCTGGGACTAGTTTTAAAATACTCGCCTTTTTATTGCGAACAATTTGATACCAAAATGAGCGACCTAGCACGAAATTTGATGTTATCAAATTGAACGAGTTGAACATTAGGTTGCAATGTACAAAATGGTGCTCGTTCACGGGTAACTTTAGGCTTTTCTGCGGGGAGGCACTCCAGCCTTTTGTACATTTTATTCTTACACATCTGTAGGGAATTTAATTGCGAACACAATGATACCAAAACGAGCGACGTAGCACGAGAATTAAGGTAAAAAAATGGAAGGAGAATGCACATGTTACTGATTTTGTGCGTTTTTGCCGACTTTACGCTTTGCTGTTGGGAGTCACGCTAGGCTTTTGGACATTATATTTATACACAGCTGTAGAGAATTTAATTGCGAACACAATGATACCAAAACGAGCGACGTAGCGCGAGAATTAAGGTGAGAAAACTGGAATGAGTATACACATTTGGGTGTCACCGCGCGCTTACCCGCACGGAGGGGCCACGATCCCCCAGTCAACCGCGAGTTTCTACGGAGCGCGAAAGTGTTAAGAATAATTTTCTTGGGACCAACTGGGCCAAGATCACCACTGTTTCCTTCTGTGCCATTCATCAGTTCCGTCAACATTGCATCTGTTGGAAAAACAATCCATGTATAAAAATATCAAGTATTGGTGGTCAAGCGGTAGAGTATACGACAAGCAATGCCGTGGATATAGGTTCACACCCACCTCATTGCCCTAGTGGATTTTGTCATTTTATCCAACCACTTGGGGTGGACGGTAGAGCGACTGTCTTGCTTCATTCAGGTGGGCGTTCAATCCCCGACCGTTCAAGTGGTTGGGCACCATTCCTTCCCCCCCTGCCCCATCCCAAATCTTTATCCTGAACCCTTCTAGGTGCTATATAACCGTAATGGCTTGGCACTTTCCCTTGATAGTTTGGTTTTTGGATAAAAGAGACCTGATAAAATATCCAAATTCTGCAAATTTCAAATTTTACCTGAAAGCCAGTCTAGCAGCTTCAATGAGGACGAAGCCAGCAGCCTCTCAAAGACTCCTCCATTAGTCCTGATTTTATTAAGCTAGATTTTGAACTCCAGTAGTGTTTTGGCATTTATGTTCTCTTCCCTACCTCCTTGCATTTCAGAGGTTGACATTTGAGAGTACAATATTGGGATGTTTAAGCTACTCTAGTGTTCACAATAGAAAAAGGATTCATTCAGCGTTTGCTACCTATTTATCGATTATAACTTGGTTGGTCTTAATTTTTAAGTTAAATCCGTCAGACATTCGAAACAGGTCATGTGTGTTACTTCACTTTAAGACCGCTTCCTGGGATTCCCTCCGACATAACCATGTCATTTCTTTTTCCATTTTAAGTGCTGCAAGTTGAAGTCGCAAAGTAGGATAATGTTTAGGGGCCAGGTTTATGAGGTTTCTCAAGCAGTACAGTACTATTTTTGCAAGTTGGTCTTTAACCTCTGGGCTGCACAACTGTTAATAGCCATCATCCCCATGGCGCACAAGAAAAAAAAATTCTTAAATTTTATTTGTTTATTAGCCTCCAGGAAACAAAAATCCAAATAAAAAGTCTATCCCTTCTGGTTTAGCTGAAGTGGCGTTGCGTAATATCTATACAAACATTCTTTTTGTCCAGAATATATTAATTTTAATATCAATATATATTGAGCAATGTTTATATTAGGCTTTAGAACAATACCAAAAATTCTCAATGCTTACTTATGTCACTAGATCTAAGGCCAGATGAGTAGTTTGGTCGATCAATCACATCTGTAGGAAGAAAGGGCGTGGCAAGGTCATCAAATCCACACTTCTCAGGAAATTCATGTGATGCACTTAAGCATAAAGACAACATGCTAGTAATGGAAGCACAAAGGTTTACAACATAGCTTCTTTCTCAGACAACCTAAGGAATCTTATTATAAACAACAATCTCAACAAAAACCACATCATTCTGGGAGGAGACTTTAATATTAACCTGGGTCAACAAAACTGCTCTCAAGTTGACTATTTCCTTAACAGCATGAACTCCTGTATGCTAATCCCCACTATCACCAAACCTACCCGAGTCACTCAAACATCAGCCACTACCTTGGACCACATATGGACAAACATAACAGCTCCCCTTGTATCTGGTATAATCTACGACAGAACAACTGACCACTATCCTACCTTTCTCATAGTGAACATGGACATAACACCACCAAAAAGCAAGAAACTTTCATTTAGGCTACACAGTGAATCAGCTTTAGACAATCTTACAGAGGCACTTCACAATATTAACTGGGATTCTGAATTCAATAATACCCATGATATAAATTCATTAGCTAACCTCTTCCTCTCCAAAACTAAGCCTCTACAACCTTCATTGTCCCCTTCTTACAAAGCAAGTAACTGACAAAAGATTAAACAATCCATGGCTCACAAGTGGCATTCTCAACTCAATCAACAAGAAACATGAATATGAAAAGAAAGTTAGGATTGGCCTAGTTTCAAAGGAAGTAGCTAAAAGGTACTCATCAATGCTTACCAGTATCATAAGGCAAAACTTGCATATTATGTGAATAGATTCAATGAAGCAAAAGGCAACATGAAAAACACTTGGAAAACTATCTCTAGTATCCTAGGAACTAAACAACAATCACATAACCAAATAAAACTCTACAAGGATGGGGATATACCGTCAACTGATTTAGAAATGGCAAATGAATTTAATAGTTTCTTTCATCGGTTGGTGCTAATCTTGCCAGTAAAATCCCACAGACTCAGACACATATTAACACATATCTCTCAGGCAGCTATCCAAACTCTTCTCCTTTCACCAATCAGCCCGGCAGATGTTGTGTCCATCATACACTCTCTAAAACCAAGGCAGGGAACACCAGTGAAATTCCGTCCATTGTGTACAAGAGAGCCTCCCATGCCCTTGCCCCACCCATAGCACTACTGTTCAACAAATCTATAGAGTGTCACACCTTCCCTGATATCCTCAAAAAAGCAAGAGTAATGCCAGTCTATAAAGGAGGCAATCCGGCGGACATAAACAATTATAGACCAATATCAAATCTACCCATTCTATCAAAAATATTTGAAAAAATTATTTACAAACAGCTCTATTCCTACCTCGTAAAATTCGACATACTCAGCCCCTGCCAGTTTGGCTTCCGGTCCCAAAAGAGTACCAATGATGCAATCATTAGTCTCCTTGACATTATCTACTCAGCCCTTGACAAAAATGAGTTTCCGATTGGACTCTTCATTGACCTAAGAAAAGCCTTTGATACTGTTAATCACAACTACCTCTTAAACTCCAGCATTATGGAATCCGAGGCCTTGCCCTTGACTACATCCGATCCTATCTTAGTGACAGACACCAATATGTAACCATCAATGATACAACTTCTTCCACTCTACCAATTACCGTTGGAGTGCCACAGGGCAGCATCTTAGGACCTCTTCTATTTCTTATATATATAAACGATCTGCCTAATGTCTCTAATATTCTCAAACCTATATTGTTTGCTGACGATACTACCCTTATCTACTCAAACCTCAACCCACATACACTAAATAATGTTGTGAATAATGAATTAAAAAAAGTCCACTTATGGATGTCAACGAACAAACTAACATTAAACATCGAAAAGACTTACTACATCTTATTTGGAAGCAAATCATCAAATGCAATTCAGCTACAGATAGACAACATTAACATCAGCAATAAAAATGATGGCAAGTTTCTTGGCCTATTCCTAGACAAGAGACTCAACTTCAGCACCCACATTCAACACATAACTAAGAAAGTCTCTAAGACAGTTGGTATACTCTCCAAAATCAGATATTATGTTCCTAACTCTGCTCTCCTCTCACTATATTATGCACTAATCTACCCCTATCTTAATTATGGTATCTGTGCATGGGGGTCTACCACTGCAAACCACCTTAAGCCCATCATCACACAGCAAAAATCTGCTATCAGAATAATAACTAACTCTGCTTTCAGACAACACTCAGCTCCCTTGTTTAAATCTCTAAACTTGCTAAATATTAACTCCCTCCACACATTCTCTTGTGTCAACTACATTTACAAAACCCTGTTCTTAAATGCAAACCATGCTCTGAAACTCTCCCTGGACAGATGTAATAGGACCCATTATCACCACACCAGAAATAAATATCTCTTTGATATCCCCAGGGTCAAACTTAATCTGTGTAAACACTATGCAAATTAAGGGACCTAGTCTATGGAACTCACTCCCTAGTGAATTGAAAAACTGTAAAACTTTTGCCTTATTTAAAAGCAAAACCAAAAAGTACCTAACTTCATCTATTTAGTTTCCTACACTGAGCTTTAAATTTGCTCTGTACCTAGTGGTACCCAATCTCATAATTTTTATGTAATATCAAACAACCTTATCATTGTGTTCATTGCTGTCTTCTTTTATGTGCTAGCCATATGCTGTATTGTGACTACCAATTTTTGTCAACTACCATTCAAGCTGTCATTGCAATCAATCTTATATTGTTTCTGCTGTATTGTGCCTACCAATTTGTTGTCAACTACCATTTTAAGCTGTCATTGCAATCAATCATAGCTACCTATGCGCTTTAATATACTGTACCTATAATTTTCTCTCGTCTTTTTTTTTTCATTCCATGTAATCTGTTATCATTTTTTTGTCTATAAATTTTGCAAGTATTTACCTCCTTAAAATTTTCTTAGATTAAGGACCTGCCCGAAACGCTGCGCGTGCTAGTGGCTTTACAAGACTGTAATTACCATAATTGTATCCTCACATTCCTTATGTACATTCTTGTATATGCATAAATTAAATAAATAAATAAATTTTGATTAGTTTCAAGTTACAGTATATGTAAAAAACTTACTACACCACTTTATACCTGAACCTGCTGAGTAGCAAAGACCAGTAATTAAAATTAAATGCCTGGTACAAATTAACAACTTATTCAGACCAAACTACAACTTGCCTTGACACTAAGACAATCGGCAGAGTGGCAGATGCTGATCCCAATATAAGAAGCCTTAAATTTAAGGACTAAAAGGATAAGAAGAGCCAATAAGTAGGTTTGAAAGGAAATTTAACTAGCAAGTCTCCAAACTAGAAGCCACATGAAGCAGTGTTAAGCAGATGGCACTGTATAGTAATACCACCAGGACTAGTCCAGTGAACGGTAATCCCACCAGGAACTTTAACCTGAAAGTTATCCGCATAAACCACATACAAAATTGTCAAGTGGCTGGCATATTCTAAAATCCCGTTCTAAATTAAATGTGCTGCCCGGATTACACTTTACTTTATCATACACCTACGATATCTGCACCCGAGTGGATTTACAACTCTGAACTACCCGACAATACACAAACCAGCAATTTTAACCAACCCTAGACAGAAAGGGGGCCACCCTTACAGTACTTAAGGCTATAACCTTCTACCATGCAATTGGTTGATTAATAATTTTACTTTGTAAGTGTTAGGCAATGGGAGAGAAATGGTTAGGTGTTCTCAACTTCAAATTTGTAGAATTAGATGGCTCTGACTTGCAGCTTAGGCAGTAAAATGGTGACCAGTAAATTAATGAATTTGCTTTAAAAAAGTGAAAGCATAAAGTTTGATTTGCAGCAATTTGTCTAACAAGGAAGCAAGGGGTGAAATCCTTCCATAGTCAAATAAGCTCTACCCACCTCACTCAAGGCTGTTAAGAGAAATTTTTTAAAAGTATACTTTTATAAACGTTCAAGGATACCTTACCAACTTATCGTTCACCATCATACTACCCAAGGTGTACATTTCATTACTAGCCCTGAATACTTGCCAAAACTTATTACAGGCATCCCTTCAGGAAGCCATAAAAACTCCCCAGCCACTTATTTCTAGTCAAATAGAACTCACCAATAGAATTTTTGCGTGTGTGATCTGTAGTTATTCCACGAAGGTCTAAGTTGTTGTTTAGAAAAGCGTTTATTCGCATTATTGCTTCCAAGCTACCTTCATCCTGCTCGATGTCCAGAGACCCATAGAGGTCAGTCAGATCATTCTGAAGAGAAAATAAAATGAAGAAATACATGGTTTTCTGTACAAGTTCCTTCCAGTAATTAATGAAAACTCTTACAGCATCAGAATACAGTACAGTATTAGAAATGAGCCAATACTTTGGATCATTGTGCATTTAGGCACAAGATATAAAAAACCTAAAAACAAGCCCTCAGACTGGCACAGGCCACCAACCCCCAGGAAGTACGGGATGTAGCAAAAGCAAGAACCCCTACAATGGGTGCCACCTTTGCTGAAATGCTGAGGAAGTGCCCAGAAGCCATGTCCACAGTCAAGGAAGTTGCAATGAAAGCAGTAACTTCACATGAAGTAGCTAGATGCACAAGTCAGATAATGTAAAGGAAAAGAGCTGTAGTTATGGAAGGTATTAAGGAACAAGAAGGTTCCAAGCAGGAAGAATGGAGGGCTAAGAACAAAGCTGCAGTGTCAGATAAAGGAAATAGGAATGGAAGGGGGGGGGGCTGAACAAGGCATAGAAAAGTTTTTCCCAATTGACCATTACAACAAAGAAATATCGATTGGTTAAGGTTGTATTCAGGAACAAGGCCATCAAAGAGGACATACTAGTAAAGAAGAGCAAACTGAAAAGTGTAAGGAATTAGAAATGTACACCTTCAGAGGGACATGACCAGCGATGAAATAAGGGCAGCAGATGCAAGGAAAAGGAGCAGGGAGTGGGAAGGGAGCAAGGGAATCTCAGCCTCCAACCCAGCAATCCCAGAGGGGAGTGGGGAACTGCAATCCAGCAATTCAGGAACCCCAGAGGGGAATGCAACACCCAAACCCACCACCCCGTAGGAGGAGCCACCCGCCCCCCAACCCACCACCCCGTAGGAGGAGCCACCCGCCCCCAACCCACCACCCTGTAGGAGCAGCCAACCCACCACCCCGTAGGAGCAGCCACCCGCCCCCCTCCCAACCCAACACCCCGTAGGAGGAGCCACCCGCCCTCCCCCCACCCCGTAGGAGGAGCCACCCGCCCCCCCAACCCACCACCCCGTAGGAGCAGCCACCCGCCACCCCGTAGGAGGAGCCATTGCCACCCACCACCCCGTAGGAGGAGCCATCGCCACCCCCCCCCCAAACCCACCACCCCGTAGGAGGAGCCATCGCCACCCCCCCCAAACCCACCACCCCGTAGGAGGAGCCATCGCCACCCCCCCCAAAACCCACCATCCCGTAGGAGGAGCCATCGCCCCCCCCCAAACCCACCACCCCGTAAGAAGAGCCATCACCCCCCCCCCCAAACCCACCACCCCGTAAGAAGAGCCATCACCCCCCCCCCAAACCCACCACCCGGTAGGAGCCATCGCCCCCCCCCCAAACCCACCACCCCGTAAGAGCCATTGCCCCCCCAAACCCACCACCCCATAAGAGCCATCGCCCCCCCCCAAACCCACCACCCCGTAAGAAGAGCCATCGCCCCCCCCCCCAAACCCACCACCCCGTAAGAAGAGCCATCGCCCCCCCCCCCAAACCCACCACCCCGTAAGAAGAGCCATCGCCCCCCCCCCAAACCCACCACCCCGTAAGAAGAGCCATCGCCCCCCCCCCCCACCAAACCCCCCCCCCCCCCCCACCCACCCCCCGTAAGAAGAGCCATCGCCCCCCCCCCCCCCCCCCCATAAGAAGAGCCACCCCCCCCCCCACCCACCACCCCATAAGAAGAGCCACCCCCCCAACCCACCACCCCATAAGAAGAGCCACCCCCCCAACCCACCACCCTGTAGGAGCCCCCCCAACCCACCACCCTATAGGAGCCCCCCCCCCTACCCCAAGCACACATCCTCCCTTACCCCTACACAATGCCCACCATACCACCTAAATCCTTGCTTCCCCCTTACCCAGAGTACCCAGTGCCTTTCCATTCCCTGGTTGCCTTCCTGCCCCAAGCAGGGCCAGGCAAGATCTATGCCCTCCACCCCAAGCCCGTTAACTAAACCACAGGAGGATGAGCCCTCGCCCCAAGCAATCCCTGCCCCTCCACCTCAGGACTTCTTCCTGTTCTAAACAGGCCTGGGCAAGATCTAAGCCCTTCATCCCCCACCCCACCTCCCCCCAAATCCCACAGGAGGATGAGCCTACCCAAGTAGCCTTGCCCATGGAATGGCTTCCTGCAGTAGTGGGGAAGGTGGGTGAAAATGGATATAGGAAAGTGAGCTTCAAGGTAATGTACTTTAACATCGATGGGATTACCAATAAAGCAAGTGAACTGGCAGAAAGGGCACAGGAAGAAAACCCAGATGTAATAAACAATTGTCAAGAGTCAAACGCTGTTTCCAAAGGACTATATAGTAAGGGAAGAGGTAAGGAAGAGGAGTGGCCCTGCTGATAAGGAAGGACTGGAGTTTTGAGAGATGGAAATTCCAGGCTGTGAAGAATTCAGACTACACAACAGGAACTATGACAACGGGTGGATCCAAGTAAAAATCATTTACAACCCTCCACTAAATGACAAGTCCCAGACAGGAGTTTGATAGGAACATCAGATCAGCTTCAGTTGCCTGCAGGAATAGATCTAGACTCATGGGAGATTTCAACCATGAAAGACGGAGACTGGGGACCCACATGGAGGTGCAGATACATGGGAGAGCTAAACTCTTGGAAGTGGCAAAAGGAAGTTTGAGCCAACATGTCAAGGGGCCCACAAGAATAAGAGGCAATGATGAACCAGCTATAGACTATCCCTTTATTCACTTTGAATGAGTCAAATAAGGGAAGTCAAATTTGAAGCCCCCATTGGAATGAGTAACCACAGTGTATTGAACATTAATGTATCTGGTAGAGGTAGGGATAACCTATCCAAGGATGGGATTTAAAGGGAAAAAATTACCAAAAAGGAAAACATGAAGAGATGAGTAACTTCCTAGTGGGAATACCATGGGAAACAAAACTGAGAAGAGACTGTACAAAATATGATGGACTGTCACCCAGGAGTGCCAGAAGCTGCAGACAGGTTTATCCCGGCCCAAAAGGAGTAAAACGAAAAGCAACAAGAAACCATGGTTCAATCAGGAATGCAAGGTAGCGAAGCATTCTAGTACAACATGGAGAAACTACAGGAATAACAGAACACCAAAGAGCCGGGAGAGATACCAGATGGCCAGAAATGAGTACCTCAGAGTGAGGAGAGAAGCAAACAGTATGAAATTGACATCGAGTAAAGCTAAGACCCAACCAAAACTGCTCCACAGCCATATCAGAAGAAAAACAGCAGTGAAGGAACAGGTGATGAAACAGAAAGGGGGAGAACAGAGAGAGAATGACAGTGTGAAGAACCAAGATTCCAGGTCTTTACAATAGAAGCCCCAGCACTAAATGGAAGCAAACCAAATAACCTTGGAGGAATTTGACCTCACCAGAGATGAGGTCAAAAGGAATCTGTTGAAGCTGAATGTGACAAAAGCTGTTGGGCCTGACAATCTCACCGTGGATACTGAAAGAAGGTGCAGAAGCACTAAGTGTGCCATACACTATGGTGTATAACAGGTCACTGGAAACAGGCGACCTACCGCAAAGCTGGAAGACAGCTAATGTAGTCCCAATACACAAAAAGGGTGACAGGTAAGAGGCACTGAACTACAGGCCGGTTTCCCTAACTTGTATACCACGCAAGGTGATGGAGAAGATCGTGAGGAAGAGTATCTAAGCAACAGGAAACGGCGAGTAACGGTGAGGAGGGAAGACATCAAAGTGGCGAGATGTCACCAGCGGAGTCCCACAGGGTTCTGTACTTGGACCCATCCTGTTTCTAATATACATATCTTCCAGAGGGTATAGACTCATTCCTCTCAATGTTTACTAATGCAAAAATTATAAGAATCAAGACATTATAAGCGTTTATCTTCAAGGTTGTACACCACAGTAAAGTGTTATACGGGGGTACAGCAGAGGTACAGTTTGACAACATAATACAGTATTAGCAATTAGGCAAAGAACCAGCCGATAAGACTCCTGGACCTGTATATGTTGACGACGCCCACCAGCCTTAACTAACCCCAATATTAACCGTCAATTCCTTAGCCAATTATGTGCCAATGCCATTCCCCTCCCAGGAAGGGAGAAATAAATAATAAATTTGTAACTCCTACAGAGAGAGCGAGCAACCCACTAACCAGGCCGTTAGGCATGATGGCTCGTCAGGTCCTGCTTCCAGCAGCCGCAGACAACAAGGGCACTCTTCCTCAACTTCACTTTGCAATAAAATAGCACTAAGAACTACTGTATCTAAAAAAATTAACATGCGAGTAACAATACCAGGCAACAACTCCCCCGACATTCTCCAGGCCGACGCCGTCCCCCCTCCCGAGTGTGCACCTTTACAAATATTCTGTCATTTAAACAGAATAATGACACTTGCGGGGATTTTGCTTGCACTGCTAGTATATGTTATTGAATGGAAGATAAATGTAGCATACTACTTTTATTCATATTCTACCCCATGAGCCTCACAGATCATTTACAACTGTTTTAAAAGATGTGTTGCCCTCATCAGTGACGTCACACTCTCATTTGCATATTACAAGATGTCGACCAATCACAGATTATCTTGACCTCAGACTGTCATTAATAGCTTATTAACGTATACAGCTTCAATAAAGGAATATATGCAATACGAAGCTTCCGTGTAGGTCTTTCAAATTTCCTCCACAGACCTATACAGTTATAATAGTAAAAACATATGCATGAAAGTTGGCTACAAGTGTCTTCAACTGGCAGCAGTGATTCTTATAATAAATTGTATTAACTAGGTTCATTGTTCGGTGGTGCTATCAGTCAACGCTACGATCACCTAGGTGATCGTCTACGATCACAGACAAGAAAAGACTTCTTGTCTGTGATCAAACAAGAAAAGACTTTTCTCGAGCCCTTTACAAAATTAATAGTAAAAAAACATGGACCTGCTTCGGCTACAATACCCCATATATTTATTTATTTATTTATTTATTTATATACAAGAAGGCATTACCATCCACGGTACCTCACCACTTCCGATACTATGCCTTGAACATACATGTTCAGCCCGTCCTTCTATAATGTTTCCCAACGGCAAGAAACGGTCGTGCTAAAGTGCCCTTATCCTAACCTACCAGAGGACTCAAAACAGAAAACGGAACAGTATGTCAATTTCGCCTACCGCTTCCATTTGACACACAGTCACGGGAGACATCTCCCGTCACGTAGGGTGCAGTCGCACCTCCACAGATCTCCAGTATCAGCTCTTGATACTGGTAATGGCTCAAAAGGGCCACCACTTACGGGCTATTCATGCCCGTGCCACCTTTTGGGTGGCTTAATCTTCATCAATCATCAATCAATCGCTTCCATTTTCTAGTACGATGATTTTTGGCCTTAAGTAGAGTATACGACAAAATGCGACGTTCTATTAGGAGAACGGGATACTATTGGGAGTATGGGGTGCATAATAAACTACCACTCACAGGATGAGTATGGGGTGCACAATAAATTACCACTCACAGGATGAGTATGGGGTGCACAATAAACTACCGCTCACAGGATGAGTATGGGGTGCACAATAAACTACCACTCACAGGATGAGTATGGGGTGCACAATAAACTACCACTCACAGGATGAGTATGGGGTGCACAATAAACTACCACTTACAGGATGAGTATGGGGAGCACAATAAACTACCACTCACAGGATGAGTATGAGGTGCACAATAAACTACCACTCACAGGATGAGTATGGGGTGCACAATAATCTACCACTTACAGGATGAGTATGGGGTGCACAATAAACTACCACTCACAGGATGAGTATGGGGTGCACAATAAATTACCACTCACAGGATGAGTATGGGATGCACAATAAACTACCGCTCACAGGATGAGTATGAGGTGCACAATAAACTACCACTCACAGGATGAGTATGGGATGCACAATAAACTACCGCTCACAGGATGAGTATGAGGTGCACAATAAACTACCACTCACAGGATGAGTATGGGGTGCACAATAATCTACCACTTACAGGATGAGTATGGGGTGCACAATAAACTACCACTTATAAACTACCACTCACAGGATGAGTATGGGGTGCACAATAAAAGTGGTTTGGGCCCGCTTCCTATCACCTAATGCACCTGTTCACCTAGCAGTAAATAGATACCTGGGAGTTACCTTGTTGTGATATATGGGGCCCTGACGATGTTCTGATACGGTAGACTGACAGCTAAGTGGACAACGCTCGGGGTTCGTAGTACTAAGGGTCCGGGTTCAATCCCGGTGGAGGCGGAAACAAATGAGCAGGGTTTCATTCACCCTAATGATCCTGTTCACCTAGCAGTAAATCCTAAACTACTTGGGAGTTAGACAGCTGCTACGGGCTGCTTCCTGGGCTTTATATATATATATATATATATATATATATATATATATATATATATATATATATATTCACTGGCTGCCTGTCCTCCGACAAAATAAATTAAATCATATATGCAGGCTGCCTGTCCCCAACAACGGCAAATATATAATTATTAAAAATTAATAATACGTGCAGAGTAAACTAACGCCGAAACTGTAATCAGATCCTCTATAATTTTGCATCACATTATTGTTATTATGACATTATTTTCTGCGCTGTGTCGCTATACTACTTTCTCGTAGCCTTAGTTTCTTTTGCCTTAGGATCCCCTGGGGTTCTTTTCCACGTTTTCTGTCTATTTTCTTTTAATGGTAAAAGAAACTCTTCCTTTACGTAAACTTTCTTTCAATGTGATGGAGTGCGAAAAGATAATTCAAAATGATCTGCTTCCAGACATCAAGACTTCCTCTGCCCGAAACGCTTTACGTAATAGTGGCTTTAGGCATTGTATGTACTAGCTCTATCTATAAATCTATCAAATTTGTAAAACCTCTTGTATGTATGTACCTTACCTAAATAAACATTTATTTATTTATTTATTTATTTTAGCCAAATATCCCCAGTTTGTTAATAACCGAGTGGAGTGATTGTAACCTAGTGGGCTAGGATATTAATTTACCTTAATTTACCTGAGAGCCACTAACACTAGTGGCCTCGACGAGGACAGGAAGCCGGCAGTTTGTCGAATGTCCCCCCTCCATTTACCTTGATGATCTTTTCCAGTTATACTTTAACAGTTGACAGAGTTTTAGCATCTACGGCTTCGGCGGGTAGGCAGTTCCATGGGTTTATAATCCTGTGAATTGTGACACTAGCTCTCCACATATGTCAGTTGCTTAATTTAGAAACTGTACTTGTGGCCGGTCTCGAGCCCATTGTTGATGTGACGATGTGCATTGAATTTTGTAACTAGTTCATCAAGATTGTAACTTGCTTAGCTTTTACCAGGTACAGTCCTCTGTACCACACCCCCATACGCTGCCTGGTACACACATGTTAGCAGGTACAGTCCTCTGTACCACACCCCCAGCTGCCTGGTACACACATGTTACCAGGTACAGTCCTCTGTACCACACCCCCATAAGCTGCCTGGTATACACATGTTACCAGGTACAGTCCTCTGTACCACACCCCCATCAGCTGCCTGGTACACACATGTTACCAGGTACAGTCCTGTGTACCACACCCCCAGCTGCCTGGTACACACATGTTACCAGGTACAGTCCTCTGTACCACACCCCCAGCTGCCTGGTACACACATGTTACCAGGTACAGTCCTGTGTACCACACCCCCATCAGCTGCCTGGTACACACATGTTACCAGGTACAGTCCTCTGTACCACACCGCCAGAACAGATAGCATCAGAGGTGAGAGGCAGATAACGCAGTCTCTACGTTATCAACATTTCAGTGTTCTTGGAAGAGAAACTCAACAGGAATGGGAAAAGTTTATTTAATAAGTATATAAATTATAAGAGTAGAAGTATATAAATTATAAGAGTAGAAGTATATAAATTTAAGATTAGAAGTATATAAATTATAAGATTAGAAGTATATAAATTATAAGATTAGAAGTATATAAATTATAAGATTAGAAGAATATAAATTTCAGATTAGAAGTATATAAATTATAAGATTAGAAGTATATAAATTTAAGATTAGAAGTATATAAATTATAAGATTAGAAGTATATATAAGATTATAATATATAAATTGAGTATATAAATTATGCAGAATGTAGCCGAGACGAAGCCGGTGTCAATAATTAATTACACTTCGACATATTAAGAACACGCGGTCTGAAATAACTACATATAGGCTTACAGAGTGCTTAGGGTGTAATAGGCAATTAATTCAAACTACCTGTCAACATCTTCGGGTTTCGAACCCAAGTTGGTTAATTACCTTGTGAGACAAATACACTAAGGTTGGAAAACTGGATACAAAACAGCCAAGTAAATTAAGGGTATATATAACACTGAGACGCAGCCAAAGCGGTTTCGTCAAGGTTGTTTCGCTGTAATGTCACTAATTCCTATACAATAAATAACATAAATGAGCAATGAATACGTTCAAGAATATCCGTGATTGAAAATAAATGTAGCTGCATGTACTTATATGTATATATTGGTGGAGGTTGCGAGGTTGCTGTGAAATGTATTTTTAGTCCGGAGCTGAACCACTTAGTGTAAGGTGAGGTCACAGCCCATCTAACCCAAAGGCCGACCACCTGGCTCCCCTCACTTGCCTGGGTCAAGAGGTGACCAGGTCCGGTGAGGTCATCCCGGAGCAATGTCTACAATGATGCACCGTCGAGTACCCGCTTATGTCTTGGACGCTTCGAGGAGCGGCGCATACGGGTTATACGCATACGCATTCCTTTACCGCAGCACACCCATCATGCATTTATTGAAAGAGATATTCAGGTGGTTTTGTAGTCCATATGGTTGTGTGCATGTAGAAGTGTACACGGCTAAGATGGAGCAAACCCACATCCTATCCGCCGGCAACAATTGTCTGCATTACGTGAGAGCCTCATCACGCTGACGCGAGGAGGGAAGATACTGTGGCCGGGTTAACACGGTGGACAGAGCTGGCGGGACGGGAGAGTGCCGAGCATTACAGGTGACCAGCGGTTGTTCCCCCAGGGAGGAGGGACTCTAGGCTAGCCCAGCCTCCATCCTGCACCTGGCCAGCTCACAGGTCACCTCCCCGACCCTCCACATCCCTGATCATCTACACACACACCCTCCATCCCTCCACACACCCTTTGTCGCGTCACACCCACCGGACCCTCCATGCCCCAGATCATCCAAACCCCCGACCCCCCATATAACCGTCCGACCACACCCCTGACCC